AGATCACAGATTCGGCCTGGGGCTAATCTTTAACGATGATTAAGTCCATTAAGCGACGATTTGGGCGAATTTATTCTAGGACCATTTTTTCCAGATTCCAAAGGGGTACCATCACAGATTTCGGGTGATTTATTCGAAATGTCATTTTCTTTCGATTCTGGAGGCTGCATATCATGGAATCAGGCCGAGCCTATTCTCCACCGATAATGAAGTCTATTGATCCTATTCTTCACGGATGATAAGTCCATTAAGCAGCGATTTGGGCCAATTTATTTTCGGATGGCATTTTTGTAATTTTTGGGCGACGAATGGCCATTTTCTTTGGATTTTGAAGGCTACAGATCACAGATTCGGCCTGGGGCTAATCTTCAACGATGATTAAGTCCATTAAGCACCGATTTGGGCGAATTTATTCCGGGACCATTTTTTCCAGATTCCAAAGGGGTACCATCACAGATTTCGGGTGATTTATCCGAAATGCCATTTTCTTTTGATTCTAGAGGCTGCAGATCACGGAATCAGGCCGAGCCTATTCTCTACCGATAATGAAGTCTATTGATCCTATTCTCTACGAATGATAAGTCCAATAAGCACCGATTTGGGCCAATTTATTTTCGGATGGCATTTTCGTAATTTTTTCGGCGACGAAAGGCCATTTTCTTTGGATTTTGAAGGCTACAGATCACTGATTCGGCCTTAGGCAATTCTTCAACAATGATTAAGTCCATTAAGCGCCAATTTGGGAGAATTTATTATGGTTCCATTTTTGCCAGATTCCATAGGGGTACCATCACAGATTTCAGCGATTTTTCCGAAATGCCATTTTCTTTCGATTCTGGAGGCTGCAAATTACGGAATCAGGCCGAGCCTATTCTCCACCGATAATGAAGTCTATTGATCCTTTTCTCCATGGATGATAAGTCCAATAAACACCGATTTGAGCCAATTTATTTTCTGATGGTATTTGCGTAATTTTTTGTGCGACGAAAGGCCATTTTCTTCGAATTTTGAAGGCTACAGATCACGGATTCGGCCTGAGGCTATTCTTCAACGATGATTAAGTCCATTAAGCGCCGATTTGGGAAAATTTATTCTGGGTCCATTTTTTGCCAGATTCCAAAGGGGTACCATCACAGATTTTGGTGATTTTTCCGAAATGGAATTTTCTTTCGATTCTGGAGGCTGCAGATCACGGAATCAGGCCGAGCCTATTCTCCACCGATAATGAATTTTATTGATCCTATTCTCCACGGATGATGAGTCCATTAAGCACCGATTTGGGCCAATTTATTTTCGGATGGCATTTTAGTAATTTTTTGGGCGACGAAAGGCCTTTTTCTTTTGATTTTTAAGACTACAAATCACGGATTCAGCATGAAACTATTCTTCAACGATGATTAAGTCCTTTAAGTGCCAATTTGGGCAAATTTATTCTGGGACCAGTTTTGGCAGATTCCAAAGGGGTACCATCACAGATTTCGGGCGATTTATCCGAAATGTCATTTTCTTTCGATTCTGGAGATTGCAAATCACGAAATCAGGCCGAGCCTTTTCTCCACCGATAATGAAGTCTATTGATCCTATTCTCCATGGATGATAAGTCCAATAAGCACCGATTTGGGCCAATTTATTTTTTGATGGCGTTTTTCGTAATTTTTTGGGCGACGAAAGGCCATTTTCTTTGAATTTTGAAGGCTACAAATTACGGATTCGGCCTGAGGCTATTCTTCAATGATGATTAAGTCCATTAAGCGCCGATTTCGGCGAATTATTCCGGGACCATTTTTTCCAGATTCCAAAGGGGTAGCATCACAGATTTCGGGTGTTTTATTCGAAATGCCATTTTCTTTTGATTCTAGAGGTTGCAGATCACGGAATCAGGCCGAGCCTATTCTCTACCGATAATGAAGTCTATTGATCCTATTCTCCACGAATGATAAGTCCAATAAGCACCGATTTTGGCGAATTTATTTTCGTACCGCGTTTTCGTAATTTTTTGGGCGACGAAAGGCCATTTTCTTTGAATTTTGAAGGATACAGATCACGGATTCGGCCTGAGGCTATTCTTCAACGATGATTAAGTCCATTAAGCGCCGATTTGGGCGAATTTATTCCGGGACCATTTTTTCCAGATTCCAAAGGGGTACCATCACAGATTTCGGGAGATTTATCCGAAATGCCATTTTCTTTTGATTCTAGAGACTGCAGATCATGGAATCAGGCCGAGCTTATTCTCTACCGATAATGAAGTCTATTGATCCTATTCTCTACGAATGATAAGTCCAATAAGCACCGATTTGAGCCAATTTATTTTCGGATGGCATTTTCGTAATTTTTCGGCGACGAAAGGCCAGTTTCTTTGGATTTTGAAGGCTACAGATCACTGATTCGGCCTGAGGCTTTTCTTCAACGATGATTATGTCCATTAAGCGCCGATTTGGGTGAATTTATTCCGGGTCATTTTTTGCGAGATTCCAAAGGGGTACCATCACAGATTTCGGCGATTTTTCTGAAATACCATTTTCTTTCTATTCTGGAGATTGCAAATCACGAAATCAGGCCGAGCCTTTTCTCCACCGATAATGAAGTCTATTGATCCTATTCTCCATGGATGATAAGTTTAATAAGCACCGATTTGGGCCAATTTATTTTTTGATGGCGTTTTCGTAATTTTTTGGGCGACGAAAGGCCATTTTCTTTGAATTTTGAAGGCTACAAATTACGGATTCGGCCTGAGGCTATTCTTCAATGATGATTAAGTCCATTAAGCGCCGATTTGGGCGAATTATTCCGGGACCATTTTTTCCAGATTCCAAAGGGGTAGCATCACAGATTTCGGGTGTTTTATTCGAAATGCCATTTTCTTTTGATTCTAGAGGCTGCAGATCATGGAATCAGGCCGAGCCTATTCTCCACCGATAAAGAAGTCTATTGATCCTATTCTCCAAGGATGTTAAGTCCAATAAGCACCGATTTGGGCCATTTTAATTTCAGATGGCATTTTCGTAAAATTTTTTGCGATGAAAGGCCATTTTCTTTGGATTTTGAAGGCTGCAGAACACGGATTCGGCCTGAGGCTATTCTTCAACGATGATTAAGTCCATTAAGCGCCGATTTGGACGAATTTATTTCGGGTCCATTTTTGCCAGATTCCAAAGGGGTACCATCACAGATTTTGGGCGATTTTTCCAAAATGCCATTTTCTTTCGATTCTGGAGGCTGCAGATCACGGAATCAGGCCGAGCCTATTCTCCACCGATAATGAAGTATATTGATCCTATTATCCACGGATGATAAGTCCATTAAGCAGCGATTTGGGCCAATTTAATTTCAGATGGCATTTTCGTAATTTTTTGGGCGATGAAAGGCCATTTTCTTTAGATTTTGAAGGCTGCAGAACACGAATTCGGCCTGAGGCTATTCATCAACGATGATTAAGTCCATTAAGCGGCGATTTGGTAGAATTTATTCTGGGTCCATTTTTGCCAGATTCCAAAGGAGTACCATCACAGATTTCAGCGATTTTTCCGAAATGTCATTTTCTTTCGATTATAGAGGCTGCAGATCATGGAATCAGGCCGAGCCTTTTCTCCACCGATAATGAAGTCTATTGATCCTATTCTCCACGGATTATAAGTCCAATAAGCACTGATATGGGCCAATTTATTTTCGGATGGATTTTTCGTAATTTTTTGGGCGACGAAAGGCCATTTTCTTTGCATTTTGAAGGCTACAGATCACAGATTCGGCCTGAGGCTATTCTTCAACGATGATTAAGTCCATTAAGCGCCGATTTGGACGAATTTATTCCGGGTCCATTTTTGCCATATTCCAAAGGGGTACCATCACAAATTTGGCTATTTTTCCGAAATGCCATTTTCTTTCGATTCTGGAGGCTGCAGATCACGGAATCAGGCCGAGCCTATTCTCCACCGATAATGAAGTCTATTGATCCTATTCTCAACGGATGATAAGTACATTAAGCAGCGATTTGGGCCAATTTATTTTCGGATGGCATTTTCGTAATTTTTTGGACGGCGAAAGGCCATTTTCTTTGGATATTTGAAGACTACAGATCACGGATTCTGCCTGAGGCTATTCTTCAATGATGATTAAGTCCATTAAGCGTCGATTTGGACGAATTTATTCTGGGCCCATTTTTCGGATTCCAAAGGGGTACCATCACAGATTTTGGGCGATTTTTCCAAAATGTCATTTTCTTTCGATTCTGGAGGCTGCAGATCACGGAATCCGGCCGAGCCTATTCTCCACCGATAATGAAGTCTATTGATCCTATTCTACACGGATGATAAGTCCATCAAGCAACGATTTGGGCCAATTTATTTCCGGATGGCATTTTCGTAATTTTTTGGGCAACAAAAGGCCTTTTTTATTTTTAAGACTACAGATCACGGATTCGGCCTCAGGCTATCCTTCAACGACGATTAAGTCCATTAAGCGCCGATTTGGGCGAATTTATTCCGGGACCATTTTTGGCAGATTCCAAAGGGGTACCATCATAGATTTCTGGTGATTTATCCGAAATGCCATTTTATTTCGATTTTGGAGGCTGCAGATCATGGAATCAGGCCGAGCCTATTCTCCACCGATAAAGAAGTCTATTGATCCTATTCTCCAAGGATGTTAAGTCCAATAAGCACCGATTTGGGCCATTTTAATTTCAGATGGCATTTTCGTAAATTTTTTTGCGATGAAAGGCCATTTTCTTAGGATTTTGAAGGCTGCAGAACACGGATTCAGCCTGAGGCTATTCTTCAACGATGATTAAGTCCATTAAGCGCCGATTTGGACGAATTTATTTCGGGTCCATTTTTGCCAGATTCCAAAGGGGTACCATCACAGAGTTTGGGCGATTTTTCCAAAATGCCATTTTCTTTCGATTCTGGAGGCTGCAGATCACGGAATCAGGCCGAGCCTATTCTCCACCGATAATGAAGTATATTGATCCTATTATCCACGGATGATAAGTCCAATAAGCACCAATTTGTGCCAATTTATTATCGGATTGCATTTTCGTAATTATTTGGGCGACAAAAGGCCATTTTCTTTGGATTTTGAAGGCTACAGATCACGGATTCGGGCTGAGGCTATTCTTCAACAATGATTAGTTTCATTAAGCACCGATTTGGGCGAATTTATTCCGGGTCCATTTTTGCCTGATTCCAAATGGGTACCATCACAGATTTCGGAGATTTTTCCGAAATGCCATTTTCTTTCGATTCTGGAGGCTGCAGATCATGGAATCAGGTCAAGCCTTTTCTCAACCGATAATGAAGTCTATTAATCCTATTCTCCACGGATGATAAGTCTAATAAGCACCGATTTGGGCAAATTTATTTACGGATGGCATTTTAGTAATTTTTTGGGGGACAAAAGGCCATTTTCTTTCGATTTTGAAGGCTTCAGATCACGGATTCGGCCTGCGGCTTTTTTCAATGATTATTTAGTCCATTAAACACCGATTTGTGCAGATTTATTCCGGGTCAATTTTTGGCTGATTCCAAAGGGGTACCATCACAAATTTCGGGCGATTTTTCCAAAATGCCATTTTCTTTCAATTCAGGAGGTTTCAGATCACGGAATCAGGCCGAGGCTATTCTCCATTGATAATGAATTCTATTGATTCTATTCTTCACGGTTGATAAGTCCATTAAGCACCGATTTGGGCCAATTTATTTTCGGATGACATTTTCGTAATTTTTTGTGCGACGAAAGGCCATTTTCTTTGGATTTTGAAGGCTACATATCACGGATTCGGCCTGAGGCTAGTCTTCAATGATGATTAAGTCGATTAAGCACCGATTTGGGTGGTTTTATTTTGGGTCAACTTTTGGCAAATTCCAAAGGGGTACCATTACAGATTTAAGGCAATTTTTCCGAAATGCCATTTTTTCCGATTTTGGAGGATGCAGATCACGTAACAGGCCGAGGCTATTCTCCACCGATAATGAAGTCTATTAATCCTATTCTCCATGGATGATAAGTCCATTAAGCACCGATTTGGGCCAATTTATAGTCAGATGATATTTTCATAATTTTTTGGGCACTGAAAGGCCATTTCCTTTGGATTTTGAAGGCTACATATCACAGATTAGGCATGAGCGTATTCTTCAACTATGATTAAGTCTATCAAGCACTGTTTTGGGCATATTTTTTCCGGATCAATTTATGACAGATTGCAAAGGGGTACCATCACAGATTTCAGACAATTTTTCAAAAATGGCATTTTCTTTCGATTCTGGAGGCTGCAGATCACGCAATCATGCCGAGGCTATTCTCCACCAATAATGAAGTATATTGATCCTATTCTCCACGGATGATAAGTCCATTAAAAATAGATTTGGGCCAAAAAGATTTCGGATGGCATTTTCGTAATTTTTTGGCGACGAAAAGCCATTTTCTTAAGATTTTGAAGGCTAAAGATCATAGATTCGGCCTGAGGCTATTCTTCAACGATGACAAGTCCATTAAGCACCAATTTGGGCGGATTTACTCAGGGCCAATTTTTTGCAGATTCCAAATGGGTACCATCATAGATTTCAAACGATTATCCGAAATGCCATTTTCTTTCGATTCTGGAGGCTGTAGATCACGGAATCAGGCCGAAGCTATTGTCCACCGATAATGAAGTCTATTGATCCTATTCCCCACGGATGATAAGTCCATTAGCACCGTTTTGGGCCAATTTATTTTCGGATGACATTTTTGTAATTTTTTGGGCGACGAAATGCCATTTTCTTTGGATTTTGAAGGCTTTAGATCACAGATTCGGCCTGAGGTCATTCTTCAACGATTATTTAGTCCATTAAGCACCGATTTAGGCAGATTTATTCAGGATCAATTTTTGGCAGATTCCAAAGGGGGTACCATCACATATTTCGGGCAATTTTTCCGAAATGCCATTTTCTTTCGATTTTGGAGGCTGCAGATCACGGAACAGGCCGAGGCTATTCTCCGCCGATAATGAAGTCTATTGATCCTATTCTCCACGAATGATAAGTCCATTAAGCACCGATTTGGGCCAATTTAATTTCGGATGACATTTTTGTAATTTTTTGCGCGACGAAATGCCATTTTCTTTTGATTTTGAAGGCTTCAGATCACAGATTCGGCCTGAGGCTGTTCTTCAACGATTATTTAGTCCATTAAGCACCGATTTGGGCAGATTTATTCCGGGTCCATTTTTGGCAGATTCCAGAGGGGTACATCACAGATTTCGGCAATTTTTCCGAAATGCCATTTTTTCGATTTTGGAGGCTGCAGATCACGGAACAGGCCGAGGCTATTCTCCACCGATAATGAAGTCTATTAATCCTATTTTCCACGGATGATAAGTACATTAAGCACCGATTTGGGCCAATTTTTTGTCAGATGACATTTTCGTAATTTTTTGGGCACTGAAAGGCTATTTCCTTTGGATTTTGAAGGCTACAGATCACGGATTCGGCATGAGCGTATTCTTCAACGATGATTAAGTCCATCAAGCACCGTTTTGGGCAGATTTATTCCGGGTCAATTTATGACAGATTCCAAATTGGTACCATCACAGATTTCAGACGATTTTTCAAAATCGGCGCTTAATGGACTTAATCATCGCTGAAGAGTACCCTCAGGCCGAATCCGTGATCTGTAGTCTTAGAAATCCAAAAAAAGGCCTTTCGTCGCGCCCAAAAAATTACGAAAATGCCATCCGAATATAAATTGGCCCAAATCGGTGCTTATTAGACTTATCATCCGTGGAGAATAGGATCAAATAGACTTCATTATCGGTGGAGAATAGGCTCGGCCTGATTCCGTGATCTGCAGCCTCTAGAATAGATAGAAAATGGCAATTCGGAAAAATCGCCTGAAATATGTGATGGTACCCCTTTGGAATCTGCAAAAAATGGACCCAGAAGAAATCTGCCTGAATTCGTGCTTAATGGACTTACTCGTCGTTGAAGAATAGCCCCAGGCCGAATCTGTGACCTGTAGCATTCAAATTCCATGGAAAATGGCCTTTCGAAAAAAAACATCTACTAAAGAATTACGAAAATATCATCCCAAAATAAATCGGCCAAATTCTATGCTTAATTGACTTAATCATTGGTGGAGAATAGGATCAATAGACTTCATTATCGGTGGAGAATAGTTTCGGGCTGAATCCGTGATCTGTAGCCTCCAATATCGAAAGAAAAATAATATTTTCGAAAACTCGACCGAAATCTGTGATGGTACCCCTTTGGAATATGCCAAAAATGGATCCCAAAGAAATCCTCCCAAATTCATGCTTAATGGACTTACTCGTCGTTAAGGAATTGCCTCAGGTCGAATCCTTGATCCTTAGCCTCCAAAATCCATTAAAAATTACCTTTCGAAAAAAAATCGCCCAAAGAATTACGAAAATGTCATCCCAAAATAAATCTGTCCAATTCTATGCCTAATGGACTTAATCAATTGTGCAAAATATGATCAATAGACTTCATTATAGGTGGAGAATAGCCTCGGGATAAATATGTGATCTAGCCTCCAAAATCGAAAGAAAATAGCATTTCGGGAAAATCGCGCGAAATCTGTGATGGTACCCCATTGGAATCTGCCAAAAATGGACCCGGAAAAAATATGGTTGAATCCGTGCTTAATGGACTTACTCGTCGTTGAAGAATAGCCTCAGGCCGAATCTGTGAGCTGTAGCATTCAAAATCCTTGGAATATAGCTTTTCAAAAAAACATCGACTAAAGAATTACGAAAATGCCATCCCAAAATAAATCGGCCAAATACTATGCCTAATGGACTTAATCATTGGTGGAGAATAGGATCAATAGACTTCATTATCAGTGAAGAATAGTCCCAGACTGAATCCGTATTTTGTAGCCACCAAAATCGAAAGAACATAGCATTTCGGAAAAATTGCCTGAAATATGTGATGGTACCCCTTTGGAATCTGCCAAAATTGGACTCGGAAGAAATCTGCCCAAATCCATGCTTAATGGACTGATTCGTCGTTGAAGAATAGCCTCAGGGCGAATCCGTGATCTGTGGCCTTCAAAATACATGGAAAATGGCCTTACGAAAAAAAATACCCAAAGAATTACGAAAATGTCATCCCAAAATAAATCGGTCCAATTCTATGCCTAATAGACTTAATCATTGGTGGAGAATAGGATTAATAGACTTCATTATCAGTGGAGAATAGGCTCGGGCTGAATCAGTGATCTTTGGCCTCCGAAAATGGAAAAAAATAGTATTTCGGAAAAATCACCTGAAATTTGTGATGGTACCACTTTGGAATCTACCCAATATGCAAACGAAAGACATCTGCCCAAATCCGTGCTTAATGGACTTACTCGTCGTTGAATAATACCCTCAGGCCGAATACAAAATTTGTAGCCTTCAAAATCCATGGAAAATGGCCTTTCCAAAAAAAAATCGCCAAAAGAATTACGAAAATGCCATCCCAAAATAAAATCGTCCCAATTCTATCGCTAGTGCACTTAATTATTGGTGGTGTTATGAGACAATCCAAGTACCACATCGGTTATTCAAGGGAAGGAACCCTTGTATATTAGTGTCCACCAATCTCATTAGTACGAGGCCTTTTGGGGAGGACACCCAAGAGTAAAACCGTGCGGGCTTGGCCCAAAGCGGACAATATCGTACTAATTGAGCGCCCCGATTTCGACAAGTGGTATCAGAGCCTGGTTCGGCAGATCCGGGGCGGTGGACGTCAGTTCGGTGGACCCTCGCTCGGTGACCTCGGGGTTTGAGATCTGCATCTGGTTTGGTGGATCCAGGAGAGATCCACGTTTGGGCTTGGCGGATCAAAGAGAGTTCTGCATTTGGGAAGCAGATCAAAGAGAGTTCTGCGTCTGGTAAAGTCCTTGTATCGAGAAGTCCATCGATACAAGGCATCTGGCGGATCAAGATAATCGTTGAGGTGAGGACACGATGTTCGTGGTCCTTGGCTTGAGGGGAGGATTGTTATGAGACAATCCAAGTACCACATCGGTTATACAAGGGAAGGAACCCTTGTATATTAGTGTCCACCAATCTCATTAGTACGAGGCCTTTTGGGGAGGACACCCAAGAGTAAAACCGTGCGGGCTTGGCCCAAAGCGGACAATATCGTACTTATGGGCTGCCCAGTTATGACAGGTGGAGAATAGGATCAATAGGCTTCATTATTGGTGGAGACTGAATTCGTGGTATGTACCCTCCAAAATCGAAAGAAAATAGCATTTGAGAAAAATCCCCGAAATCTGTGATGGTACCCCTTTGACTAACTCGTCATTGAAGAATAGTCTCAGGCCGAATCTGTGATCTATAGCCTTCAAAATCCATCGAAAATGGCCTTTAGACAGAAAATTGCCCAAAGAATTACGAAAAATGTCATCCCAAAATAAATCGGTCCAATTCAATGCCTAATGGACTTAATCATTGGTGGAGAATATGATCAATAGCTTCATTGATGGTGGAGAATAGTCTCGGCATGAATCCGTGATCTATAGAATCCGAAATCGAAAGAAAATAGCATTTCGGAAAAATCACCCGAAATCTGTGATGGTACCCCTTTGGAATCTACCAAAAATATACCCGGAACAAATCTTCCCAAATTCGTGCTTAACGGACTTACTCGTCGTTGAAGAATAGTCTCACGCCAAATCTATGATCTGTGGCCTTCAAAATCCATGGAAAATGGCCTTACAAAAAAAAATTGCCCAAAGAATTACGAAAAATGTCATCCCAAAATAAATCGGCCCAATTCTATGCCTAGTGGACTTAATCATTGGTAGGGAATAGGATCAATAGACTTCATTATCGATGGAGAATATCCTCGGGCTGAACCCGTGATCTGTAGCCTCCGCAAAAAAGAAAATAGCATTTCGGAAAAATCTCCCGAAATCTGTGATGGTACCCCTTTGGAATTTGCCAAAAATGGACCCGGAATAAATTCGTCCAAATGCGTGCTTAATGGACTTACTCGTCGTTGAAAAATAGACTCAGGCCGAATCCGTGATCTGTAGCCTTCAAAATCCATGGAAAATGGCCTTTCGAAAAAAAATCGCCCAAAGAATTACGAAAGTGCCATCCCAAAATAAATCATCCCAATTCTATGCCTAGTGGACTTAATCATTGGTGGAGAATAGCCTCGAGCTGAATCTGTGATCTGTAACCTCCAAAATAGAAAGAAAATAGCATTTCGAAAAAATCGTCTGAAATCTGTGATGGTACCCCTTCGGAATCTGCCAAAAATGGACCCGGATGAAATCCTCCCAAATTCGTCCTTAATGGACTTACTCGCCATTGAAGAATAGCCTCAGGCCGAACGCGTGATCTGTTAGGCTTCAAAATCCATGGAAAATGGCCTTTCGAAAAAAAAATCGCCCAAAGAATTAAGAAAATGTCATCCCAAAATAAATCAGCCCAGTTCTATGCCTAATGAACTTAATCATTGGTAGAGAATAGGATCAATAGACTTCATTATCGGTGGAGAATAGCCTCAGGATGAATCCGTGATCTGTAGCCTCCAAACTCGAAAAAAATAGCATTTCAAAAAATCGTCTGAAACCTGTGATGGTGACTTTCGATTTTAACTATTAATAATGAAATTAATTATTTCCTATAATCTCATTGACGTTATAGGGTTAAGGACCGGATCCAACTCGTTTAGTGTTAGCACCTCTATCTCCTACCTTCATTCTGAGTCAAAAAAGAAAGATATATGGCTGTAATAGGAAGTCTGTAAAGTTTGAGGACTAAGAGAAGCACTTACTTGTACGTGGGCACCCCGCCGTGCCGCCCACGGGCTACCACGGCACGACACGGTTAGAGCACGGGCACGAAATAAATGGGCCAGTTTGGCACGAGCACGAATAATCTATGAGCCGTGTCGGGCCTAAACTTTATGGGCACGGGCACGACACGGTATATAAGTGGGTCGTGTCGGGCCTAATATTTTCGAGACTTTATTGAGTATAAGAACGGACATGGCACGAAAATAATATTTATTTGATAGAAAATAAATATAAAAAATTATAGGTTCAAATATTACAAAACACAAGTAGAAAAATAATTATTTGTTGTTGTTAGAAGTGTCATAAAGATATATACGTAATTATTTACATAAGTAAAAATGAACAAAGAATTAAACAAAGCCAAATCACACTCGCTATACTTCCAATTTTCTTTCCCCCCTTATTTGTTACTTTTCTCAAACATTATCGGTTAATACTATCTTCCTCCGTCCAATTTTCACCTTCTTTTTCATTCTCTCTTTTGTTTTCGTCCTTTTCATTAAACACGAATACGAGCATGGCATGAGCACGAATAGGCACGACACGATTCGAACCGTACCCGGATTTGGGCCGGGCCTAGCAAAATTAATAAATGAGCTTGCATGGCACGATACGAAAACTGGCAGGCCGTACCAAGCCCGACACGAAATAAATAGGCCCGAAGCGTGCCTATGCCCTGCGGGCCCAGCTACTCCAAACCCAAAGTTATGGCCTATCGAAAGACAAGAGTGTACCCCCTCCGGTGTATCGAAATCGAATCGCCGGCTGTAATTTCTGTCCGTCGAACCAGAAAAGGAAGCGGGAAAGAGACAGATAGAAAGAAGGCTTCGACGGCGACTGTCGTCTTCTCCCTCATTAGTGTTCATTGAAGGGGGCTGTCTTTTTAGTTTTTTCCCTATCCCGCCGTTGAAGAAGTAAGTTTGTCGTTTTTCGCGCCAAGATTGGGTTGAGAAAGGGAAAGCAAACGAGGGTGGTAGATTGATAGATTCGTATAAAAAAAAACGAGGGTGGTGGCTAGTTCATTAATTCACATGACAGTGGGGGCGCCGATATGCATAAGCATCTTTTTGTCTGTTCCTATTGTTGATTCATAAGCTTCTTTTGATTTCAAATTTTTGTTATATATTGGGAATTAAGAGCCGAGCTCTGCTGTGTTTAAGATGCTAGATTTTTGTGAACCCAGATGCATACATTTCAAGTTTCGATTGTGGACATGTGCCGTGAGCTGATGAATCCCTGTTCATTGCTTCGTTGAGTTGTTGCTTGCCAAACCTTGATGAATTGGAAGTTTGATCGTAAAGATGGATTCGTTGTGTGATTTTGGCGCACTATCATTTTCTTTACAGGTTTTTGTTCAGTAGTTCTGGTGTTACTTTCACATGATGCGAGGTCTGCTAAAACTATATAATAGCCCTCATAGCTGCAAAAGACCCTCACAAGCTCTCTTCTTTGTTACTCGTGCTTCCTTTAGTTCCTCGGCTTCTTTGCATTCAATGTTGAATGTATTGTCCTCGCCCAAGTGTGACGGCGCCACCACCATTGAGAATATTGGATTCCAGCATCCATGGTCCTTAATTCAGCACCGGGGTGTTAAAGTGAATGCCATTCATGTAAACAATTCATTCTCTCTTTTCTTTTGCCCTTCTTCCTAGTATCTTTCCTCTCTTTTGTTGATTTTGCCGCTGAGATTATGCTTTGATTTGCTGGTTCATGCAGTTAAGACCTGGAAATGTCATTGAGAAATCAGGTTATGTTCTGGACCTCTGTATGTGTTTCTCCCTTTGAGGTTTATTTCAGCTAGTCATTGATGAAACTGCTATTTCTTCCTTTTCCAGGGCGAATTTACCAGGTGTGTTTTAGTTTTGAAATTTTGGTGAAATTTTTATTCTAGTTTTGACGGTTTTAATGGTGTATTTAGGTGGTGGAAGTAGAGCATAGGCAGCGAGGAAGAGGAGGTGCTACGATGCAGGTTCTACATCTTCCTATGGCTTTTATGTTTATGCTCACGTTTGTATTCTCATGTCAGAACTTTTCCTTGAATTTGGAACTCTGCTTTCTGTTTTACTCGGGCAAGAAGTTTCAGTCTTTTTCTGTAGTGTCCATGTTCTGGATATGTTAGAGCTTAGAAGTGACTGTTCCTGTTTTTGTAGTTTTTTGTATGGGTTGAGTGAGCTTCTAACTTCTTGGTGATATTTTCGTTCGTAGAAATCTCATTCGTATTTATTCTTATGCTGTCTAGCTCATGTAGCTTTATTTTGTTTGTGCTCAATTGTAGATTGAACTTCGTGATGTTGACAGTGGAACAAAGCAAAACTCCAGGTTTGGAACAGAGGAGTCTGTTGAAAGTATGGTCTTACATCTTTTAGTCTTTATCTTTCTTTTGGTGCTATACTGTTCATTTATTGTATGTATTCCGGTTCGTAAACATGCATGATGCTTATCTCCATATAATTTGTTGTTCCTAGGTAAGAATCATTTAATTTTGGTGGCCCTCAGGGTACTGATTATATATGCCCTTTCATTCATTCTTGCTGGCTTGTTGTTGCTGATTATGGTAGTTAATTATTTTCCTATAGAGAGTAAAAGTTGTTTAATCTATTTTGACTGTAAGTCTAAGTGTACTAGAAAGCTCTTGAGTCATTGACTTCCATTTTCTTTTTCTAAACAGAGATTTTGCAACAATCTTTGTCCTTTGGGTTTATTTTCAACTTGTTCACCTTGGTTTAGTTTCATTTGTCTTTTAAGTTATTTGAGACGACTCTTGCTTAGCCTTAGCAAGTCAGTAAATGATTAATTCCAATTCCGCTTTTGATAAATCTCAAGAGTTGATTGGCTCCACATCCTCGATTGCAGGAGTATTTGTTCAAGAAAAGTCATTTGCTTGTTTATATACGGAAGACAAAATGGCGTATTTGATGGAGTGAGTTGTATTTCCTATTCCCCTGATTTTTTGAAGTAATTATCTGTATTGGTTTTTATCTCTCTTTGTGATGCTACTCAGTCCGGTGAACTTTGAACAACTGGAAGTGCCGTTGGAGTTATTTGGCAAAGCTGCTGCCTATCTAAAAGGTTAGTTAAATTCGACATGTTGCTATAGCCCTTTGATAAGATATATACCTGGATGTTCTTAAGGTTTTTCTCCATAAGAAGGGTTCTAAGTTCTTGCTTATATTGTTGGCTTAAAGTGTCATGAATTGCTTTGAGTAGCTATTATGCTGTCTAACATAATGCTTTTAAGCAGAGGATTTGAAAGTCAAATTGCAGTTGTACGATGATAGACCTTTATCGGGGTCTGTGCCAAAACAAGTGACATGCTCCATCAAGGAAACACTAGCCAATATGAAGGGGACAACAGTGACACCTCGGTATGTTTTCATATTCCTGCTGCTAGTCAGTGTCTTAGGTACCAGTTTGTGCATATGTATCTGTTGCGGGGATTACTGGAGATATCTATAACAGATGTGCTGCAATTACAAGGATAATCGTGAAAATAAAGACATGCTTGTTAAGTTTTTGTCTTGGTACTTGACTATATCACCACCAAAAGTGAAAGAACCTCTCTTCCACCATTAGTTCTAAGGCTACTTTCATGCACGGAACATGTTACTCAACTTTACTTACTATGCTAATTAATGATCTCTTACCAGCTTGATTGTATGCTTAGACCTGATACATTCTTTTGCATGCAGGTATGTAAAGGCTGTACTGGACAATGGTCTCACTGTTCAAGTAAGTACCCTATGGTTTCATATGCTCTTCAACGTTAAACTGTAGAAAAGGAAGTTATTGTTGTTTCATCAGAAGACAGAAGGTGTTTATGCTAAACTGCTTTTAGTTATGAATTTTCTTCTCTGAAATGCCAGGTACCTTCTTATCTACAGATCGGCGAAAAAATAATTATCAACACTGAGGATGATACATTTGTTAGCAGGTGAATTTCAGCTAAACATTGGATTCTTTGTTCTTTTCTTTTGTTTGGAAGGTGGGGAAGTGCTTGCTTGGCTTCTTTGCCAATTTGAAGATCTAATGCCAGTCTTTAATGCCTTTTAGTTGGTGAACCTTTCTATGCTATCCTTCTTGCATGGATGCGGTTAAAATGATAGCTGAATTAGAGGATGATTGTGTTTTTCAGGGCTTAACCAGGGACATCTTGGCAGGCATTTTGCAATTTGGTGGGTTTTTACCCAAGAATAGAGGCAGAAAGGGAGAAGAACAAACTTGGGAATCCTAGGAAGAGCATTGTTGGATAAAGATTTGATGACATGGTTTTTAAGGATTTGATTTCCTTCTGAATGTCCAAAGCCAATTGACTTGTGATGAAGCGAAAAACCCAGCATAATTCAAGGGAAAAGAGGACATTGAAATCAGATGTAATATATCAGATCCCCATCCATGTCTCCTCCAGGAGTAAATTTATGAGCGTCTCAAAGTGCAAAATTTATTTTCTTCCAACATATTTTCAGAGACCAAGAACTCTCTTAGAATCTGAAAGGCGAAAATGGATCAATCTAAAAGGCCAAAATAAAGGAAGGCTACAGATACAAAGAACATCCTACATCAGTGCAACGGTAAATATTGTGTGTACCAAAACAATGGCTCCCTTGGCTTGCAAGGCACAAATTAACTCAGCCGAAACTAAACCCCCAACCAACGTCTACAAACCAATGCACCATATCATCCAAAGGTATTTAGTGTGTTATTTTATTAATTTCACTCCCTATCTCTCTTTCCATCACATCTATAATCCAATTTTCTTCTCTGCCTTCTGGATCTGGTTCAGGAATATCCAAGTCATCTGCACAATCCAAATACCAAACAATCAGTACATCTAATCTATGAGAAGTGCTAAGAACCAAGTGATAAACAAAAGAGATGTGATGAGATGAGTCATACCATGACATGTGGAGCAATCCTAACACAGTAAACAGGGAATCCAGTGTAGAATTTCAGTGGTCCGCCGGCCTTGAGAGTCTTCATAGCACAGTCGAGGGAACCAGTGTATGGATACTTTCCCTCAGCATCAGGCTGCATCTTCTGAATCTGTGTTTTCACATAGTCAAACGGAAGACTGCAAGCTGAAGCGAAGAACCCAGAAATGGCACTAGCACCTGAGAACACAAAACAAAAACGAATCAAATAGTTGAGACCAATAATTTGAGTTCAATCAGAGGCCAAAGAGATTAAAATGGCATTTATGTGTGTTATGTCATGATCAGGAAAACATGATTCACATGCAAATTGAATAAGAAACACCAACTTACATCCATTAATGAGAAATACAAATCAACTTCCTAGAATGAATACGATATAACAAGAAACCTTGGGAAAGCATTAACTGATGCTAGAAACTTACCAACAACCGTAGGGATTTCACCAAAACCAAGGTTATCTCTGAAGAGCTCAAGACTTTGATCATATGAAGCAAGCATTCCCATGTTCAAAGCCATTGCCCTGACAACGGTAGGTCCTGCACCCTTCCAAAGAGCCAAAACACCCTCATCTGCCACAATACGTGAAAGTGCATGGAAGGCATTGGTGTAATGCCGGCGCTGAGCAGCAGGTAAGGTGGCATCTGCCTGCATACGGATGAGTGCTAAATCTGCAGGGCTTCCAAAACATGCTCCAATAGCACCAGCAGTTAATCCACACAATGCCTTCTGATACAGAGGCAGAGGCTTCCCCTCATTCGCCTCGATTGCCTTGTTGGTCAACATCCTGGCAAAAGGATGAACATCATTTAGTACAATAGTGCCACATAACAAAATAACTTCAAAGATACCATACATTTCAACCATAAGGCTCTAGACAATTATTCCTTCACCAAAAAAAAAAAAAAGTAATGTAATCTATGAAGACAGAAAACAACAGAAAATAATGTTCTTTGAAAGAGAGCATGAGGTGGCATTGTTGACATTACAAAGCACTCACCTGAATGATCCAAGTCGAGCAGTTGTGTAGGTGGCTTGCCTCAGTAGTCCAGCAGACAGACCCTGTCCAATTATCATATAGTTAGAAATCAAGTTGACGATAAAAAATCAAGAATGTAGTTATCCAGTTATGATCTTCAATTGCATTAAGAAGCCAGAAGATAATCGCATCCCTAACCCAAAATTTAATAAGACAGTCTAAAGAGATTAAATCTGTCTGAAGAGAATGTTCACACTCTATCATGACCATTGCTGATCCAAAGTGCCAAGTTTCAGAAAATTCCTACAAGTATCATTTATTGTAATGGAAAGAAGTGACGCATTTCTAATTGTTCAACTTGTACAACAAGATCAATCAAAACTTCTGAAGAAGAAAGATCCGAAATTTGGCTGGATTTACACTGCTCCTACAAGCTCTGGAACAGAACTAACCCAGGCACTATAAAGGAATAGTAGCAAACTACCAATTACCCAAAAAATAAGAAAGTGACAACCTTTAACTGCACTAAGAAGCAGAAGGATAATCACATGATATTGCTAAACCCAAGTGAATTATGAAGATAGTGTTAAGACACTGAAGCCTGATAAATACTCCAGAACAAGCTAGCAAGAATCATTCATTACAGATGGTAAGAAGTGACAAAACATACAATCGTTCTGCTTACAACTAAAGCACAAAACTGCTGAAGAGCAAAGATCTAACAATTGGCAAAAGCTGGGATCTCAGAGCTCCAGAATGAGAATCTAGAGCAGATCAATCCAGCACTAAATCATCAAACTTCAACTTAAAGTGTTAACAACGAAGAGACAAACCTTGTAAAAGGCCCTAACACCTTCCTCCTTCAGCATGGTCGAGGCAACAGAGGATGCTGATCCCTGACCCAATTGGATCCTCACCTACATAACACAAACAAGCAGCAACAAGGCATCAAAACCATAAGCCACACCAAGCCAAGGAATCACGAGAAGCCCATCAAGCTCCAGATCTAAATGGATCTTATTCTTAGCAAAGTCCATTCACTCAGCGAAGATCAGGACTGATCTGAAGGAACCCTACAACCAAAATGGAGGAAGGAGGGAATACCTTGATCATATCGATGGGCTGAATGACGCAGGTGGCGAGCATACCAGAGGCACCGCCATTGGCGAACGGCTTGATGGTGTGCCAGACACCAAGGGGTTGAGCCTGCTTCTGCTGCTCTCCCATCTCTTCTTTGGAACCGACGAAAGGGAATGAGAGTGAGAGAGAGAGAGAGAGAGAGAGAGAAGAGAGAAGGGCTGGCGGGGATGAAGTGAGGGAGCTCGGCTTGGTTTCACGAGAGGAGCAAGAAGAAATGTTTAAGGCAGGCAAAAATCGATATTAAAAGAGAAACTCAAAATACAAGAGAGCGAGAGGACCAACGCTCCTCCCAACTCAGATGCTCCAATAGCTTCAGCCACTGGTGAATGAATGAATATGCAAGATCGAGGGAAAGGAAACCCAAAACGAGGGGAAAATAAATAAAGGTTTCCTTTCTAGTTTTTGTCTTGTTTCAGCAGCAAAGGTTTTTCTCATTCCATAAAAGATTAGACGGACATTAATTTGGAAATAACTAAGGTAATTGGACCAATTGCCGCATTTTAGTAAATTTATAATGAGAAAATTAAAATTATATACACTGAATATTTATACTTTTCCAGAAAATAATTAGTTCAAAATTATTCATATCCATCCAATAATTTCACTTGAATTTTGTGTATACAAATAAGTTTTGTGTGAGTCATATAGATTAATTTGATCCAATTATCACAAATTTATAAAATTGCTTCATTAAATTACTCCATTCAAATGACCGGCTCGTAAGAATATTTCACTTGATCCCCCAAATTCTGTATTTGAACTCATTATATCTCCCAATTTTAATAGGGCAAACAAATATCCTTTCGTATTTCAAATAAATAAGCATAATTTTATTTTGCAATAACAACTACTACCCAAGAAGCTCACCACCAAGGACATTGAAAAGTAAAAAACCAAATACTACATGCAAAACTACACATCGTACTTGCTAAGTTATACAGCTGATAGTTTTTAGTTTTTAGGGTAAATACAACATATTAGCCACAATTATTATGAAGCGGGGAATTATAGCCACAACTATAAAAATTCAAATTATTAATTATAACTATTGTTGCGGGTCAAGATATGGCTAATTATCTGTTACTGTTATTGAATTTTTGACGGAGAAGGCCACATCCTCGGCCACGTTGGAATGCTTTTAATTTATAACTTTAAAACATAAAAAAATAGTCAGTATTACTAACGAAATTGTTAACAGATAGTTAACGTTTGACTAATAATTTGAATTTTCATAGTTGTGGCTATAATTCCCCTCTTCATAATAGTTGTGGCCAATATATTGTATTCAGTTATTTACCCTAATTTTTAATATGTAGGTCTTATGTTAGAATCATACAGTGAATTTTTACTTTCTCGCATTTTCTCATTTAGTAGATGTCAAAATCGAGGCTAGATGATAAACACCCTCACATACAACATGGTGGTACATCCACCTCGACCATACGTCCATACAAAAGGGAAGGTCAAACGTGACGCACTCTCTATAATCGATGAGCTTAGACACCATCATTTGTGTTTGGGCAGCATTTGCATCTAGCATAGCAATAATACCACATTGCGCGTTTATTTTCTAATTCTCATACGAATGACTAAGAACTGAGAAGTTTAAAAAAATAAAAAACTGAGAAGTTAATAAAAATACTGATAGGACACCTTTGTCGAACATTTTGTAGCCATTAACAACAATGTTTTAAACATATTGTCATTTTGCCATTATTGAATTGTTTGTTTCAATAAATAAATTGACACAATACTATAATTTTAAACTATAAATCTATAATGAATATGAGGAAAGGTGTGAAATCCTCGCCATCAAGTAAGCCCATGGTTTTGTGGCTTACAATCCACGCCATCAACCAACTTCTGTTATATGGTCATGGTTGGTTGCGTAGGGTAGGATTGAAGAGATAAAAGTATATGTGCCATGTAGGTGGGCACCGGGCCGTGCCGCTCACGGGCTAGCATGGCACGACAAGGTTAGAGCACGATATGAGCACGGGCACGAAATAAATAGGCCAGCCCGGCACGAGCACGAATAATTTGTGGGCCGTGTCGGGCCTAAACTTCATGAGCACGAGCACGGGCACGACACGGTATATAAGTGGGTCGTGTCGAGTCTAATATTTTCGAGACTTTATTGAGTATAAGAACGGACATGGCACGGAAATAATATTTATTTGATAGAAAATAAATATAAAAAGAATTATAGGTTCAAATATTACAAAACACAAGTAGAAAAATAATTATATGTTGTTGTTAGAAGTGTCATAAAGATATATACGTAATTACTAACATAACTAAAAATGGACAAAGAATTAAACAAAGACAAATCACACTCGCTATACTTCCAATTTTCTTTCCCCCTTATTTGTTACTTTTCTCAAACATTATCGGTTAATACTATTTTCCCCGTCCAAATTTCACATTCTTTTTCATTCTCTCTTTTGTTTTCGTCCTTTTCATTAAACACGAATACAAGCATGACACGAACACGACTAGGCACGACACGATTCGAACCGTGCCCGGGCCTGGGCCGGGCCTAGCAAAGTTAACAAATGGGCTTGCATGGCACGACACGAAAACTGACGGGCCGTGCCAAGCACGACACGAAATAAATGGGCCCGAAGCGTGCTCGCCCAAGCACGGCCCATCGCACATGTACAACCATGCATCTACCTAATGGTCTTGAGGAACGAGGGCCATCTACTTAAAGGCCCAATAGATATATCAAGCAGGCCCTACATTCTTTTTTTTTTTTTTGCCATTCAATACCCCAAGATCGGGGAAAGAAAAGGATACATTGTCTGAAGAAGATCCAAAAGGATTCCTACATACATTGTAACCAAGAGACGAAGTCGAACCCTTTAAACATACAGGCGACATGAACAGGGCATGACGAGCCACAGAATGAGCTTCCCTGTTGTTAGAACGACCTATGAACCGAAGCGAGTAATCCGATAATTCATCTAGCAAACTACAGATTTCCTTCAGAAGAATACCTACTTTGGAATGGTGAAAATCTCGGGCACAACATTTGTCAATTATTATCTTTGCATCCCCAGCCACACTAACTAAATGAAGATTCCTCCTCTGACATTCAAGCAAAACGTCCCGCAACGCAAGCGCCTCCAACACCACCACATCATTCACACCTTCTCATTGACGAGCTTGTGCTGAGAGCAGACAACCTGAACTATCTTTGATCACAAAAGCTTATGTGCCTAGCAAACCCAAACGAGTAGCCCCATCGAAGGTAACTACATAATGGAACCCATTTGCCGCGGGAACACTCAACCCCCCATTCGGACTAGATCCCTGAGTAGCGCTATTAGAATGATTCGATTGCAGAATTGCTGAATCAGCTTCAGACACTTGATGTCTCCATTGCGCTACTAACGTTTCAATTTGCACCTGTTTACGATCAAAGAAAACAGAGCACCGGTTTTTCCACAAACGCCAAAGAAGACACACTACCTGTAAGCAGAAGTAATCAGCATCAGGTTCACTGTAATTGTGGAGGGAGTGGCGGATGAAGCCTGCAAATGATCCTAATTTCCAAGTCTGTAGCCGAGATTGGAATCCAATGATCCTCCATAACCTACGGGCCACAGGACAAGAGAAAAAGAGATGTTCTATAGTTTCTTCTCGCCGTCCACAAGCTGTACACAGAGGGAGTAGATCCATTCCTCGTGTCACCAAAGCTTTTCGAGTAGGAAGAACTCGTTGTAGACACTGCCAAAGGAAGAAAAGAAGTTTTGGAGGTAGTTTTCATGTTCAAACCCATTTTCATAGCACCGAATCCATGACTGCTGCACCAGCTTTCCGTGGAACAGGACGAAATTGAGCGAAAGCTAAATGGTAAGCTGATTTCATTGAAAACACACCATTAGCCTCAAAATGCCAAATAATTTCATCCACAAGAGGTCGTTGAGGAAGCGACAGCTGACGGATTATAGCCACTGAAGTATTATCAAAGAAGCATTTCAAAGCGGCCAAATTCCATTGCTTGGATCCTGGATCAATAAAAGCTGAGACCAAGGTTGTCAAACGGTTTATGCCAGTGTGCCGGTTTAGCAAGTGAAATGGTTCAACCGCTGGCACATACCGGTTTGTGCCGGTTCATGCCGGTCAATATTACTATTAAAATTATAAATACTCATATTTAAACATGACATTTAACGTCAATACCTAAGCATTTATACTTGAATTCAACAAATAACATCAATATTTACCTTTTATACTCATAAAATAAATAATAAAATAAATTTTATCAATTAAATTCTCTAAAATAAAGTCATTTTACTTAGAGATTCGTATATCGATCATGCCGGTCATAGCGGTGGTGTCACGCCGGTTTTATGACCGATACCGGTTGAACCCGGTACAACCGGTGGCACGCCGGCCGGCGTGACAACCATGGCTGAGACAAAAGGATGACTTGACAGCGCACCTGGCTTTGGAGATGGTCGTGAAGGGGGATTAGTAGGAAGCTAAGTACCCTCGAAGGCTCTAATGGACTCACCATTCCCTACCTGCCACCGGATGCCTTGCCGAAGCAGATCTCTCCCAAATAAAATACTCCTCCATAAGAAGGGTTACTCCCAGGAGCAACAGAAAGGAACCTGTTAGAATCAAAGTTGTAACGACCCCGGTAAATTCGTGCAAGAAGAGTAGTTGGCTCCTTGAGAATCCGCCATGCTACTTTAGCTAACAAGGCTTGATTGAAGCAGCCAAATTCCCGGAAACCCAAACCACCATCAAATTTACTCATACACAGATATTTCCAAAAGCGCCAATGAATGCGACCATGCCCCTTATTCAGTAAGAAACTTTTCGTGGTCAGCGGGCGGTCCAATAGGCCCAAGACAAAGCCCAAACAGGGGAGAACCTTGGACCGGCCGCTCTACATTTCGAAATAGAATACGAGCGGGAACCAAGGAAGAAAGAACAGCAAAAGGAAAGACGTGTCTGTCTTACCTTCCGTTCCGTTCCTTTCTGTCTTGGCTCTCCTCAAAAATTTCAAAATTATTCTTCTCCCCCCCCCCCCCCCCCCCCCCCCCCCCCCCCTCTCTCTCTCTAAACAGTAACACCACCAAGCAATCGACATTCCGAGCTCCAATTTCCCTATTCTGGTTCTAGATCGAGAATTCCCGGGCTCCCCATTCTACAGTTCTTCTTCATCTGCAAGTCGATCTGTAGCTTCACGCGCATGCACTCAGTCTCCGTCCGCGACCGACCCTCTTCATTTCACACTTCTTCTACAGTCTCCACTCTCTACTCCCTCCCCAGCCGCTTTCTTCATCCTTCCGAGTGAGTGACTTCCCGATTGCTGGGTTCTTTTCATCTGGAAGTTTCGGATTCGGTTTTTGCTTGTTTCAGTTTCTGCTCTGCGTTAGTCTGGAATGAATCTGCTGCAAGCTCCTGTTCCACTTCGAAGTGCATATTTATAGCTTGCTGTGTTAGTCACTTGCCTAATTGGGTACTGAAGCTATTAATTAATCACCCAAAACAACAAGATGAGGGCTTCTGGTGGGTTTTATATGTCTAGTTCATTAATTAGTTCTCCATAAGTTTACCTTCGTGTTGTAAATTTGCAGATACAGACTACTTCACCAATTTATAGCACATTTTTTCTTCACTGAAACATGGGGCTGGAGGACTACCATGTAATAGAGCTAGTTGGGGAAGGATCTTTTGGCAAAGTCTATAAAGGCCGACGCAAATGCACTGGCCAGGTAAATGTCTCGTCCAAATTTTGATTCATTTCACATGCTTTTTTAAGAACATCTTCCTTGGATTCCTTTGATCTTATTGCTGTTGGTGCATCCATGGCAGACTGTTGCCATGAAGTTTATAATGAAACAAGGGAAAACCGAGAAGGATGTACATAATTTGAGGCAAGAAATTGAGGTAATCAAGCACTTTCTCATCCTTCCTTCGCTCTTTTTTCTGTTGTTTCCTTGTTAACGCGTCATTGCTTTCCTCTTTGTCTTCTTTGTTCATCATCTGGTTGCCATTGCCATTAGACATGCTTAGGTTGATTGATTTAGATCGTGGTGCAAGGAGACTAGTGGCTTTCTAATGCTGCTCATGCATGGCATTCCCTGCAAGGGTATGGTCATAAAAACATCCCAAGGAAAATCTCAATTTTGACGGTGAAACTTGTGGAAGATGTTCTGTGTACAGCAAAATTCTCCATCATCTAACCTTTTTTTATGACAAGCTGTATGTAGTCTTTATAGACGAGTGCAATGATGATTCCAATGGAATAAATAGTTATGGTGTTGATTGGTTTGTTATCAAGCGTTCCATCTGCATTGAGTATTAATGTCATGAACTTTCTTTGTTTTACAGATTTTGAGAAAGCTAAAGCATGAAAATGTTATTGAAATGCTCGACTCGTTTGAGAGTCCCCAAGAGTTTTGTGTTGTCACAGAATTTGCACAGGTATTACGTGGTCTTAAGCTCTATAGTAAGCTACAGAGTTCACTAAATAATCATGGAATATTTATCGATCCGTCAGTAGCTGATTGCTTTTTCTAAATTCCAGGGTGAACTATTTGAGATACTAGAGGATGACAAATGCCTCCCTGAAGATCAAGTCCAGGCTATTGCAAAGCAACTGGTAGTTATCCACCTATGACCTCACATCTAATCAGGCTTTCATATGATCATAAAAAACCTGTTAGCCTCCTTTGGTCTGAACTTATTTCGTTAAACTTTGTAGGTGAGAGCGTTGCATTATTTGCACTCGAATCGAATCATCCACAGGGATATGAAGCCGCAGAACATACTCATCTGTTCTGGATCAATTGTTAAGGTTATACTGTGAATCCAAGTTTGCTCAGGACATATTATTTGTAAATTTTAACATCCCAACGTCAAGTTTGCTGCTGTACATATGCATCAAAACAAGATGCCTAGTTAGCTTAAGTGCTATTAGCTTTTAAATTCATTAGCATTTTGTGTTTGGTTTTCCTGTATTCACTATCCGTTTGAGTTTAGCAACAGTTTCTCATCATCACTATATTAAAGGATGTTTAAATAATTGCAACTCATGTATTCACTATTCATCTCGTCTCATGGCAGCTTTGTGATTTTGGGTTTGCCCGTGCAATGTCCCAGAACACCGTCGTTCTGAGGTCCATAAAAGGTGCTTATGCAGTATAGCTTTTTCATATTTTGTCCTCGGAAAATCTTCATCGCAGCCTTGGTAGTGTGGCTCTGATATTGATGCTGCTCTTCAGGAACACCCTTATATATGGCTCCAGAGCTGGTCCGGGAGCAACCTTACAACCACACTGCTGATTTGTGGTCTCTTGGAGTTATATTGTATGTGGTAGTGACCTGTTCAGTGTTTGTGCTTGTTCATTTTGTATTCCCTTATTTATGTGGTTTACCTGATGTTCATTTTATATTCTCCTCAACAGGTATGAATTGTTTGTTGGCCAACCCCCGTTTTACACAAATTCTGTATATGCTCTCATCAGGCACATTGTTAAGGTGTGTAAGCATATGCATTGAATGCTTTTCTGCTTTTAAGGTGTGCTCGTAGAAGCTAATGCCATCTTCGCTGTTGTAGGATCCAGTAAAATATCCGGATAACTTGAGCTCAAATTTTAAAAGCTTCCTTAAGGGATTGCTCAATAAGGTGGCCTCATATATTCTCTGTTTGGTCTTCTGCTTCTCTTTCATTTTTGAGATTGAGGTTGATCTTCATTTTGCAGTCACCACAAAATCGGTTGAGTTGGCCTCATCTTCTGGAACATCCATTTGTCAAAGAGATTTCAGATGAAATGGAGGGCAGGGTATTGCTATCCTTCTCAGATCCTATCTTGGTTCTTCAACTTTTTCCCTGGGAAAGAAAATTAACATTGCATATTACTTTTTTCTCTTTACTTGCATAAAATGGAATTTACAGTTAATGGTTTATCTGCATTTTCATGTTGAGTCTCTACATGAGCTTTTAGTTGGCCAATTTAGGACATATTTCTCGAACTTGTGAAATTGCAGGAGGTTCCCTTTGCAGTTGCTGCAGCTTGTGAATCTGATGCAGCCGTGGATATTGGCAGAAAAAAACAGCCAAAGATCAGCTGATCCAGCTGGGTCTTCTCCTGAGGGTATTGACCTTTGATCAATACAGCAACAATTGAAAGCTAAACTATTTAGTTAGAGTTTCTATTCAAACTGCAGTAATCCAGTGCCTTCTCCATCTAAATTGTCTCAATATAGTTGCAGGGAATACTTCACCAGTACCTCCTGAGGATTTTCCTGGATTTGCAAGTCATAATGATGTCAAGTACTCTGGTATATCTTGCTGTCAACCGGAAACTGGGTGCACTTGTATTTGATTTTCCTTAATGGTGTCCTTAAAGATAATGAGTTGGTTCTTTTCTGAAGTGAATGTGCTCGGCCTCTTTCCTTCTTAACTTTTTCATATTCCTCAACTAGTTAGAAGGTATGCTAGTACTGCTGTAAACTTCCTGTTGATGAAAAACCAGATGTGTGTGCTTTGGTTTTTATCTTACAGAAGTCTGCGGTACCTGAAAATTTTCTTGCATGGAAAATATACTGGCCAGTGATTTGTGTCTTGCAGTTTTCTTTTCTTTGTAATTCAGTTAAGGCTAAGTGTCGAAGTTGTTCCCTTTCGTTTTCACCTTTCTCATGGTCCCGACCTCTACATTATAATTGTTCCTTTTTCAGGTAATCATACTCTGGACAGATTGGAAAATAACTCACGTACAGTTAAAGGTGCACAAGTCATTGGTAAAGATAACGAAGCATTGATACAAGTCTTGCTACCTCTGAGAAGGTGGACAAAAGACTCCCAACATTCCTGCAGGTCAAATTCTGCTCCACTGGCATGTATTATAAGCTTAATAGATATCCTTGACATTTAAAGGATGCAATGTATCTGTAGTTCACATATGCTTCTCATTTGTGGGATTAATGCTCTCAATTTTCGCAGGGATCAGGAGATTATTTGTGCAAACCAATCCATGAGAATTCTTTCAAACTTGGCTGCTGCTGGGGCTTTCCAGTCTAGTGGACTACTAGATGAAATACTGAGTGAACTTTTTGAGTTCACTTGCAGTATAATGAGCCTGAATTCATCCGGACTCAATGAATTACTATCAAAGGTATAGTGTTGAGGTCTGAATTTACAGGTTTTTTCTCTTGGATATATATATATTTGTACAGTGCTAGGAAAGAAATTTGACATTCTATACGTGAGGATAGATGCATGCATCTATATTGTTTGTTTTCTCTGGTCTTGGAGGCAGTAAAGGAAGTCGAGCACATTTTCTATTTGACGTTTGTAAGAACTATACAATCAGTCAATTATAGGAGCCAGGTGTTCCTTGAGATCCAAAAATTATTAGTATTTTCAGCTTAGCATCAAGCATAATTATTTGTGTTAACTGAGTTGAACGCATCCAAGAAATTTCTTGAATGAGAAAAAAATGTTGCTTGAAAACGGCAACTTCCTGCTAATTAAGTCAAGGTCCGAATCTTAGGTTTTGTGTTGAGCTGCTCCTTTGTTTTGTTGTTCGGTTAATAGTTCCATAACCAATAGCCTCAGCATGACATATTATAAACAAAATTTTGCAGGTTCTCTCCGTCATAAAGCATTTGTTAGATTGTAGTGTAACCTGCATTGCAAGTTCACATTTCACAAAACACTGGGTTGCAATGACAGAATTTTTTTCTCAGGTAAATAATGTATCCCTCAACCCCGTTTCTCTTACTGAACCACCATATGCACTGTTTCAAGCCTTTTTTTCTTAATGAAAATGCAGATTCTCAGCTCCAGTGAGGACTCTTCAGGAAGAGTTGTTTATGAGGCCAGCACTTGTATCACATCTGTATTATCGAAAGTAGCAAATGCTCTCAAAACTCCAGATTCAGATACAGTTAATACTCCTTTGATGATTGAGACATCAAAGCAGATCCTTGATCGAGCTAAGACATGTGGCTTGATGGAGCAGTTATGCATTTGCTTAGCAACAGCAGGCTCAGGCCTCATTTCTGGTTCTTCTACCATGTTGCGTACTGCTTGTGAAGCTTGTAAGGCAATATGGTCACTGATAGATGGAGTGGAAGCTCTTTTCATGAAATCAAATCCCCCGTTATTTCCTGTAACTGCTTTTCGAAGTTGTTCGATGCGCCGGCTTCAGATTCAGGACCGTGAAAGAGTCTCATTGGTGGGAACAGATTCGACAAGAATGATTGATGCATTTAGTAGAGCTTTCTTGAGATCAAAAGCTGTTCAGGTAGCTGTCTCCTACTGTCTACGTCAACGTATGGAGACTTCACTTCAGGCTACAATACAGGTGCTTCCTTATGATTTTGTAGTTATTGTTCATATCATAGTTTAATGGTGAATTATATTATATTACCCCTTATAGAGATGATGTAAGCTCCGCTAATGACTATTTCAGATCCTTTCAAGATGCTGCCTGCAAAGTGCAATTATTCCTGGCGTTCTTTGTGGCTTACCCACTTCGCTTCCTTCTACTACTGTTGTAAGTGGTGGAGGAGATGGAAGTATAGTTTCTGAAATATTCTCCGTTTTGTCATTGTGTGCTTCGTTGCTAAGCAAAGACCCTCAAGCAGGCGAAACAGCAAAGACCAAGTTCGCAAATCCTTCCCTTCTAGCGATGCATTCATGCCTCCTGCTTGCTATTATTGCTCAGTGTTTCAAATCCTCTGGAAGAAATTCTGCATTGTTTGTGCTGACCACTTCCATGAAAAAACAGCAAGCCAGACTTTCAGTTCTTGCCCATCATTTTTCTCCTGATGATGGGAAGGCTTCGCTGCATCCACATTCTGCATCAGCCATGTTGGCTCTTTCTTGTATTCTATCCCTTGAGTGTGGTACTGCTGTAGAGTCTTCAATCTCTGAAGTAGCAGTTCCTTTGATTCCTCGAACTGCCACTCTCTGTGAACAGCTTAAGGTATTGGATGGAAATGGAACAACTAAGCCTCATAATTCCAGTGGTGCTCTATCATATTGGCATGGTCTTCGGGATGGATGTGTTGGCTTGTTAGAATCAAGACTGAAGTGGGGAGGGCCACTAGCTGTACAGCAGCTATGTGCAAGTGGCATTCCTCTTCTTCTAATTGAGTTGTTAAACCACAACCATCAAATTGCCTCTGCTCAAGAAACTGCCAGCAGTGAATATCAGGTTGGGCTCTCCCCTGCAGGGGTTGTGTGGACAGTTTCATCGATTGGCCATTGCCTTTCCGGTGGAGCTCTGGTCTACCGTCAGATTTTACTAAGGCTTGAACACATCAAGCTAGTCAGTGACCTGATATCTGAAGTTCACCTCAAGCTTGTTAAAGCGTGGGGTGGCCCAGGTGGCGGAAAGGATGGAGTGAGAGATCTGATAAACTCAGCAATTGATCTGCTAGCTTTCCCTTTTGTTGCTATTCAGAATGCTCCTGGTCTGCCTGCTTCCAATGCATCTATAAACAGCGGCTTCCTTCTCAACACGGGTTCACCTGGGGGTAAAATATGCATTGAAGATAGGGCCATTGTGAAAGCAATAGAAGAAGATTTAGGGAAGTTTGCAAAAATCCTATTGGAGGTAAGATCTTGTTTTCTTTCTTTGCAAACTCAATTTTACTTTTGGCTTGTTACATGAAACTATCATGTTTTTCATACCTGACTAAGGGTTTAGCGTAGAGTTAGCTAACCTCATTATCAAGATCTTCAGCATCATTTTGGCTTTAAAGACTCAGATGTCTGCTATCCACTGTGAAATTATGTTTCTGATTCTCAGTATCAAACCTTAGGTGGGAGTACCTAGCATTATTCTTCAATGCCTGGAGCATGTAGAAACTAAAGATTTGGGTAGGCCCGTTGCATTCCTTGCAAAGATGGCTGGGCACAAGCCTCTGGCCATTCACCTTGTGGGCAAAGGCTTGTTGGATCCTAGTAGAGTTCGAAGGCTGCTTGATAGTTCATCCCCAAGGGAGGTTACACTGGATATCCTTATGATCATCTCCGACTTAGCTCGGATGGACAAGGTAGCTCCTACTACCCTGTGTTACCATTGCTCTTCAGAAATGGCTTATATACTCTGATTGCAAACCATAATATCTTATACCAGTAGAATCAATTATGAAATGGTTAAACACCTTGCTTACTCGTCCTCAAGTTTGCTAGAAAATTATAATTGTGCAATCCGTGAGTTCATTATCTTGATTGAATATTCTCTGTTTGCAGGGATTCTATGAACACATCAACCGCGCTTCTGTTCTAGAGATCTTGAAGGACTTCCTGATACATGAAAACCCTAACATCCGGGCAAAAACTTGCAGTGCTCTTGGCAACATGTGCGTCATAGCGCCTACTTCTACACTTTGCTAGTATGTAAACAAACAAATTGCACTCCAATTTTAAAATGTAGTAGTTGTGCTTTTATTCACTTTTTTTGTTATCACTTTGCAGCAAAGAAATCGCATAATTGGTCGCCTAATTGATCGCTGTGCAGACCCAGATAGACGTACCAGAAAATTTGCGTGTTTTGCTGTAAGCTTTCTGTTTGAACTGTTTTTATTTATTTAGATTTTTTTTTTTTTTGTTCAATTATGTTCTTATTTATTTAGTATTGTCATCCCCAGATTGGAAATGCAGCGTACTATAATGAGATGTTATACGATGAGCTCAGAAGATCAATCCCTCAGCTAGCGAACTTGCTGCTGTCATCTGAGGAAGACAAGACGAAAGCCAATGCTGCTGGTGCATTGAGCAATCTCGTTCGCAACTCCAGTAAACTCTGCGACGAAATTGTCTCCAATGGAGCTATGCAGGTTTGTCATGCAAACTATATGCACCAGAATTGATCACATATGCTTTCCATGCAAATGGAAGACATGTTTTTATGCACCCTAAGATAAATTATTGTGCAACTAGAGAAATTATTCATGGACAGATGATTCTATTTTAATGCAGGCTTTGCTGAAGCTGGTGGCCGACTGTTCCACGATAGCCCTGAACCCAAGTAGGAAAGATGGGTTGAACGAATCTCCCCTGAAGATAGCTCTTTTTTCACTGGCGAAGATGTGTGCACACACACCTTGCAGGGAGTTCCTCCGGTCATCAGAGTTATTTCCTGTGATAGGGCAGCTGAGGCAGTCCCCAGAATCCACCATCGCCAACTATGCTACCCTCATTATCAGTAAAGTCAGCGGAACTTGAAATGGAATTGGGTGTTAGTTACAGGTTAAACATCCTCATTAGCTTTTCCAGTTCCAGGGGCGTGCTGATGAGAGTGGTGGTTTTGCTGCTAGTTCATTGAACTCACGGCTGATAGTGCAAACAAGGATTGAGCGACCTTTTATATGAAAGTTTAAATCTTTTATGTGTGTTTCATGTTCCAAAATTGATGTGGATTGGAGCATGTGATTTCCTGACATTCTGAAAAGTGAGCAATTTGCAGTTGATCAAGCAACTTATGCAGCCACGAAATGACCAATTGGAAATCATCTCTAACGAGTCCTTTCTGTACAAAGTTACATCATGTGGTTGTGTGTAAAATTATGTTTCTAACTGTCAGGAAGAGGTGTGTTGTTAGCAGCGCTACCATTCTCATCTGTTCATCGATAATGGTCGAAGCAAATGCCCTGGAAGCTTCTAACAGCAAACCAGGTATGTTCTCCTATTTGATTTGATGCACATGTTGCTTGGTCTTCTTGACAAATGCATTACGAATACTTGATCTTACGGTTAAACCTTATGAAGGTTTTCTTGATTTCCAAGGCAGATTTGCAGAGAGAGAGAGAGAAAGAAAAGGTTATAAAACAAGGAAGATTCCCGTGAGTTTGTTTTTGTAGGGTTTGGGATGAGATGGGATTGGCTGGCTGGCTTACCACATGCCTCCTCCTCCACTTGCCCACTTCTCAAACAAACATCGATTACCATTCAATTACCCCCATTCCCTGTTATACCCCTTAGATCCAACTTCCACTATCCCACACCCACTCTAGTTTCTTTTGCTTGCTTGCTTCTTTCTCAAGGCTCACCTTTGATAATAATTGAGATCCACAACATAAAATCCTTTTAATGTTTTGAGTAAAAAGGTCATGTTCATCATTGCTTTAGGCCATTTTCCTTGCTAAACAAATTACATAACAAAAGGTTGCAATATATGGAAACCCAACAACATTGATGTGATACCAAAATGAGCAAAGAGTACCCCTCTCATGGATGGCATTGTTTAGTTACCGATTGAGCAATGAGTGGACCCAAAAAAAAAATTCGAAGGAGATGAATAGATTAAAATTTGGACGAAAATATCTCTAGTTATTATTATTATATCATAAAGGAACAAACAAATGCTAATTTCATAATCAAATTACTTCAGCTTGATGAAACATCAATTGATATGATTGAGTTTGTTCCAACTTACATCAATTAATATAATTAAGTTTATAGTGGACAAGAACAGTGGCCTACAACAAATTCAAATATATTTAAATTATACCTCATAAAAGAAAGAAGAAAAAAAAAGGGATATATATTATCCTCGAAATGGCAATATGGTCAATTGGGCTAAGGGGAGTGGGCTCCAACGTGAGGCAGGCTGTCACGGCAGATGGGCTGGTCTGGCTGGAGGGAGAGTGTCGACTAAGACTAATCACTCACTCGGATTCCAAATTTATTATCCAATCCCATTTTTTCAACCAATTTCATTTTCGAAACCATAATCTAAAAGCTGAAAATGTATATAAAATTCGGAGACAGCAGAGAGAGAGAGAGTGAGTGAGAGACAGTGAGGTAGAGAGAGAGAAAAATATCTTGGGGTCTTTATTTTCTCGCTTTCTTTCCTTCTCTTTCATTCGCAGCATTTCCTTCCCTCCGATCGCCTTTTTCCCTTTCCTTTCCTTCCCATTCCTGCAGAGAGAGGAAACCAAGTTCGAATTTCTTTTCTGTGGGAGGGAGATCTTAGGGTTTCTTTCTGTGCTGTCTGAAGAAAGCAGAAGGCGCCCGAAGCCCAGATTGGAAGGAAGGAAGGAAAGATGAGGGAGATTATTAGCATACACATCGGTCAGGCCGGGATTCAGGTCGGCAACTCTTGCTGGGAGCTTTACTGCCTCGAACATGGCATCCACCCTGATGGCACCATGCCTAGGTATCCTTCCTCCTTCCGCTCTCTTCGCCCTTCTTCAATTGTGTTTGCTCTTCAAATCTGCCTCATTCTTCTCTTCCGTCTCTTTCCGCATTTCTCTTGCCGTCCTTGTTAGGGTTTTTGTCTCTGTCTTTATTTTTCTGTGCGTGAGAGAGAGAGAGAGATTCTTTCCGATCTGCTCTAGGGCGTTCCAATACGCTCCGTGGAACAGATTTCATTTTCCATGACTCTGAACAAAACGGCTGATTGCTCGCATGACGCTGTTTATGCTTGCGTTTTCTTCTGATTTAAGATCGTGTATGATATGTCATTGCTTGTGTCGTTGCTCTCGTTCTTGTTGCCGCTGAGTTAGTTTCACGGTTCAAGGGGAATGGTTCGTGATGTGATGTTATTTTCTGTCGTTCAACTGTTTGCTTGGTGGTTGTTTGACTCAGAATGCTTGTGGCTTCTTGCAGTGATACGTCGGTGGGTGTTGCACATGATGCATTCAACACCTTCTTCAGCGAGACTGGTGCAGGGAAACATGTACCCCGAGCTGTTTTTGTCGACTTGGAACCAACTGTTATAGATGAAGTCCGGACTGGGACTTACCGTCAGTTGTTCCACCCTGAGCAGCTCATCTCTGGAAAGGAAGATGCTGCCAATAACTTCGCCAGGGGACATTATACAGGTAAACAATGTGGTAGTCTCTTGATCTTCGTAACAACGCACTACCTTTTGAAAATGCTGTTGTAGAAATCCGAGTGTTTGATTTTTGCTCCTGCAGTTGGGAAGGAAATAGTGGATCTGTGCCTCGACCGAGTGAGGAAACTGGCTGATAACTGCACCGGCTTGCAAGGATTTTTGGTATTCAGTGCCGTTGGTGGTGGAACTGGATCTGGTTTGGGGTCCCTCTTGTTGGAGCGCTTGTCTGTGGATTATGGAAAGAAATCAAAGCTTGGGTTCACAATCTATCCTTCTCCTCAGGTGATTACATCTCCTAACATGTCAACATTTCCAGCTCTTGTGATATTTTCACCAAATGTTAACCTCTATCTTTTCGAAAACTCTATTGCAGGTCTCAACTGCAGTGGTGGAGCCATACAACAGTGTGCTTTCTACTCACTCCCTTCTTGAGCACACTGATGTGGCTGTTCTATTGGATAATGAAGCTATCTACGACATCTGCCGAAGGTCATTGGATATTGGTCGACCCACTTACACAAACCTGAACAGATTGATATCACAAATCATTTCATCCTTGACAACTTCATTGAGGTTCGATGGAGCTATCAACGTCGATATCACCGAGTTCCAGACCAACCTTGTCCCATACCCTCGTATCCACTTCATGCTTTCGTCATATGCACCTGTCATCTCAGCTGAAAAGGCTTATCATGAGCAACTATCAATCCCTGAGATCACTAATGCTGTGTTTGAGCCTTCAAGCATGATGGCTAAGTGTGATCCCAGGCATGGTAAGTACATGGCCTGCTGTTTGATGTACAGAGGCGATGTTGTCCCCAAGGATGTCAATGCTGCAGTTGGCACAATCAAAACGAAGAGGACAGTTCAGTTTGTTGACTGGTAAGTAATGTTGGATCTGAATGAAAGTATTTGACTTTTTGTATTTCGTGAATCTGCTTAGTCATTTAGTGTGTTTGTTTAAGATATTGTGAGGGAACTGAAACTATCTACATGGAATTTTTGCAGGTGCCCAACTGGGTTCAAGTGTGGTATCAACTACCAGCCTCCAACTGTTGTGCCAGGTGGTGATCTGGCCAAGGTGCAGCGAGCTGTCTGCATGATCAGCAACAACACAGCAGTTGCCGAGGTGTTCTCCCGAATCGACCACAAGTTCGATCTTATGTACTCCAAGAGGGCCTTTGTCCACTGGTACGTCGGTGAGGGCATGGAAGAAGGGGAGTTCTCGGAAGCCCGTGAAGATCTGGCTGCCCTTGAGAAGGACTACGAGGAAGTCGGCGCGGAAGGTGGTGATGACGAAGAGGAGCCTGAAGACTATTGATTGATGACTTGAACTCTGTTGTTGTTCCAAAAGTACAATGTTGCGTTGCATGCCCTGTCTCTATGTTTTTCTTTTACGCATCTGTGGTTGGTTTTGCGGGATGCGCCGTAGCTTCACACATTCTCTGGCGGAATAGTTGATTTGTTATGTTTGCAATGTGTTTTTTGAGCAAGAGGAGAAGCTATTTTGATTACATATTAAAAGATTGTTTTGCAATTGATTGCAAATTTCTGCTGCTACAATCACTGATGAGCTCTCTTTTATGTCTCTTTTCTTAGCGAGTGAAGAGGGTGTCTGCAGTTGAACTGATTATGTTGTACTAAGGTTGGCTCAGGTTGCATTCTTTCTGTATTATGTGATGCGACTCAGGTCAATATTGCCTTGTGGCTTGCTTTGTCTCGGCATGCAGATTGCAGGCGGCAAGATAGCCTTGGCCGTCCTAGTAGTAGTCCTACCATATTCTCATCATTGTCCAAGTGTCTACGCAATACGATAAGGATAATTCTTGTGCCAATTCTTTTTCACCACTTAAACCTTTTCACTTGGTTTGGTTATGATTATTATCAAGGGGACAAGACAAGGAGTTGTTTCGTGTAAATACTATTATTCCTTTTGTCACTTGTTAAGGGTGTATAAAGTTAAAGGATAATAAGCTCAACACTTGTTAAGGAGCTCGATTACATGTTGAAAAAGAGTTTTTTTGGTTGCCGAGAGATAATAAGTTATATCAAAGTTTCAGGTTTCGAACACATTATATAAAAGGGCTAATGTAGGCTTATAAATGGCAGATTCGAACACATTATGAAATTTGAAACTAGTATTGGAACAAGTACCAAAGTTTCAGGGGCCAAAATTAGCATGAAACCAATGTGTAAAAAAAGAAGAAGAATAACAAAAGTGGTGACTTCATAAAGAGTGGCATTTTACTAATTACTATGTTATTATTCCATCAATTCTTGCCTCGCAAACTCAGTCCTTAGCCTAGCCTTGCTAAGCTAAGCTAAGCTACCTCCCTATTATAATCTCTCTATACCATAAATGGGGAAAACTTGCATCTACTCCTTGGCTTTAAACCGTGCATTCAAGCTTTAAACAGGCCCTGAGGAAAAGGAAGGGAGTCTGCAAAAACAGAGCACAGTGTAGGGAAATCCCACATCGCTGCTGCATCGCTCTGATACCCCTGCATCATACACTCACTCAATCCATTCATTGCATACAACGAAGCCGAAATCTGCCTCTCCACCTTCATCCTCTCAAACTTGGGCAGCTCCAATTCCCCGGCACAAGCATCAAACAACCCAATACTACTGTGGTCGTGATCATCGGCCTGACAAAAGGAATTATCCATCATCCCCTGTTGCATTGCAGGATGCTGGTCCAATCCGGAAGGCAGGAATGGCAACAAAGACGATGGAGGAGTGCAGAGTAATTGCTGGAATGACGATGCCGATGACGCAGTACTAATGCAGGAGCTGACATCAGGCCTGTAAACATCGTCATCGAAGGCCTTCCTCTTCCTCTCTTGCTTGACCATATCCTTCTCATGAGAGAGTGAGGATGCAGGGGAAGTCTGAGCATCCCACTGGAAGCTAACAATTTGGCTACCGCTGCTGCTAGCTCTGAGAGACGGAGGGATGATGTCATTTGACTTGTTCTTTTGCTTTTGAGAGTTTCTCTTGCGGTGTAGGAGGTTTCTGATCTTTGTCGAGATGTGTGAATTGGGGAAGAACACACTGCTATGGCTATAGCTGCTGGTGGTGTTGGTGAAGTTGGTGCGGGTGTTGGTTCCCCGGAGGAGTCTGGCAGCCTCGTCGTAAGCCCGGGCAGCTTCCTCGGCGGTATCGAAGGTCCCCAGCCACATTCTGATCTTTTGAGTGGTGTCCTTGATCTCAGCAACCCACTTCCCGGAGGGCCTCTGCCTGACTCCCACGAACTTGCTCTTGCCGTTGCTTTTCTGTTTCGGTTTGGTGGTGGCGGGAGAGACTGTGGTGCTGGAGTAATGAAGCTCCTGCTTCTGGAACATCAGATATTGAGCTTCCATCTGTCTGTGGGGGATTTAGGGTATGGAAGAGTTACTTTGCGTGTAGTTGAGGAGAGGCAGAGAAGATGGGTGAATGTGAAGGAAAGGAGGATGAGTTAATATATAGGGAGAAATGGTGGAGGAGAGGAGAGAGGAAGAGGACAACGGAGGCCTTTTTGGGGTGAGGGAAGTGGTGGGGGGAGGATATAATTTTGTTACGTTTGCAATTAGTGGGTGCCTCGTCTGTATATAACTTGTCACCATGTTAGCTTCTTGAATTGATTCTCTCCATGAAAGCTACTTCTCTTCTCTTCTCTTCTATCATCAACCTGAATGAATGAATGAAACCATAAACCCATATATCTTTTAAATTATCAATCACCCAAGCAAAACAATGCACAAGACAAGACAAAGGTTCAAAATGCAATAGTCAAAGGAAGAGAGGTGAATTACATATATTATATATCTAAGACGGTATTATAACATTAACGTGTTTGTTTGGTGTGAGGTTTAGTGTAAATTGGTAAAAAAAAATTGTAAGAAATCGGATTAGTATTATATTACAAAAGGGTAAACAAGAACACAAGCTCCATTAAGTTGAAGTTGATGAGACCAGAAGCTGCATCAAAAAGCAGTTCTGTGTAGTCTAGTGATCTCACCATTCATTCGTTGGTTTGTGGTGGTCAACCCTCTAGAAAGAAAGAAAGAAAGAAAGCAAGTGCCAAAATATATAATCGTGAATGCACGAATATTAGCCACTTGGAGAGCTGTCATCAGTGTAATCCCATTTTATGATGATTAACAACCAAATAAATAAAACCCAGCCAGCCAGCACAAATGATGCAATATGGATGAATGGGGTCGGCAAGAGGAAGCATACAAAAGGATCAGAGGAAGACGAAGCTGCTGCTGCAGGCGCAACAATACAAACCCCAACTTTTTGCTTGGGAATCTTGGAGCCTCAGAGTTTGTGGAATCAGCCTTCCTGCTACAAAACAACCCCTCCAACCTGCAAAAACAAAAAGAAAAATGAACAATTTACAAACTTGCAAATATTGGAACGAGAAATTATCCAGTTACACCATCACTAGGTATAATTCGAATCAGTTTCGATTCTCATAATCACTAAAGAGATGTTCTTGTTTCAAAGATCTCCATACGAAGAAAGAAATACACAACCCAATTCGACATCAAACCAAACTAAAACAGATGAAATACACTTCTGATCTGAAAAAACTACTCATCTTTACTCTTCTACCAAAGCATAACTTGGTAATGCCACGTCAAACAGCCATGCCCCAACTCACACCCAAGGAATCAAACTCCTCGAGTCGAGACGAGTCAACAGAGCCGTTTCAATTTTCCTCCCAAATTGATGATGTCAAGTCAAACCCATTGACGACCTACTGATAATATTATAAGGCAGAGCCAAGGTTGGTTGCAAGTCCTTTTCCCACCTTCCAAATGCTCCAATTTCAGTTCCCATTATGAGAATACAACAGAGCAGAATCTTCTACATCACTTTAACACTAATGCCTCTATAACGTCAATATAGCAGAAATAATAATAGCTCCAGTATTATTAAAAGTAAGCACAGTATGAAACAAATCAGAAGCCCAATCATGTGATTCACAACTATGAAAAGTTCAAAATCCCCCAAGATGTATAATGAAAGAATCACCACTCAAAATTTCCAGTCGATACACAAGGACTCCACAACCATGAATGCAAAATGAATGCAGACAGCGAACAAAACTGCAGCAGAGGACCTACAATTCCACCATGGATCATGATCCTCTCCAGAAATTCTCACTCAAAAGTGCAACAGACCTTCTCAACTCTACTCAATCTGCTTTCCTTCCTTCTCTTTACCCACTGTGTTGCCCAACTCATAACATGACATTCTGTTTCTGGACACTCTCAATAAACATATACACATTTTTTTTCTCTACATGAGAAGGATACAAAGCAAAAGAGGAGAGGAAAGGCTTTCTTTTTCAACAGCAATGACAGACTTTTCACACTCTGAATCCCAACCAGAGAGACACCGCCAGCTTTTTCCTTGCTGCTGTAAACCATAAATGCAGAGAAACAATTGATGGGGAGAACACCATATTTATGCAAAGAATGAGAGAAACAATTATATATTTCCCAGTAACACCACACAGCTCGGCTCGCTTGCTGCATCATCATCACAACATCCCTGAACCATAAAAATAGATTCTCTTCTTCAACTTTACGACGGGAGGATCGATTGCAATGCCATCTGTTGCTGGGGAAGTAGCATAGACCAAGTTGAGGCTAATGTGTCTGGTGGTAAGGTCTGCTTGAGGTGCCTAAGCAGATTAACCATTCTACTTGCAGTATTTTCTGTTGCTAGATCCTTCCCACACAGAACCTACAATCAAATTGAAGGTTTGGAGCTTAAACAAAGACACTGTCTGGTTATCACACTTCGCCCCATATTATAGCATTGGCTAGCCACAGACTCCGGCCCCATAATGCCTCATGGGCCATGAAACTATACCCACCTCTACACACTTTTAAAGATCCATATTGACACAAATTCGACTGACAACATGTTTGTACAAAACTAACCTCAGCAAATACCGAAACAATCTTTGGAAGGAACTGGTTGTTCGGGCCTAAAATTTCACCGTCTGACCTGTAGAGATGCAGGGGAAGGGTGATTACAGATAAGAAACCAAGGGACCACCCCAAGCTCCTCATTAAGAAAGTATTGAGATATTCAACTCCCCACCTCTCCACCATTGAACAAAGTTGTTCATGGACAACTTTGGCTTCAATTAGATCACCAGTGATTGGCAAACAATTTAACCATGCTGGGATAACCTGCACAAACAAGAGGATCATTTTAACTAAAACAGGTAGATCAATGAGATGCAGAAACCAAGCACAGGCTAACAAGAAAATACGAAATCCAGATTGGAAATTTCTGGGGAAGTTATGTGCGAAGCTAGGAGATCCTAATTCATAGCTCATTTCCTAGCTATCACTTCTCATAAAATGATTCAGACAGACAAACAAAATCATCATCACAGCATGCATAAACTTTTACCTGAGAAGCATCAATACTGTCGCGATGGAACTGACAAATCTTCCCCAAAGCAGAAACAGCATTGTCATATGCCATAACATTTTCAGCTTGCTTGGCATTAGGGTGCCGTATCACAACATTTAGTCTTGAAAGTGCTTCTGGAAAAAAGCATCATAGAGTTGTTAATAACAGAATGGTAACAAATTTGGGTACGGTTCAGGATGTAAAACTAAGCAACTTCAACAAACATCAGAATGCATACCTCCTACAAGAGGCTTGAACATGGACGCACCAAATTCTGCACACACACCCAGTCCATAAACAGCTGCCTGCAAATCAACAGCTAAGCATGGATCAGGACATTGGTGACCAGAAGTATATTGAAGAACCATTCAGAACTATGGACTACAGACCTGTCGAACGTCTGGATTCTCATCATTGCAAGCCTCCAGTAAAAACGGTAGGAAAGTATCATAATATCTGTAGCATAAGAACACGGTAAGATCGTAGAAAAAATTGTTGTAGGAATGTTATTAGACATCTCAATGGTTAGAGCCAAAATGTCAAATTTTGGAGCTAGATTTGGCATTCTAGCTCCACCAAAGGTGTTTGCATTGGAGGGCAAACTAAAATGGCAAAAGCTCCAAATTCAACTTTGTCTCAATCCAATTTAGTGTGTAGATAATCATTTTATTTAGATAGTCATTATTTTCACATAGTAATAGTTAATTAAGGACATGTTGAGATTTATTTTTAAATTTTGGACATTGTTTTGGTCGTTAAATATGACATCATCAAAGAAGAAAACACACTAAATGATTTAGAAGTTTTATATTTTATGGGAAGAAAAGTAATTTTCTTCATGATAAGAAATAGACAAATATTTGGAAGGGATGCAAGTAGAAGTGAAAAAATGTAGTGTATTTATAGAGAATTTTGAAAAAAAAAGTTGTTGGAAGTTGAGAGAGTCGTTGGAATGAAATTGATGGCAGATCTGCAAAATAAAAATTTATCACGCCTAGACCAGACCATAGGGCGCGATAGCTGGCACACGGGGAAGGGCTTTGTCCCCTTCCGCCATGTGTTGTAAAGGGACCGGTTTGTTTATCATTTTTAGTCTGGGGCAAATTTGGCCCCAAAAATCCTACAAATCTACACTTCGGCTCTTTGACACTCCCATTGGCGGATTTTTTTTTTTTTTTATATACTTTTTGCCATTGTGTCGAAACATTGGAGATGGTCTTGAGAATTCAGCAGAAATGGGATCTTACTTGAGAGCTGACTCACGACATTGCTCTGCAACATCATCAAAAATACAAATGGCAATCCTTCTCTCCTCCGGTGTCTTATCCTTGCCCTAAATTCAGGGAACACATAAGTCTAACACCATGAAAAGAAGAGATTCAATCATAACGCACTTCTGGAAATAAGTTAATTAGGCAACATCACAAAGGCCGCCCAAGTAACATCAGATATATCAAGAGCCTCTCCACAAACTGATTAAAGTGGCATGCCGTCATGCACATTAATTTCTAGTGCAGTTAAGAAAATATAACTTTGGAAAATGCATACCACTCAAGGCAATAATACAGATTTCCTGTTGCCTCTTGCCTCAAAGGGATAAAAGCAATAATCGACATAAGTGCTGGCAATATGAGCAGTATCAAGATAACTTACCCACATAGGAGTGAGGTATGATGATAACTCATCAAAGAAAGGCAAGAAAGAAGCCTTGAATGTCTTGATCAGAGTACCCAATATTTCACCAACCTGCAACCACAAATTTCCATTACTATTAGGCAAACATACCATGATACCAACAACATATTTCAAGAACAGGAACCGCCTCTATACTAACTTGGTCAAAAACTTCCTCCTCTTGCTCATTTTCCTCTCTGACCAGCTCTCCCTCCTCAGCGTCAAAGTCTTCAGCTTTGGCTCTCTCTGCCCTTTCTCTCTTTCTACTTGAGCTAGCTGTGATTACTTGCTTAATCTCATCAACAACTGATCGTACCTGGCCTTCTTCAACAAGTGTGCCAGATATCTGAAAGAAAATCCAACTTCAATGATTAGCTTCAGCCCCACACCTCAGTTGTGATGGGAAGAATTATGGGAGCAAATAGCTATATGGAACTTTGAAAAGAGTAGTAGTCCAGAATATCTAACTGCGGTTGACATAATACACAGTTTTGCAGCATGAACATAGAAACATGCCAGCCAAACAACTCAACTAGGAAATGTCGAAGGCACTAGACCTGTAAGTCTTACAAAACAATATAGATTAGGATGTCAACAAACCTGTAAGCATTCGTTTAATGCATCCAGCATATTAGCGCAGATTTCAGTATCAGGCTCCTGGAATAAGATCACATCCAAGAACTCCATCAGTCACAACAAAATGTGAATGTGATAGCACAAGTTGAAAAGGGTGCAGAAAACAAATACAATGCTGTAAGAAGGGTTTCAGGCAGATGATGCACTTTAGAGGAGATTCTATAGAAACAGCTCCGACCCGTAAGAGGTTCTTCAACTTAAAGTAGATGCTCTTATAGAACAAGCAAGAATTCTGATCACATGGCCAAGAACTAAGGAGCAGAATGAAGCTTCTCGTGGGACTAGTATAAGTGTTTACAATACGGCCTCTAACCAGCGAAGTATATGAATGAAATGTAACCACTGTCACCTTATGTAATGCTTCCACCAGAGCTGGAATGATGTAGTCAGACAACTGTTTAACATAAGATTCATTTCGGCCTTGTGCTATTCCCTTCTCCACAGCTAATTTCGCGGACCGAAGGAGCTCTGGCATTGCTGGAAGCAAAAGATAAAATTTTCAGGGAATGAAGATATATATGGGCAGCTTTTCTTAGAGGAGGTGTAACCACAACAAAGATATTAGTGTAGTACCTGATACAGCAGCTTTTCTTACTTCTTCGTGGAAGTAAAATTTAAGAAGAGGAACTAGGGTCGGGGCAACCTGTGGGGTAGACATACCAAGTTAAAACGGCAACTGTTGTTTATGACCACGACAATAAAATGTAAATGTAATTCAGGAACTAACCTGATCTATCCATGGATAGAAACCTTCTTTAAGCTCATCAGCATAACAGCATAACATATTGCAAGCAGTAGCTTTTTCTTCCAGGACGCTAGTCTTGATGCCAATCCTTTTGTCCCCAAGAGTAATGGTCTCCATACTGTCACAAGCATTTGTTATTTCTTAGTAGAATACCTCGTACAAGGTATCATGAGAATACAAGCTTTGTAGCCTGCATGTGCTAAGGTGTTTTTGGTTGGAAGACAGTCAAAAATTGAAAAACAATACACCTACTCCAGTTATGATTATTATTAAAAATACATCCTCTAACCAGTGAACTATCAAGCCTGGAAAATCAGTTGTACCTTTCATCATCAGAATCGTCAATCTCATTATCTGAATCTGCAGATGTAATCGTCACATCTGGCTTCAGTTGGGCAGACAGAAGCAAAGGAGGCATGACAACACTCATGTATGGAAGGAAATCTTGCCCCAAACATTTGCAAAGTCTGGCCCATGCCTAGAGAATAACAGGAAAACAATCATAAAGTATTTGACCAGATTCACCATCCTTTTCTTAATAATGGCAGTATCAAGAACATACTTGCAGCATGTAACTTGTTGTTGGATCATCTGACTCCATTTGTGAGCCTTGCAAGGACATAAGCACATCCATGACCTAGCCGAATCCATGTGGCATGAAAATATATGAAACAAAGATAAAAACTAAGAGCCAACATCATCAAAATTAAGAATCGGTCAAGATTGATGAAACGGTTGGTAATTAAAATAATTGGTGGTGAACAAAACCAATTATTTTGCATTCTTATATCAGAGTAATTATGAGATTATGCTTGAGGAACAAGAGACCGTGCCCAATTCAGGTCTTCAAATGCTCACTGATAAGCATGATTTGTCACGTACCTGCTTAGCATCATCCCTGAACTTATCCTTGCCAACAGCCATTCCAACAAGACTAATGCACTCCATTGACTTGGCACGAAGCATGCGATTAGATTTGTCAGTTGCATTCACCAAGATTGCTTTCAAGTAGGGCATGACTGCATCATAGTACTTTTGGAAATGCTCCTACAAGACCAACATAATAAGAACAAAATGCAGCATGCATATAAACAATCCACACTCAACAACTAAGAAAAAAATTCACAATTACCTGAGATGAATCAGCAACTGATGCCAAAGCAGTTAGTGCTCCCTCTTGAACCATTTGCTTTCCATTCTGTGGTTTACATTGTGATAATCTAAGTTACTAGGAGTTTTCAACCAAGCTACATCATATAAAAATGGCCCCAATATATGTCATTAAAACGTTAGTCAACTTACCTGTAGGAGTACAAGCAATTTGCTCACTATTCCATCTAGATAAGGCGTCAGAATTTCAGGAGTACAGTTCTCACTAAAGTTGAGAACAGCTGAAGCAGCATGTGCCTACCAAAAGAAAATACAAAAGTTTCAAATACAGCAAGCAACATAGAAACGGGAAAATAGAATCTGAGCTACGATAATTGCAATTACAATCTATGTCTGGTTGATAGACAATCCAACAGGATATGTTTCAAAGTAAAAACATCAATTGATAACAATTAATAGATAAACCTTTGCCGCCATAGGTCCTACTTCACAGCTAATTACCTGTCAAATCTTTTCAACTTAAAAAAGCATCAAAGTAGAGCATTACCTGTACTCTTGGGTTCTGGAAGTCATCCATTGAAGCAGCTAGTGCTGGCAACACTCTTTGATGATACTGATTTTGCAAATCAGGACCCAAATCAGTAGACAATTGGCCAATCGCATTTATAGCTGCCCATCTAACACGGGGATGAGGATGTTGAAACGAGTTGAGAACCATGTTCACCACTTGCTCAAGATTTTTTAACATCACCTGCAGAACCAGATAACCAAGAGTATCAACATTGCCCGCCAACTTGTATCAATGTTACTGTGTTTTTACAGACTCTAAGCAAGCAATCTTGTTCTGCTTGACCACATGATTTAAGCAACTTTAAAGGTCACAGCACATAGCAGCACGATGCAATCATACCCAGAGAGAAACTACCACACATTACCTCAATAACCGGCGTTCAAATAAAACTAGCTTACAATTCCAAAAACAAGCAAGTAAGAAATATGGATAAATGACAAAAGGAAAGTGTTTTACACCTTAGAGCAACCCTCGGCAATCTGGGCAAGTGCAATGAGCGCAGCATGGTGCTTCTGCCATTCTGGAGCAGACAAGTACACAGGTAGCTGCTCAGACGCCACTGGAACAATTGTGTTCCCGCCCAATGATATTGCCAACCTATCCAAACACTCTTGCCCAACGCTATAATTACTCGACTCTCCCGCATCCTCATCCTCTGTCTCTGCAGTATGCCAAGCAGGATCGTCCTCGACATCCAACAGCATATTCATCAGTATAGCAAACAACCTGCTAATAAACTGCGGCAACTTCCTCATCATTCCAGGCGCCCTTTCCCTAGCTTCAGCCAAAGTAATAACAAACTCAATCGCCAAATGCCGAGTCCCCTCTTCCAAACTCTGGGCCTCGGCAATCTGCAGCATAGCCCCAACCACATCAACCAGCTGCCTCCTCAAGAATCTAGGCTCAGTTCCAGCCAGCTCAATCAACAGCTCCAAAGCCTCCTGAGCGGTGGCCTCGTTGCCATTATTCAACGCCTCGGTCAACGTCCTCATCATCGCAGGCAACAAATCCTGAAACCTATCCCGATCAGAAGAGCTGCTCAGACACTGGATGAAATTGATAACAGCATTCAAAGCGGCAATCTTCACATCGAAACTGGGGGAAGAATTCAAACACTGCAAGAACACCCCATGCAACTCCTTAATAAAGGGGACCAAAGTCTCCCCGATGTACTGCGACAACTGGGCGAAAATCAAGAAGGCAGACTCCTGCAATTTAGGGGAATCGGATGAGACGCACTGGAACATGAACGGCAACAGCTCCGGCCAACCGTTCTCCGGCAAAATCCCGGAGGCGAGCTCGGACACCGTGTCACAGAGCTTCTTCAAAATCGACTTGGCCTGCTCCTGCTGGACGCAGGAGAGGAGTATCGATTTGAGTGACGACTGGGTATTGATGTTGAGGCGGGGCCAGAGGTAGGCGTCGTCGCGGGTGAGTAGCTTGCGGAGGAGGACGGCGGCCATGGCGCGAGCGTCGGGGTGAGGGGAGTGCTGGAGGAGGTGTGCGAGCTTGAGGGAGAGGGAATCAGGATTGTTCTGCTTGCAGAGGTTGAAAGCGAGCTCGGCCTGGGATCGTTGTTCGTTGGATGAGGACATTAGGGAGGAGATTAGGGTTTCGAAAGGGGCCGGGTCTTGCCCCAGGATGGCGGCGAGCTGAGCTTGCTGGAGCTGCTGTTCGTCCATGGCTGCTGCTGGCTGGTTTGGTTGGCAGGCCGGGAAGGAAAGAGGGTGGCGTTTGAGGCGGGGAATTAGGGTTTTTGGGGGGGGTGTGGAGGGAGAAAAGCAGTGAAACAGTGAGAGGAAAGTGAGATTTTTGGGGGAGGGATAGATAGATAGAGAGAATATTAAGAAGAGTGGGAAAAAGCAAGGTAGGCTGGGGACGGGAGTGTGGGGTTTTATTTATTTGGGGATCGTTTTGAGTATTTAGACAAAGGTTGGGGGGAGGAAGGGAGCGGAAAATTGGATTTTGATATTATTATTTTATCGATAAGGAGATATGTTGAATGAATTATTGTTGCGGAGGATTAGCTGGAATTCGTGGGTAATCATCATCATTATTGTGCCAACTTTATCTACGGGCTATTGCATTTTTTGTACTCTTATTCTCCAAAAAAGAGTTCTTTCTAATGTATTAAAAACATGAAAGGGAAATGTTTCTAACAACTCATTTGGAATCAAAAATTAATTCCATATTATTACTAGAGTGAACATTGAAGGATACATACTATATACAATGAATAATCCTATGAGAATTGGATGTTTTTGTTACTCAAACCTCAAATGGTTTCTACATGCTAAAAAACAAAAGGTACATGAATAGGCTTTTACAATAACGTTAATGTAATTGGGAAAAATACTCTAATTTATATGGTTTTTATAGAGATTATAACTCCTACACAATACATGTGCAACAATAATATAATATAGTATAAGTATAACATAAATCCACTTGTAATATCTATACTCTAATATTATATCGCAAACAAGTATTGAATCCACCAACTACTGTTCACATTATCGCACAACATTTTCGCATCATCAATCTTCAAAACAAATACTTGTCATTTTCCGTATAAGTGATGATGTGTATTAAAAAAAAAAGTGTCTTCAAAAATTTGAATCAAAATGTCAAACAAACTTCGAGACTATACACAAAAAACTAGAGCTGGTCATTCGGTTTTCGGTTAGTGGATAACTGTGAATTATAACCGATAAATGTCAGTTATTGGTTAACCGAAAACTGAAGATTAGTGGAGATGGTCGGTGTTTCAGAAAGGTAACGAGAGAGGGTGGTTGACCGACTAACCGAACTCAAACTGATGGATCCAATTAAGAATTGTAATATTACCAAGGCAGCACATAATTGGACTTGTAAGAAAGAAAGCCCACGGAGGCTTCTCAACCATGTCTCTTTCAAGTTTTCAAACCCCAAAAGCAAGCCTAAAGGTTCCTCTCCTCGGCCGAAGCCCACTATCACGGTTATGGCCTCCTGCGTTTGTGGCTTCCCGATTCTCTTATCAACTCTCCGATCATGATCAACCAGAACCAGGTATGTAATGTTGCTCTTCTTCCAGTGATCTCGCTCAGAACAGCTTGCCATTCTACCCTTCTCTCTATCTAGTGTACAATTATCTCAAATGGACATAACCGTTCACTCTATACACTTCATGGTCCTGGTAAAGTACAGTTGGCTTCACGCATGGGAGTTGAAAATAAATTAGTGTGTTCTCCTCCTCCTCTCATCATCATCATTGCCCTCATGGTCCTTTGACATTACTTTCGATTCCGATCATCAAATATTCACGTATTATGCTATGCACCACCCTAAAACTCTCATATGATACATAGGTAAAATTGTTCTGTCAGGGCCATGATGTAACCCTTTCCAAACAATCGATGGAGTTGAATTCCAAGGATACTAAACAGGAAGCGAATATGATGCAGCCAGCAAGACCTATAGACAAGAACACAGATCCCCCGCTTGCAACCAAATGCACCGTGCTGAGTATATCACCAGAGACCTGCTATTCAGTCACAGATCAGAATCGTTTACTGAAACCCAATAGAAATGGAGGACCCCAGTCACTAAAAGTGGCAAACAATAGATATCCTCCATTCACTAGAACCATAGGCCAAAACAAGAGGTGAAATTTACATCACAGGAGCAGAGGCTTTTCCCCAGTTTTCATCCACACAAACAAATGAACTAACAGAATCAATACAAGAACAAAATGCCTCGCCGATATAATTCAACAGGGTATCATTCTACTCTCAAGTGGGAAGAAGCTATTTGAATTGAACCTGGTTCCAGTCAGCACGTATTAATCCCGTCCTTGCAATCACTCGTCAAATTATAGAATGTCTCAACCCGAGTCTTCCCCCTATAGAACACCTCAGTATCCACTGCAACTCTCATATACCCATCGAACTCCACTGCCCTCCCGCCATTCAATTCCCTCGTCTCGTTAAACCAATCGCTTGTTTCCCCCCACATCTCCTTGTAATCATCCAGCAAATGCACCTTAAAGTGTGACCTCAGCTTATCGAAGTAATTATAGAACGGCTCGTTCGTCGCCACGTACAAGTTCCTCCATGGCTGAACCATCTTTTGAACCTTCTCCACCAAGGCATCTGGGGACGTGTCAGAATCTAGATGTGGCCATCGTTCTTTATTCACTGCTTTCTCACCTCGAACCACATGAACCGCATCGAAATCCCAGTCCATACGCCCACTGATGTCACTCACTATGTTCATCAGCCTCTTGGACTTCCAAATCGCGTGCCATGGCCTCTGTACGTGCTTGGAAGCTTCACCTTCGCATACTCTGTACCAATAGTTCTCAGGCTCGGGCGAATCGAACTGCCTCCAGATGATACTGCTCTTATCTTTCTTCAGTTGCATTGGTGTTGTCTTATGAGTCACGATCTTCCTCACTGGGATCTTTCTCTTGTGTGAACGATCCCATTTCTTCCAATCCCTCAAAAACTCACTCTCTTCCACAATCGATGCTGCCTCCTTGAGATGCTCAAAGTCAAAGTAGTACCGGAAATCTTTCCCTTCTTCGTCCTTCCCACTAGGGTTGTAGCTACCTGATAAGCATAAGCTCAAGTCCATCACGAATGTTCGGTTTAAGTACATTGCTTCTCCTAATCCACATAGGAAGCTCCACATGTACTGATTCATCCCTTTGCAGTAATCCCCTCCTCTTGAGTAATACAAGTACTTCCCTTTCCTGAAATTCAAGTCTGACCCTAGGGTTGGGATGGTGTCGTTTATCTCGTCGTCACGAACCGGTGGAGCAACTCTTGGCCTGGTTCGACCACTAGGTCTAGTAGCAGCTCTTGGCCGACGGGCATTGAGACCCGAATGCCAGCCATTCGCGTGGACAATCTCGTAGGTGCAATTATCCCCATACCCAAACTTGAACCGCCTGAAATCCCTGTACTTCCTCCATGACTTCTCCTTCTTGTTACGAAACCTCCAGGAGACATCACATTCATCGGGGTTCGAGCCATTAACGGGAGTCTGATAGTCCAAGAACACAATGTTGGTCTTGAAACGCTTTAGATTGAACCTCTCGACTGCAATCAGAACCATGGGATCGGAGCAATTGACAAGGTTTGAATCCTCACAGCCCGAGGATTGCAGAGTAGTAGAAGCATTTTCATTCTCAATCTCAATCTTGGCTTCGGATTTCTCGATCACCTCCTCTGTGATCCCCGTCGAAGGGAGAGCAGCAGGAGCACTAATACTCACAGTCTGTATATCCTCGCCGGTTTTGAAGATGGAATTGTCGATCTGGAAAGTGGCGTTCTCGCTCTGGGTGAAGAATTTGGTGAGAGCTGGAGCTGATTCCAGCCATGGATCTGGAGGTTGGTAGGTGATTGCAATAACAGTGAAAATCAGAACAGTGAAGACGAAGACTGAGAAGCACAGATTGCTTATCAACTTGATGAGGTTCTGCCCAATTGGCTCAGTGGAAGGAGTCGCTGCTTCCTTCATGAGTTCTCACTCAAACCCTACAAAAAATCTCGCCAGTAAAACACCAAATTTCCCCAAAATCAGATCTTTTTTATTACAATCCACAAGATAAAAGGAAACCCAAGCTCAGTCCGCTCAGATTCAGCAATGGGTACCCACACAAACACAAATTTCTGAAACTAATTAAGCAAAACGAAGAGAAAAATTGCAAAAGATAGTTGGGTTTAAGGAGTTCACTTACTCGGAAGCGAAATCTCTCCAGTAGCCGCCGCGAGATAGAGATCGAGATCCACGCCCAGCTGAAATGGAAGCTGCTTTTTCGCAGTTATCGATTGATGGCGGTGAACGGGGAAATGGGAGGTCGGGAAAATTGGAGAAGAAATGACGCGGATGGATGGAGCAAAAGGCTGAAGCTTTGGTTCGAAGCAAAGGAAAGAGGGAGTTGAGATGTGGATGGTGGCGTGAGTGAGAAATTTTACAAAAAGAGATTTTCCTTTCTTAATTTCCGAAAAAATTTGAGCTCTCGATTTGGATTATGGAGTTGAGCTGTTGCCAGGGCAGCACTAGATCTCTCTTTCAGGGAGCGTTGCTAATTGCTATATCGTAGTCGTCGGTGGGCGTTTTATTCTTTTTCTATTTCTGGTTAATTTCCAAACTTTATGATTTGAAAAGAGGATTATGGCCATAAATATTGGGTTAATGGCAATTTCAAGTTGGGATATCACCTTCAAATTAGGTGTAGCTCCAATCAAACTCCAGAGGGTCACTCACTCCCCTTCTAAAGGGTCCCTAGCTAGAAGTTAGGAAAATGAGAGGTTCACATATTAAAGAAGAGTCAAGGAAACAGAGCAAGTGTCGAGTCGAGTACCATACCATCCCATAAAAACCAGCAATGTCTGATTACCTTCAGTATTACTACAATGATTCGTTAACCAAACTAAGACCAAACTAAGAACATTGTTTCCCTGGTAGTACGAGCGAGCGTAAATCATGCGCAACCAACCTATTAGGAAGAAAAAGATGAGTATGAAACTGAGACCACTCTAAGCTAAGATCGCCGCCGCCCGCTGTTCACCGGCGGGAGATCAACTACTCTGAAAGAAGGGATTTAGCAAGAAAGTGTTAGCAAGAGCCGAGTGGTGGAACGAACAACATAACGCATTACAAACCTAGAGCTACGAGCCCAATTCGTTCTCCATTTACCATACCACAAGTCTAGGAATTGAACATCTAACACAATGCACAATCATTGAAAGGGCATTTGGTCTAGTGGTATGATTCTCGCTTAGGGTGCGAGAGGTCCCGAGTTCAATTCTCGGAATCCCCCACCTCAAATTTTTTTCCCTTACATGATTAGCAGTAGCAGTAAGAGATGACAGATCCAGAAAATGGACATACAGCTCATTTCATTTCATTTTTCACCAGAAAGGGAAGATAACCAATATCCATATTAATTACATTTGCAGGCCTAAAACACATAAACTTGAACCCCTCTTCAACATCTCACGTCACATTAGTAGATTGAGCAGTAATGAGTCCATATGTATATCACCAAGCTTTCTTCCTCAAATCAAAAGGTCGGAGGAGCGACAGTCCAAAAACTTGCAGCTAACAAGTAACAACGAGACCCCATCCTACAGAGGCCGCTATACTTGCACCACCTTCGCCCCTTCTCTCAATGGCTGGATTCTTCTGCTATATGTCCTCGCTGCTCTTTAGAACAACACTTCTGATCTAATCTAATGCAACCCTTCCTTCACATTAACTTGAACTCAGCTCCTCCAACTGTTTTAGTCAAACACCAGTTGCAGTTGCAGAGAGAACATGATTATACTTGGTGGGCTGACCAACTTGGTAAGCTAGAATGGGCTTGGATTGTTCTTTGGGTGTGGAAAATTGGGCCCTTAGCCCAACTGGTTGGGGCAGGGTAGGGTGAACGAAGGAAAAGATAAAATAAAGTCGGGCTAAGTAGTAAGTAGTAGCATAGCATGCAGCTGGATATAATTAAGCCTGGTGGTATTGGGCTAAGAAATTGAACTCAGATTGATACAAATGTTTGACCGTTGAGTTAGAAATTGACTTAGTCGACAACTGTAGTTGAATAAGGAGCTTTGTTGTGTTCCGTACATTGGTATAATGTGATTAATGTAAGTCCTCGAGTGGAGGGGAAGGTTCTTGGATAACACATTTGACCCAGCTGGACCAGACGATAGAGGACAAAAGGAAACGAGCTAGCTAGAGAAATGAATAGAGTTGTTCGCTGCGAGTAGGCTCTGCTTTCTTATCAATTAACACGTACAACAACAAGCCAACAACAACGGTTTCATTTGCTGTATAGTTTATTTATTAGCACCGGCAGGCAGGCAGGCAATCGAGAAACGCAGGGTTGGGTTGGGTTGGCAATGGGCTGGCTTCCAAAATGTGCATGCATTGATTTGCTGCTACTGCAGATCTCTCTCTCTTTCCATAATTCCAGCTAGCTAAGCTCCTCCTTCCCAATGGCTTTATAACTATCCCCAGTGTTCATATCCATAATCCATACAGATTTATTTATTGATGGCCAACCCACTGCCTGATTGGCTGATTTCATACTTTTAGTGATGTGTTTTGCATGGCTGCTCTAAAATGTACACAATTCACATATAGACAGAAGATTGGGAACTTGGGAATTAACCAATATGGATCAGGCAGGAATTTATAACCAGAAATCCAATTTTTCCTTTTGTGCAAATACAGTATGAAGCTTCCTGACTTGGTTTTGCTCTCCCTTCCATTAGGAACCGAAACACACAGAGTCAATACTGGCTCCTGTTGAAGATTTCCTGCAAGATTTGTTGACCCACTCCCAAGCTTTTATCGAAGAATAAGTTACTCTCATTCCTCAACGACACAGACAAGTGTTCATAAATGAACAAATGGGTTCCTTTTGTGTTTGTATTCTACTGAGGGCCTTGCAGAAAGAACTTGCCTTTACAATGGTACTTGCTTTTTGGTATCAGAAATAAAAAATAATGAAGCCATATTCCTATACCATCTTTTCCATATTCACAGAAAAGGAAAGACAAAAGAATGAACCAATTGGGAATTAAAAAAAGTTAAAATCCATATGTTGAACTATCTAATTGTAAGAAGAGTCATCCATCTGCATGTGAGATTGACAATGGCGATGAGCATTGTGTCTTTGAGAAGAAGGGAAAGCTTCGACTGAACCGGGATGGTGACTCCACCACTAATGTTGTTGCTTCCGTGGAAAACCCAGCTGGCAAGGACAATCTCTGGCTAGAAAGACTGCTTCTTGGAGACAAGTTCACTTGCTCCAGTGCCCTAAACTGGAGCTCTGAAGGGTAGTCCCTCACACACCCGATTCTCGGCCCTGCACCGGTCGTCCATTTGCAGGACAGTTGCCTTCCAAGTTGATACGACTTGGTTCCCTTCTTCGAATTGATCCTTTCCAAGATTGCTTCTCGAGGAACGGTCTCCACTTCTTCCTCAGCAATCTCTTCTTCTGATGATTCATAACCATTTCCCTCTTTGGAATCGTTCCAATCAAACAAATCAGCCCTTGTTGGAATCTCAAGACTTGGTAACTTCTTGTTCAAGTTACCAAGCCCCTCTCCTGCCTTGTGCTGATGTTGTTCCACTGCTGCTGATGAAACTGAAACCTCTTGTTCTACTTTGTTGCTAACTACTGAAGTCAAATTCTCATCGACTGCTTCGATTAAGTCATCGTCTTCGGAGTTGGTTCTAAGATGCTTACTGCTTCTTTGCTTGGAAAGCAAGCCATCTTCCTCGTCCACAGGATTCGTCTGAGCAATTAAGAAAGAAACAATAACAAAAATCTCAGCACACATGGAAACTAAGAAACAAACTATCAAACTGAGAAACTGATGTCGATGAATGTCTCTCTTTACCTTAACATCTGTCAGATCAACATCATTCTCTCTCAGGAAGGAAAGGAAGTCTCGAAAATTCTCCTCAGTAGGCCTATAGTGACCGCTGTGAGGCCAAACTGTCTTTAGTGTGCCATTCTCAGCAATCAACCTTCCAGCAGCAGTTGCTACTCCACCAGCCAAGAAGCTAGAGTGCTGAAATGTCCCCTTCTTCTTCTGACCAACATACAATGTCTTTGATGTACTAAGAACAAATATCCACTTGGAATCTCCAGTTGTGTTGAGCAATTCCCCAGTTTGCTTGTAAATCAACTTCCCATCTTCAACCACTACTTCATATGCCTGCCTTTCCATCTGCAAGATGTATGAAAACACAATAAAGTTTAGCCAAACTAATCAAGGGTCGAACAACACAGAAAAGAGATCTCCCAAGCAAAGAAAGGGGAACTTACTGGACCAAGATACTTTATGCATTGCTGTTGAAGCTTCCACCGGGGGCATTTCTCAACCAGGTTAACTTCCTTTCCTTCACCTATGTCCAGCCTGCAAAATCCAGATTACGCAAATGTTCAGTTCCCAGAAAAAACTATAATAAACACGAACAAATGAGGGCATAAAAGGCTTAAAGAACAGAACTTTACCAGTAAAAGAAGGGCTCTCTACTCTTGGAATGAAGCCAGCTATCATAATAGAAATGGAGGTTATGCCCATATCGATGCCTTGGATCAATCTGTTTTCAACAAAGGAACCATAGGTTAGATGACACTCAAAACTATAGATAGAGAGATTAGAAAAATACAAAAGAAGTGTCAACTTGTAACTTACAGCTTCAAGCCAATGCTGGATAGCCAACTTCTGAGCCTTGCCATTCTTCAACAAGCCTTTCCCAACCTTAGCAGCTCGAGTTCTAGCTCTGGACCACCTCGAAATGGCGGTCTCGTGCTTCTCGATGTCGAAAAATGAGATGGAACTATGCTTGAGCTCAGCAAAATCCAAAAGCTTCCACCTTTAAAAAGTTAAACATAACCCACATTAGAACCCTTCACTATGTGCCAGTCTTCAATACGATTCTAAACCAAAGAAAAGGAAAAAGGCCAAAAATAATTTCATACCAGCTCTGCTCAACAAGAACGGCACAATCAGCAAGCTTTCTCCTGGTCCTGAAGCTCTTGTAAACCTTCTGCAACTTCACAGCAGCCTGGTGCTTAGGGTTTGCCGGATCGAAAACGGGCATCTTTCGAGGCGAATCGTTGTGATCATACTTGGCATGCTCTTGGATAGAGTTCATCATTTTCTCGAATTCGACCCCTTTCAAGCTGATAGATCTCTCTACCACCATCTCTCCAGATGCAGAACGTGAAACTGTGGGCTCTAAATCTGACCTCTTAAAGCTCACTGAGCGGACAGGTGTCTTGGCTGCTCCATCGTCACCGAAGCTGATGGATTTGACCACCATTGACTCCAACGCGCTCTGGACATCGTCGGACTCCCCGAATGAGCAGGAAAAGGGAATTCCCATCCGAGGAAAGAAAGCCTAAAACAGAGGAAAAACAAAGTATTTAGTCACCACTACTGTTGGAGAATGAGATCCACAGCAGCAGGGGAGAGAAGGGAAGTAGCCATTGCAGAAGTACCTTAGGGAACTGAAGAGCCGTATGGCGAGGGAAGGTTGAGAAATGTAAATCTGGGTGTTGAAGCAGGATGATCAAAATTGGTGGGTTTTGTGTGTGTTTCCCCGGTGAATGAGTATGCCGGCCGGTGGCAGAGGAAGGGAGAGGAGGAGGAGTTAGCGGTGGTTGGAGAATGTCAAATGAATGTGAAGTTGGGGATGGGAAGGCGAGCGTATGAAGCATTTATAGGTGAAAAATCCATAGAAAAGCGCGAGAGACGGCCAAAAAGGGCAGAGGGGAGTGGGGTCAGTGGTGGTGGTGGTGACAGTAGCAGAGTGCCTCTTTTTTCCAAACCACGTGGAGGAGACCGAGTGACTGGTAATAATGGTGAAAACCCGCGGGAGGAAAGGAAGGAAGGTCTCCTACCCAAAAAAAAAAAAAAAAATCCATTTCCTTTGTCTTTGAAGTTTGAACTGTTCTTTCAGATGATGTAAATCTCAGAAAAAGCTCTAACCGACACATAGCTCTAACTTGTTGGTGCTCTGTTTCTCTGCTTTCTTCAGCCTTATTTGACTTTGTTTCATCGGACGGGGCAATAGAGAAATGAAGAAACCTAATGGTTAACTATGTTCGTTCATATATAGGGGAGAGTAGATTTCACTAGTTTTAGAGGAGAATATCGTAAGAGTTGGAATAAGGTACATATGTTTTTTCTAAACCCTAATTAGACCAGACGAACAAATTCAAAAAAATAAATAAATAATACATCCAATAGCTACTAAAATTTAAATTGATTTCAAATCTTTCTTTTCATTTACATGACGATGATCACTCGAAGGATTTTATAATTTAACTTGATAAAAAAACATTGTTACTTAATTGGGGAACATGGATTGGTTGATTGAAAACGTGAAATATAGTCCAACTGATTCAATCCACATATACCATTAGCTATGAGATCACCTCCTCCACATCCACTATCTGGGCATATCATCGTTTCATTCATATAAATAGTAATTCTGATCAAAGAAGCAGTTAAGTAGTTGATTTTTTTATATATAATTTCCTTACATATTCTATTTTATCACAAAAAAAAGTTCATTTCTTTGTTTTCTATATACCGTGAAGGTTTTGAGTTTTGTGCTTGTATTTTAGCGGAGGGTGACATTATGTAACTATTTCGTTCTTGTTAATGCAAGGGATTTTTTCTATAAAAAATTATCATCCACAACAAACTAATTATTCACACAATCTCGTATTGTTCACTTAATTGTTAGCACACGGAGTCATTATTCACTATATTATGGGAATATGAGAGATAGAATAAAGTAACAAACAAATTCAACAAACTAAGGGTGGTTTAAAAGTTGTGATTGTTAAATAGATGTATTGTTGTGAATGCATGTATAATATTATACATGTATTGTCGAATTTGATACATTCTAAAATACAATATTTGGTATGTATGATTGTGTATGCCACAACAGCTAAAAGGTGAGACAAAACAATCTCAACAATCACAACTAAAATATGAGATATGACGATTTTCAAAAAACAAAACTGAGATATAACAATCACTCATTTTGAGTGATAGTTTCTATCACATCACAAAAACAATCCATATATTGTTCATGCTAACAAATTAAAAAAAAATAATGCATTCTAAACAATACAAGCATAATAACATTCTCACCAAAACAATCCTAACTTACAAACGACCCGCAAGAGACCCGGGACGGAGCCGACTCTTTGTTAGGAGGGGCCATGGCCCCCTTAAAATTCTAAATAGTGCTTGGGTGCACATGGGAATCTAGAATTGGCTGTGGCATAGTGGGTTTGCTCTGCTGTTTTGCAATTTTAAAGATTATTAGTGTAGGGGTTCGAATCTCCCTCTAAGCCGTTTTCCATCCCAACAGTTTGAACTACAGGTTATTCTTATTAGAGTATGTGTAGTACGTGTAGTATTATTTTATACTACGAGTACCAGAATGTAATTCGGAAGAATTATATTCCTTATTAGAGTCGTAAAAATTATGTATTTTTCATATTACTGTTAGAATTATTATAGGAGTATGTCATTGTACTCTATATAAACCCTATGTGATTTAAGTAAGAAGACACAACAGTTTGCACCGATTTATGTTTTATCACCAATTCTTTCTGTCTATGTTCTTTTTAAATCACAGTCGTCAAATATTGCACATAATATATTTTCTTATAATAAAATTTTACAACCAATATGATAGAGTATATATAGACTTTAAAAAATACATCAGAAATTTTATTTAATTTTAAAATATGATTTAATTGTTGAATTTTCTCATTGTAAAAAAAAAAAAGTTTGCCCCTCCTAATCTATAATCCTAGCTCCGTCCCTGCAAGAGACTCCTCAGCTTGGTCATCAAAAGCTATGGCTCTTGCTGAAATGATAATGACAGTTGATGATCAGTATATATTGATGACAAGTATATAGAAATAAAGAATAATTGACTTGGTCCGTGCTTTACAAGCAAGCAAGGTCAAGGTAGCAGCAATTCAATCGCCAGCCCTGATGTCACGCACACAGACCGCTGAATTTATCCCCCAGGTAAATGCGCTATTACATAACGTAACTTGCAAGCTTCAAAAAGTTTGTCCCGAGCTACTAGCTCTTTTTTGACCCAGCAAAATCTAATCTATCTTAATTATAGCTTTTAATATGCTGTTAGTCTCCAGCCTACCGTCTTCATACAAATACAACTAGCTATTTTTTTTATGTATATAATTGGGCTTGTAAGTCAATTCTAGCTTATGACAATGACTGCCTCATCCACCCCCCATCGATACATATATAAAAAAATAAAATTACGACTTTTCTTAATTATTAGTTAGGGAATGCATAAACGTCATTATCGAATATCGTACACATTTTGGACATATATATATTGTGGGTTGGGTTTGGTTTTGTTGCATCTAACAAAGACATGCCACGTAATTAGGTGTCTCCCCATTGGGCATCATCGATCATTATCAGCTCCTAATTATAAAAAAACATTAATTTAAAATGGAACTCATACAGTAAATATTAATACTTAGATAATTTTGTCATGACAGTATATAGTATATAGTAGTATATGTATATTGTATTTCCATGTAATTTTCTCTATTTTGTCGGCATATATAATTAAGTTGAGCACCCAGCTTGATTTGGTTTAGATGTGAAGTTTGGGTGGAAAAGAGGATAAATTAATTACAAACTCTGATTGACGATGGAAATTACCTGCACAGTTGCAGTATAGTCCATACGCGGATGGATTGAGTAAACTTAATTGCATGGCCCGGTCTCGCGACTCCATCGACGACGATGATATATATACAGTCCATTTAGTTAATTAGTTAGTATATGTGGCTAAGCTGCATACTGTTCAATGTCGATTTTCCAATCCCAAATTCTGGTCTGTCTTCATTGCTAATTAATTAACTCTTTCATTTCATTTGGGCATGCAAACCGGTACGCGTTGTCGTCCAACTTTATGGACCTGCTGACAAATACATATTTGTCGATTTATATATATTAGCTAGATAGCTAGCCTGAGATTTTCCGTACATTTTCCTTTCCTAAGTAGCTAAATCCATATCACTACTTACATGCATGCTTATATTGGGACGTCTGGATCCAGAGTAGCTAGCTAGGTTTTGGCACAACACAAACATATATGGTCCTTGATCACGCATTTTGCATGCCACAATATACGACCATTAGATGCAGGCCAATATGTGACAATTTTTGCATGCCACAATTGCTCTATATATGGTTTAATTTGTGTCCAATGGTCTTTAAAGTTGACTAGAGCCTGATTCTTTGCCAAATGCATGTTTATCTCGAAACAATTAACCCAACTCAATCGACTTGCACGAACAAGTTAATTACTTACTTACTGAAATTAAAGGTCTCTCTGCATTGCAGTCTCACGAAAGATATGGTTGTATTGTATGGTATCATCATCTTCTGTATATGCTTTGTGCCAATCCCTCCACTCCACTTATGCAATTGTTAGAAAACAAACATGCAGGAGAGAAAACAACACGTTAACTTATTTGTTTTTGTCTCGATAAAGTAATTGTGCATGTGAGATGATACAAGTTAATAAGTAATCGTAAGTTAACTCTTATTATAATAATAAGTAATCGTAAGTTAACTCTTATTATAATTAACCCTCCCTCTCTCTCTCTCTCTCTCTCTCTCTCTCTCTCTCTCTCTCTCTCTCTCTCTCTCTCTCGTGAAAGTGAGCATTAATTAATTGAGGAATATATATATATAGAATTAGAAACGAGTGAGGTATGAATGCAAAATGAGATGAGTAGCCAGTTGGTGCATGCTGCGTTGTCCCGCGACAACTACAACTGTCATATATTATATGTGTAGAGGAGGCGGCAGGGTTTGAATTTCAGATCTCCATGGCATTAATTAGACAAGTACCGATTACACTTGCACTATGGCTTCTTTAATTTATTTGTAAATAATGATATATAGTAAATATCAATGTATAGTTTCCAACAGGCTAGGTACCAACAAAATGCATGGTAAGTCGATCGGGAACTTAGAGTGGACGATGTTGAAGAACGAACGAGACAGATGGAGACCTGAAAAACATACAATACGATCGATCTTAGTTGATGGGTATGAGTTTGGGTCTGGAAAGATTTATCAATGTGGATCATGAGTTATGTAGGTGGACGTACAAGTTACAACCTTCCTTCCTATAATTCAATTCAATGCGTCCCAAATTATAAAGAGATGAGATGAGATGAGATGAGATTGATGTTTATGGGCTATGGGGTACGTTACGTATTGTGTACGTACGTACGAGATATGGGCCTCCAGTCCACGTGGCTCGTGGGTCGACATTAATTGGACATATGTAGATAATCAGTGCATGTGGCGGGCTGATCGTCCAGCTACGTACACATATACGTACATGTTCATTAATTACCGAATTAATCGCCCAGCCAGCCACCCACCTCTCTTCTAATTTCTAAGCAGCAGGGAATTAAAAACAAAAATGATGTGCAGGAAGGTAGATGGTTTTTGGGGCGACAACCAAATCCCTTGACAAACGCCGACCACCCCACCCCTCCCCTAGTTTCTTTCTTTCTTTCAAACCGATTGATTATACTTCCTTGTACGTACGATGTATGCAATAATATGAATTTTTTTTTAATGGAGAGGAATACTATATATATACTAATACTACCATCTAAGCTAATTACTCGTTTGCTGACGTACTATTTGTTACTTACATCTATCTATCAGCTACAATTCATAATTATTATATTAATTAATTTCTAACCAACATTATTGTTGCCCTTCTTTCCCCGTCCATTGAATCCAGCCAAACAGGCCACTCCCTTATGAATATTATTGTGATCTCTCTCTCTCTCTCTCTAGATCTCTGTGTGTGTGAGAGTGTTAAGCACAACAGATCGATCCATGATGAATCTACAGTATAATTATACGTACCATGCATCTCCATAAATTCATCTCTAGTCACCAAGCCATTATTATTATTATGTAAGTTTAAACTAAATCCGTGCTTGATCTGATCTCGATAAGGCGATCTTGTCTAGAAAAGTTTATTCCGTCGTCAGATGATTGATTTCCAGGGAGGGGAAATGTATATAATCGGTCTCGATATATTCCTCCATCGCCAAATTCATCCTTATGATTCTGTACACAAATCCATCTCCAGCTATATATATACAGCTACAAGGCATCTATCTTCTTCGCAGCGCTTAATTAATTACTATGTAAATCATTATGATTATTCATGTTACAAATGAGGGTTGTGTGGTTTGGTTTGATTCCACGAATCCCATCTTTTATAATAATGTATATATAGAGTCTCACAGTTATTACTTGGCATGCGTCTTTCCCATATAATTAATGACCACATAATTATTTTACGGGGTTTGACGATGATCACCAAGTTGGGTTAATTATCTTCAATATATAGTGCAGTTATAAGCTTATCTTGCTCCATATAAATATAATTGCTTGGTCCAAGTTGGGTCTTCAAGTACATACATTTATGATTATCTATCTGTTTTGTTCCCCTTAAAATTTTTTTTGCTACGTAGCTAACAAGTGGATAAAGAAACAAAGAAGCAGGGAGATGAGACTAGAGATCAGTATTATTATTCTTGGGTTGTTGATGGAGAATTTTCACTTATGATGATAGTGAATAGTCGGATATCAAATTTCAGCTACTTATTTGATTGAGAAATTAATTGAGTTCACTGGGTTGATTAGGGGTGTTCAAATGGTGTGATTATCGTGGTAACCGTTTTAATTAGTAGATTTGACTAATTTGGTTTGGGTTGATTTGGATAGTTGGTTTGGTTAATATTTTTAGCTTATTTGGTTTAGCTGGTTTGGTTTGGTTTAAGACACTTCTAACCAATCAAACCAAAATTATATACCAGTTAAGTAATTATACATATATCTAATATATATTATATACACATACTTAATTAATACTTGGCATAACCACTCAAGAACCAAAAATTCCTTCCTTTTAGCCTCATCAACAATGAAGCTCAATATTGTTCATATACGGTATATTTGTATTTGTAGAGTGTAGACATGATATATGAACGCCCAATTTAGATAAAACTTGAAAGAAATATTTTTTTCGACCTATGATTATTGCTAAGAGACTAATTCAATTCACACAACCACAACAATTAATTGACTCCATACTGTTGACATTTTTTTTGTTAGTTGAATACTTCTATTGATTGTAAGATAATTATATTAGTTGCGTGTATTTCTGTAACGGTTAACTATAATCATGTGTTCATTGTAATGTTTTATTCGTCATATAAATTGTGAATTGATGCATTAACCAAAAATTTCTCACTAAATTATGATTTGATATCGTATTGATTAATCTAGTTAACCAAACCGATTAAACTTTATTTTGGTTAATTTGGTTGTTGTATTAGTTTGTACGGATTGATTATGATATTGCATATATTCCATAGTTAACAGAATTTTAGCTTGTTTGTTTGGTTTGATAATGAATACGGTAATCATTTGAACACGTAGGGCTGACGATGCATGAGATTGCCAACTCGATGTCTCCACCGGCCTCCAAGCTTAGCTCTAGTTAGTTAGATTCTCAATCCAAAACCAAAAGCAGCAAAGCAAATACCCAAAAAACATGTGCAATCCGGAAGTGGTGAGGCATGCGCGCAGTGGGCGACCGATTGAGTGGGAAGCCGCGGCGAGGCGGCAGTCAGTCAGTCACCACCACCAACGCACATCGAGTGTAAGGTTGGTTGAGTAGGAGAACGTACGCGGTTTGTGGTCAGCGCCACCGACGCCCACGACACCGTATACTATCCCTTACTTTCTCCCGACAACTGATAGTTGATATATATCTTCCAGTACCAGCTTGACTTTCTCTTTCCCCCCGCGGTGGTTTTTTTTCTGCTTGCATCGTCATCGGTTTGTCTTGTCCGTACGTACATCCCTGTCAGTCGGGGAATCATATGAACAATGTTTTGGACTTTTGGATAGCTAAGATAGTATGTACATTATTTGCATCAATATTTGTATCTAAAACTTGTCAAAAAAAAAAAAAAATTTACTTGTATCTAAAAGGAAGCAGCGACATAGAAATATGCAACTAATAATGTATCTACATCGAAAGACATACAAAAGAAAATAAGTAGCTTTTAAAAGCAAATAGCCTCTCCCTCAAAAGGTTTTTGTTTTTGTTTTTTGTTTTTGTAGTGTAATTAATTATTTAATTAACTAACTAACTCGTCGATCTTAAAGCCCTTCACCAAAAATATATATTTCCTCTCCCCGTATATATAGAGATCGATAATCTGATTCCATGCATTGGTCAACACGTACGTAGAGTATTGTCGCGCATCCCCACTTGCTAATTTGATTTTTCCTTGTATTTTCTGGATGGGTTGTTTGGATTTTGTGTCCCCTCCCGCTCCCAACAAAGATAGATAGATTGATATATATGTAGAGATAATCTGATTCTCATAAGTACTGGACTGGAGCAAAAGTCAACTGCATGCCTTTCCTTTCCTTGCCAACGCAACAAAGAAAGAAAGAATAGTATATGGGATTGGGAATCAAATCGATGAAGGACTAATTAATCTCTTCGGCCCATATGATCAGTACTTAATTAGGTACCGAGCAACTGAGCAAGGCTTGTTGGACGAATAGAGAAGCCTGCAACACCCAACTCATGATCGATCAGTTAATTAATTAATTAAATTAAGGCCATGCTAGCTAGCTAGCGTTAATACATCCACATCAGGAGTTAGCTAGCTAGCTAGAGGGATGTATATATATATATGTTGTAGATCGAAATTATATATATATAGAGAGAGAGAGAGAGAAGAGGGGGAGGAAGTTACGATGTGTCTGTATCTGATGCTGATCACTCCATCCTATCCTAGCTAGCTATATCAATATGGTAGGTTAATTAGATAGCAATGAAATGGAAAGCAAGCGTATGTATATACGTAATGATACATATGATTAAGCGCGCATATGTATATTATATTTTGCACCAGCCTGAGCCTGGCATAAATTAATAATAGTAAGCTAAGCAATCCACCTGCCTAGTTAGGCTCTCACGCCCACCAACCAAACTCTGTATTGGATAACGCGGCACACTTAATACACATTATGTATGTACCCTTCTCTTCTCTTCTCTCCCTCTCCCTACCGGCTACCACCAAAGTTGACATTAAAAAAAAAACATACAATTCAGTCATTCAGATATTATTAGTGCATTAAATTAATATATAGTTAACTAATTGAGTGATGATCAGCTAAGTTGTCTGTAAGGTAATATCTGGTTAAGTAGTCATCACTAGGGATGACAATTTTGACCTGACCCGATTTACCCGACCCGTTTGACCTGTTTTGGGGCGGGGCGGGCATGGGTACCTCTCATCGACCCGACCTGCCCTGACCCGCCCCATTCTCGACCCGTTGTTGCCTAAATTACATATAATATTAGTTAAATTACTTAAGATTTTCCTCTTATTACAGTATATTTTAGCTATAATAAATTTGTAAATAAGTGAAAACCTCAATTTCTTCAATAATTTAACTACCTTTTATCATATTATGGTTTCTTTCTTGGTCTTTCAATGAAAAGAACGAATATTTCTAATGTTTTTCACATAAATTACATACCCAATGGGTCGACCTGCCCCGACCCGCGCCCCGTGATAAATTACCCGACCTGCCATGGGGCGGGTATGGTTATCGAGATACGCGCCCCGGACCTGCCCCATTGCCATTCCTAGTCATCACATCACATGCAAAATAAAAAAAGCAAAAAAACAAATGAACATCAGTCCGTAGTTAGTTAGCTAGCTAGGCCATGTGTTGTAGCGTGGTGTATGTATAACTATGGACGGGGGGAGCATGCAGTTGCAGTGCAGTCGATCGATCGAGTTTTATAAAATTCGAATCCAAAGGCCTGGAGGGAGGGAGAGACGCTTAAATTTTATTTTGAGGAATAAATTAAATTATATATCAATAAGGAAGTTTTATTACTTACTTACTTGGTGACGAGCTGGAAGTAGGTATGTAATGTTGGCAAAAGTCAGCTGTGTAAGGTCAAGTAGTAGCATGCGAAGCCAAAAGGCTGCCTGCCTCTGCCTGCATGTGCATGCTGGTCAACTCAACTCAACTAAACTCAATGGTAGTACTACGGAAAATCAATCTTTTTTTTTTTTTTTTGACAACACGGAAAAATTAACCCACACCACATGCTAGCTTTTCTCCATTATTGCTTCATTAATTGCATTCTCCTGCATATATTATTATTATTATTATTATTATTATTATTATTATTATTATTATTATTATATGATAAAAAACGAGAACATCAAGAAAGATCCAGAGCTTCCTTTCCCACAGTAGGTAGTGCAACAAAATAGTGAAGAAAAGCTTCATCTAGTTAGTTAGTTAATGTCATGCCAATTGCCAACCCGGCCATACATATAGCTCTCTGTACTGTAGTGACCAAACTATTATTTGGTGCCGATTTCTTGCCCAGATACATAGCCAACAACACTTGATGTCTATATAACTTGAGATGGATTAGAGAGTTGTTCAAATGCGCGCGGCCCATCACTGTTCAATATCCACCTCTTACCTATAACTACGTACGGCCCATCAACATGAACCAGGCTTGGGTTTCAATTCATCTCTTTCTCTCTCACACACACTGGATCCAAGGTGCTGAATCCGGTTTGGCCCACATCCATCCATCCATCGTTATACAAGGAAGGAGTGGATTCTTCTCCAGGAATTTGGGCCCAGAATTGAGACTACAGCTAAGACGCAGAGATGGGTGGATAATGGAAGTAAACTTTGATGCCTCGCTGGCTCTCACTGAGGCTTCTCCCTCCGCGCGTCTTCTCTTTTTGCTTGGAAAACCCAGATTTTGTAACACAATCAATCATGTCATCAACTATTCGTTACTCCAAGCCTTGGGAGTCTCTACCTTAATGGAAGTGGTTTCACATTGATTCCACCGCTTACAAGCCAAGCCGCTCCTCTTTTTGACTTCCCCTCCATTCTTTCCATCGCCTTTCTCTATTAAACAAATACTAAACATTGAAAGCCGACAATGCAGTGCAAGTCCCAGTCCCTCCTCCTTAAACTTGCCAGAACCATCCATCAGTTCCAATGCTCCATAAATTATTACTATTCAAATCATCATCCTTTTTTTTTTCCATAGCTATTCAAATCATCTTCCTTAATAAAAGCCTTCTTCTACCACATTAATTTAACAACCCATATCAAGTTATAAATAGAACCGCAAGTTGCAGAAAAGGACAAACCAAGTCCCACAAGCCATATATTCCACAACCGAATTTCTGTTTACTCAAAACAAAGAAACAAAAGCTGCCATTAGATTACTCAATCTTCATACTTTGATTCTTCTTTTTTCTGAAGATCAATCCTCCGACTTTGATGTCAGGTTTCATTGTTTTTAATGGTGGTATTCATGATACTATAGATTAATTATTTAGTCTGCTTCTGATTTATTGATCTTGAAATTTGCTTGTTTACTTCTAAATCTAATGACTGTGCAGAGACAGAGGGGTGCCATGGTGGTGGGGTATGCGAATTCCTTACCCTTCTTTTTCCTTGAAAGGCTACTTTACCCCACTTTATTTTGTAATTTTGCATCTGATAGTTATGTAACTATTATTTATGATGTATTCACATTTATGATTTATCTACTCAATCTTGGTTCCTGTCCACTGTCCAGCTGAGCTGAGAGAGAAAAGAAAAGGGTAATGGAAAAGCAAAACTTTGAGGGGAGTGATTGTTGGACTTCTTGGGAGAATCGTCAATCAAGCAAACCCCTGTTGCCCTTTCAGCTGCCTCTGCCCTCTTTCTCTGCAAAACCCCTGTTTCTCTTCTATGGCCAAGGTTTTAGAGCTCACTTCAATTCCGTGGAGACTTTCCAACTTCCTCTTTCTTCATCTTTCTCTCACTTGCATTCTCGACTGCTTCTTTCCAGCTCACTCTGCCTTTCTGCAGTTTTTTGTTAGGGTTTAAAGAGCTGCTGCACTAAAAGGGACTAGCTTTGGAATCCGACGCTCGTTGGAACAGGTGATTTTGGTTGGATTCTTCTTTTCTCATCTGGGTTTCCTTCGACGTTGCTGGTATCAGAGTTTCTTTCATATGTTAGCATTGCGCTTTGGAAGAAAGTTTCTATTTTTGGGGGTAACCCCATAGTCTGAACTTGGGGAAGGTTTGAAGCCTAGATTGAGCTACACATGGGAGTTTAAGCGATGTATGATTTGTTTGCTAATGTTAATCGATTACTTCTATTGGTGATGTTACTGTATACTTAAGGCACTGAGTTGGCACTTGGCTGACTTACTTGAGGCTGCAGATCTTGTCTGCTTGTTTTTTCTTCTGTTTCTGTTTGCATTTTGTATGAACTTGAAGTAAAGCTTGCTGTATTAAACTGCCTCTTGTTGGCCTACTGAAACTGTAAGAGTAGAGAAAAACAATATATGTGCAGATTGCCTGAATGAATTACATGGGCTGTTCTCCTTGGAACTCGCAAAAGTACTATCCTATAACATTTCTGCATTTTGCCCTTGGTCTCTCTTGCAGCCTCCTTTCAAGGCAGCGCATGCTTGATTCAGCTACCCAAGTTTAACTTACCGCTAAGGCTTAAGCTTAATAAGGAGTAAAGCTTCAAACTTTATCCATTTTTCGATCGGATGGTGCTTGCAAAATGGTCCGGAAGCCTTCTGTTACTCCTTATCACCATCTTCACCAATGCATATGGTAAACCTCACAAACTGTTTCTCGTTTCTTTGCTTTTTGTGTATTCACTTATTACTAGCCTTTTTCAAAACATTCTATCTACATGCACAGGTGCGTTCGTTGGAGTAAACATAGGAACTAGTCTTTCCAACTTCCCGCCAGAGGCAGACGTGGTCTCCCTTCTCAAATCCAAAGGAATAACACATGTGCGCCTATATGATGCTGATCCGCACATGTTGAGAGCCCTCTCAGACTCTGGGATCGAAGTCATGGTCGGAGTACTCAACGAAGAAGTCCTAGGAATTGGTGAATCTCCATCAGCAGCTGCCTCGTGGATCAACCGGAACGTAGCAGCCTACTTGCCCTCGACCAACATTACTGCCATAGCAGTTGGTAGTGAGGTTCTCACTTCCATCCCCAACGTAGCTCCTGTCTTAATGCCCGCTATGCAGTACCTTCACAAGGCACTCGTTGCTTCAAACTTGAACTCTCGTGTAAAGATCTCAACCCCTCAATCTATGGATATCATTCCCAAGCCATTTCCACCTTCCACCGCCACCTTCAACTCTTCATGGAACAACACAATATATCAGCTCCTTCAGTTTCTGAAGAATACAGACTCTTACTACATGTTGAATGCTTATCCTTACTATGGATACACTTCTGGGAATGGCATCTTTCCTCTTGAGTATGCTTTGTTCCAGGAGCTTTCCCCAGTGAAGCAGATAGTTGACCCGAACACCTTGTTCCACTATGACAGCATGTTCGATTCCATGGTAGATGCTGCTTACTACGCAATGGATGATTTTGGTATGTCTGGTGTTCCAGTTGTTGTGACAGAGACTGGCTGGCCTTGGCTTGGCTGGGCGAAGGAGCCTGATGCCACCCCCGAGAATGCGCAGAAGTATGTTAGTAGTCTTATCAGGCGTGTTCAGAATGATTCTGGTCCGCCGAGTCATTTGAGCATTCCAATCAACACTTACATATATGAGCTGTTTAATGAGGACAAGAGACCAGGGCCGGTATCCGAGAGGAGCTGGGGCTTGTTTTTTCCAAATGGTACGGCTGCTTATGCTCTTAGTTTGGATGGTTCGGAAGAGCTCGTGACTGGGAATTCCTCCTCGGCGGCTACGTTTTGTGTTGCTAAGCCAAATGCTGACCCAGATAAGCTGAAATCGGGACTCGACTGGGCTTGTGGGCAAGGTGGAGCTAATTGTGCACCTGTTCAACAAGGGAGACCGTGTTTCCAACCTGATAGCTTTCAGAACCATGCTTCATTTGCATATAATGATTATTATCAGAAGATGCATGGTGCTGGTGCGACATGTGATTTCGATGGTACTGCTACAACAACTACTATTGATCCCAGTAAGCCCCCTCTGTACTATTCTCTTCGGAATTTGTCTACGTTGAACCGGGGAATGTGGCACTTGTCATCTATTATAGCATTTCTACGTCTGGCGTGTTTGTCCTGGAACCACTATGTAACAATTTTGATAGAGGTTTAATCAACTAACCCAGTCTGTTAGTTTGACTCTAAAGCTTGGTTATTTCTTGTCTTGCAGGTTACGGATCTTGTGTCTTCACCGGAAGGTGAGGGTTCTGAAATGCTTTGATTGTGAAACATTATTTTGCATTAGAAATAATGTACTAGTCTAAGGAGTTGTAGCATTCAGCTAACATTCTGAATTTTGACTGGTTGTTTGAAAACAGTTCAAATTCGAGCACAGGAGGAGGGGGGATGTTTCCACCCACGGCTTTTGGACCCGTTAGTCCCCAGCTTGGAGGGAGCTCGAAGTTGGCAGTGACAAGAACACGCGTTTTGACATCAGCAGCAGTTCTTGGGTTGTTGTTCTCAGTTTGAGTCCATTCCTTGCAAAGTATTTTTTGCAGCATTGGTCGAGAGACTGAATGCTGGGTTTGTCAGACAACAAGCCCATTAGATTGTGAGACATTTTGGTTCAATTTGTTTCAAATGTATTTGTTGTTGACAATTGGTAGGGAACTTCTCATCTTATAGTAAATAGTTCCGTTTGGCCTGTTGGTTGGCTGGTTTCGACTTCTGTATTATGGTAGTGGTGGAAAGAATGTCCCTCTTGATAGGACCGAACAGTTGTAGTTTCGATCCGAACTTTTTTTTGTATCGAATCTATTCAATTCCCAGAGAAAGAAAATAGAGAAATAAACATATATAACGAAAGTCACTCACAAGGGCTTGAAGTTTGCACAAGTCTGAAGACAAGAATATTATGTGCTTAACAAATGGGGGTCACCGAGAATCGAACACAAGACCTCTTGGTCACAGAAGGCTCTGATACCATGTCAAGAACCAGTTGCTCCCAATAACTCGAATTGTTGGGAGAGATTCAATCATGAATCATATACCACAACACTGACACGCCCCCCTCAAACGAAAGCAACTCACAAGGGCTTTAAGTTTGCATAGGTCTGAAGACAAGAATACCATGTAATTCACAAATGGGGGTCACCAGGAATCGAATACAAGACCTCTCGGTCACAGAAGGCTCAGATACCATGTCAAGAACCAATTGATCCCAATAACTCGAGTTGTTGAGAGAAGGTTATACTGAACCTTATACAGGCCTGTGTATGATGCTTAACCACTTCCGGTGAATCAAATATTTTGATCAGTCATGTTTCTGTGATTCTTAAATCAGTTCTAGTCTAAAATCTAAACCTTTTCATACAACCTTACAAGTTACAAATACAAGAGGAATTGCCACAAATTGAACGCAACCAAATTCAGAATACATTCTAAAGCTGCTAACTTTTGTTTCTGTTACTCATTCATCTTCAGCAACACTGCTGCTTTCACTGTTGAATATGCACAGCCTCTTCGCCTTACAAAACTTCATCAGGAAGAACCACCCAACTGCGCCAGCAGTCATTAGCCCACTGACCAAAAGAACAGTCTTTGTAGCAACCACCATGATGATCACCAAGAACCCAGAAGGAATCAAGCACATCACAATCAACCCGGGGAGCCTCATTGGAACCCTGTAGGGCCTCTTCAGCTCGGGGAGCTTCCTCCTCAGCCACAGGAACGCCGCGAACTCGAGCAGCATCCCCAGCGTGTACAGAAAATTCGCCGACGAAATTATGTCCGCGAAGTCCATGTACGAGCAACCCAGTGTGATCACCGTCGACACCAGTATCCCGACCCAAGGAGTGTTGAACCACTTCGATCTCAGGGCGAAGAATATCGGCAGGATGCCCAAATCAGCCATGCCCAGCAGCTGGTACACGCAGCTGCTCAGCTGGGCCTCGAAGAGCCCCACAGCAGACAATGCCGCGCCGATCTCCACCCAGTATTTCAACCACTTCCCGGCAATTAGCTCTGCAGCCGTGGCGTGGAACCCTGATTCCCAGGCGGATTGTTCAACCGCGACGGCGCCGATCACGGCGAAGAGAGGGATCAGGTAAGAGACGCAGGTGAAGATCACTGCGATCAGTAGCGCTAGCGGGAACGTCTTGGCTGGCTTGTCGACTTCCCCGGCTAGTGTGCTGACGCTGTCCCAGAAATTGAGGTTCCAAAACAAGGTGTTGAAGAACAGATTCCAGTCCTTCTTCACCCCTTTGTCCCCGAGACTGATCCATCTGCGAGGTTTAATTTTGGGTATCGCGAGGATTGACATGATTATGAAGGGTGAGAGAGATACAATCCCCAAGAACACGGCGAAGTAACCTACTATGACTAATCCTGTGTAGTTGAGGAACGAGAGGAACAGAGTTGACCCCCAAATCGAAATGGTCCGCGGCCAGCCCGATTGGAGAGCTGGGATTACCTTCTTGAGGTAATCGATGCAGAGGACGGGGAAAGCCGCGACGTTGATGACGCCGGAGAGGAACTTCCAGGAGCCCATTAGGGATCCGAAGAAGGGCCCAAAGGCGCGGTCGGCCCAGATGACAAACCCGCCGTTGCCAGGGTAAGCGGTGGAGAGCTCGGCGGTGATGAGAGCCTCCGGGATGCTCCAGATGAAAGGGAAGATGAGGAAGCCGAGGATGGCATAGAGAGGTCCGGCGGCCTGTACGGCCGGTTCCTCGCCGTACGGCCCGCCGGCGACTTCGAAGTAGATGAGGAAGATGAGAGGGATCAGAGTCAGCTGCTTCTTCTTGATCGTCTTCGTGGTGGTGCTTATGGGAAGCTGCTGCTGTGATGGGGATGAGATCTCATCCATGGCGGTTGACTGGGAGTGAGGTTGATCTTCAGCTCGTGAATTCATCATCGCCATTGGGTGATGGGTTCTGAATTTGTAATCAATGGAAAGAAAGTGGGAAGTCAAGAATCCTCCATTTTATAAATGGAGAAATCAGACGAAGAAGCCGAGACAGTGGCTTGTTGTATTGTACTATTGTTTGTTTATAATGGAGTCAAAAGTGTCGTTTGGTGGGGGGTGTGAAACGAATCCGACTCATTAAATCGCACAATCACTATGGTAAGAAAATCATTTTCAGAATCAAGACAAGGCTTCAATAATGATTTGTGTCGTCTTTTAGAACAGAATAATTGGCTTCTTTAATTGTTCTTCTTCTATGCTGTGTGGTGCCTCTTCTGCCCCAAAATTCCAGTGGATTGATTATTCGACCAGATAACACTAGTGTAGACTGCGTGCTTCTCCTTCCCCCTTTATGCTCAGGGATAGGGGGAATAGAATGTCTTCATGTTGGAGCGGGAGAGAGACATATTGGTAGTGTTCTAATTTACAACGAAGGCTTTGGTTATTCGACAATGGATACTAGTTATGTGCTTGGATGAGTGTTGATGCTAGACAATGAAAAGTATGGTTGAGCCAACACCATTTTGAATCCTAATCTTGAATGCTTTTGTAACCATACTATACTAAAATGGGGTCAATTACAGCATTATGCACAAATCCTTTTGTTTACAATAAGATGAGAAGGGACCAAGCTTTCTATGAGGAGCATTTATTATCTGTACAAATCTACAACTGTTGTATACCAGCAAGGTTCCAACTTTCCAAAGCTAGCTCAGAGCAACTGCATACAAACTACCTCACTCACTTTCTTTGGAACCAGTCACTCTTTATAGGCTTGAAGGCAGCCATCAAAACAGCAACTTTACACACAAGAAATCCCAACATTCCCACTATCAGTTCCTTTGGAGACACTAGAGAGGGATCGATATCTCCAAACCCGTATCTAGCTGCTGCTAAGGTCAGTCCTAACCCCAAAGCCAAACTCACTATTGGTAATGTTCCCTTAATAACTCCTCCACCAACCTGACTGAACATGCCATTCCGATCGCCCGAGGGCATTCCTGACACTTCCAAACCATCCACCGATCTTTGCAACAACAACAGGTAAGAGAAACCACACATCCCACCGATCAAGAATGCAACGGCTGAGTTTTCACCAGCTGAGAAGTTCAAAAGCAGTGTACCGCCAAGAATAAGCATGGCGTCGTAGGATAGCAAAGACAGTTTTAAATCTGCATATTCTCTCATGCTTTCCTCATTGGAGACCTTGCTGCTAGGCGATGAAGTAGAATTTGTAGTCGATATGGTAAGAGGGTCGACTTCTGATAACTTGGAAATCTGACGAGGTCTAAGTTCTACCATAGATAAATCATCTTTCTCTCCAAGCAAAATGTCATCGGCATCAAACTCATAATGGAAACCAGAAAACGGAACTGTGCTTACTTCGTCCACTCTGCTCAATGAAGGTTGAGGACCATCAAATTTAGTCAGGCTCACGCTATCTAATCTCCATTGACCTGACATCAGGTATTCAAGAATTAGCAGAGAACAAGTAACGTTTTCATTAGCAGAGCTCACATTTACATGGCATAAAATAAATTTCAGTGACTCGGTATATGAAATAGATACCAAAAGACTAAATTCTAATTAGGACTGCATGACAACTATTATAGAAATAGGGTTCAATAAGCCAAGTTCTAGAACCTAACCTGACTCAACACCAATCCACAAAGCTTCAATCCTTCCCAGTTGAGGTCCTTCAAAGAAGAACTCATCAGTGGCACCTCGTTGGAAATGTACCACTTCAGACTCGATAATGTCTGCTGAGTCTGCCAAACTGCTCTTTGAAATGGAAGGTATCCTCTGTAGTACTGCGTTGCCTTTATCATCCACCAAGCACAAGAGCACCCCAGCATTTTGATCATCTAGACCTGATCCATACATGTTGCTTGTCTGTAGCTTTACCTTGTAGAAATCAGGAGAATCGCCTGCACTGAATGACGACGAAATACTTTGCTCCCATGATGTCTCGGTGCAGAGTTTCGGTTCGGAAACCCCTAGAAGTCGTGAAGGCTTTGCATACTCCCGAAAATCTGTGGAAAGGAAACACTTAAGCTTCATTTTGAGACCACCAAGAAAGAGTGTTCATTTCTCATGGTTTCTGTACAAGATCACGAAATCAGATCATCATCAAGCTATATCAAAAGGTAATTGATTTAAACCCCAAAAGTGCCAAAGAAAGTTTTCCCTTTTGAGAGCTCAAAATCGAAAATTCCAATTGATAACACTAATTGCTCAAGCTGGCAACCGCGAAACCAGCACATCTCCGCAAACAATTCTATCATTAACCCAAGAAGCTCTTCTACTTTCGGGGATCATGGGTTCCACCACAATCTCTCTAGTTCAGTCAGGAAATATAAACACAAGGGCGTCGCTAGGAAGAGGAAACCATTAACCCCACAACAACAACAACAGTGAATCAGTGATTCACTCGAGAACTGAAACAGGGTATTCAGAAGAACCAACCCATTAACCGGAAAGGCGACAACTTGAGTACTTCTCTTTAGCGAGTAACAAGAAAAGCAGAGAGGGCGTGTGGTAGATGAATTGAGGATGATAATAACCTGGGAAATCAGATCGCTTGTAGCTCTTGAGAGTCGCTAGTTGGTACCGTTTGCTGATATGGCGACGAAGAAAGCGCCGTTCTTTGACGGGGAACTGCCTTTTCTCATAGAGTCTGCCGTTCGTCGGAGCAAAGGGTACTTGGCCGAGGGGAATCGAGTCCATTTTCGTTGCCTCCTGCAAATTGCAGTTTCCTGCTCGCCGCTTGGCGTGAGTGATAAAACGAAGTCGGATGGAAGACGAGAGATACAAAGGTTCGGTAGTATCGGACCAAACCGGTCTGGGTTTTGTTTGGTTGCAAAATATCGACTTCTCTTCGAACCAAATCGATTTTGAGTTTTTATTGACGTTTTAATACCTCCTATATATTTTGATGACTTAATTTCACAATTATTTTAGATATTCCATACGATCTCAAGGGGAAAAATCTTGAATCACGCCCACTCTTAATGATTGTGTATAAATTGATAAAATGTCATTTAATTGAGCTTGGTGTTTTAGTTGTTATATGAGTTTGGTGTTCTTCGAGAAATATAAGTTATATGTGACTAAATCGATATTGTACCACCTTCTACATTCCTATTCAATAAGATATACATAAATTCTCTCCTTCTTTCTCGTTTCTCCCATAATCTCTCATTCAATAAAAGCTCTCAGGCGCAAAAAAATTCCGGCCAAACTACATAAAACACTGCAGTTTTACCGATACCATGTAGGTATGGGAATAAGTATTGTTGGTGAGGTCGGATACCCACGATCATATGCTTAATTGACATCCCTATCTGCCACTACCGAATAGTATTATTTTGTCAACGAGCAAGCATACTAGATTTATTTTGCAAGTCATTTCTCTTGAGGAGTAATTGTTATCAATTTGTCGTATGTTCGAAATGTATTTTAATGTTGATGTTGCAAATATAGTTAGATTGCTTTTATTGCTAATAATTTATTTTGTAAAATATTTATCTCTCATCCATCAATTACCTTTTATCTATTCCATTATCTTTAATTTCTTTGCTCCTCGTTTGTTTTTCGGTTGTTCTCCTTTTTTCCTCGAGTTAAACAGAAAGGGAAAAAAGGGAACTCTTATCAATATTTTTCCTCTCTAGAAATTCTCTTTCTTGTGTTCTTTTTCAATTGGTTGTAAACTTCCCAATCAACATTCTCTTATTGGATTTCTATCCCCTTTGAAACATCTTTTATTTACAGAAAAAAAACATCATCAGATACCCTAAACCCAATTCCAAATTCTACGAGTTCATTGCGTATTTGCATTGATGATGTTAGGGACTTAATTATGTTGTCTTCTTCTCAACATGAGGACCTTCATGTCATACAATGTGGACGTGATTGAAAGATGTTATCTTCGATGATTTCTCAACCATAATACAGGGGAACATAAGGAGAGCTTTTATAAAAATTCCAAAAGGAGTGGCGAGGAAGAAAACTCTGCATAAAATCTTTCGTGGAAGAAAGTGTTAACAAGTTTTGAAACCTAATTTGCGGGGTGGAAATGGCGTTGCAGCCATTGAGAGCATTCTCGGTGGGAGCTCAAGCATCGCTTTCAACGGAAAAGGTGACGGATGATTCTTCCAACAAAACACCTCAAAGCACCGTCACCTGTGTTTACCAGACCCACGTTGCTGGGTATTGGCGTAACGTCACGATTACGTGGGGGAAGAACCTCATGAATTCCATCTCCCTCAACCTCATCATCAACAGCCTAGAAGGTGAGACGTCGTATAGTTTCAAGCTCGACCTCAAGCCTTGGCATTTTTGGAGCAAAAGAGGGAGCAAAGGGTTTGAACTCGAAGGCAGCAATATCGAAATCCATTGGGATCTCCGGTCAGCCAAATTCATCGGGACATGCCCGGAGCCAGCCGGCGACTACTACGTGGCCGTGGTGTGCGACGAGGAGATCGTTCTGTTGCTGGGAAACTACAAGAACAAGGTGTACAAGAGGACCAAGGCAAAGCCAACTTTGGTGGAAGCGGTTCTAGTTTCCAAGAAGGAGAACGTTTTTGCCAAGAAGTCGTTCGCAACGAGAGCTAAGTTCGACGAGAAGAAGCAGCAGGAGCATGACATTATCATCGAGAGCTCCACCTCGGGGCTGAAAGACCCTGAAATGTGGATAAGCATAGATGGGCTTGTAATGGTCCACGTCAAGAATTTGCAGTGGAAATTTAGAGGGAATCAAGTGGTGACGGTGAATAAGCAGCCTGTTCAGATATTTTGGGACGTTCATGATTGGTTGTTCAATGGCGAAGGAGGAGGAGGAAGCAACAACGGTAATGGCAGCGGGGGTAGCAGCCAGGGTTTGTTCACGTTTAAGCCAGGGGCGCCAGATTTGGAAGAAGATGATGGCGGCGATAGCCCTCACGGCAATAGCGACGTCAGCGATGGTACATATTTCTCCACCAAGAGTAACAACGGGGCATCCTCAGATTTTTGTCTTCTCCTATTTGCTTGGAAAATTGAATAAAGAAGAAATTCAACGATTGATTGATTGAGTTATTTTTTTTTATTTTTTTAGATTTCCTGTTACTTATTTTTTTACCTTTTATAAGTGAATTTTTATTTCGTTTTTCTTTTAAGTGCATTTATTTGAGTTGGTTAAGTTGAAATTAGTATGTATGGTTTTGCATATTTGTTTAGAGAAGAAAAAGACATGTATATGGGAGAGGAGAATGAGTGATGTTTTTTGGTCTTTATCTTTCGGAACGTAAAATCTACAGATAATGAAAGGTTTGCCAATTGCCATCCTCGTTTTGTCTTCTTAATTAGAACTACATCTGCTTGAAAAAAATGAATAATGGGGTTGAATCGAAAAAAAATGAGATTGAATGGCAAGTTTATCAAATTTGTAAACGTATGTGAGTAATTGTGAAGTGGTTTTTTGAGATGTGTTTGAAGAGTAACATTTGTGTTTTGAACTTGTACACTTGAATTTGGTGAATCATTTATAAGTCCATCTCTCAATATAACTGAATTATGGTGCTGTTTGGATGATGAAATTGAATGAAGCAATTTGACCTAATCTTCTGAAAATGAATAATTGGATAAAATTGTATTATTAAATAGATGTATTATTGTGAATGAATGTATAATATTATACATGTATTATTGAATTTGATGAATTGTAAAATACAACGTTTGGTATAAGTGATTGTGTATGTCACATCAGCTAAAAGCTGAGACTAAATAATCTCAACAATCACATATGAAAACTGGAATATAACAATCACTCATTTTCTGTCACATCAGAGAAACAATCCATATATTATTTCTTCTAAAAAATAAAAAAAATGACGCATTCTACGTGTATACTAACAATCTCATCAAACACAATCGCAACTTCCAAACGACCCCCTGAGACAATTTGATTCGTTTTGCATAAATTTGGATTGATAGAGGGAGGGATAAGTATTTTGAAATGATACATCAATTGTGAGATAAAGTAATTTCAAGATAAATGGGTCAATTTGCCTCGTTTTTTAAATCAATCATCCAATCTAAACACCTATGAGCAAAATACATAGCACTCTACTTCATATTTATATCAAGATGCTCAAATGGTGAGCTTTATTTTAAATATACAAGTTAGAATTATTAATATTACTTCAAAGATTACCATTAAATGTTTGATTAATTCTACTATAGGCTATCCGAATCTTAGTTAGTGTGCATTAGAGGTAGATTGATCGTTGGGTGGGTGGAACTGGTCTCACCCAACGAATTGACCCACTTTCTTAGGTGTATGTTGCACTGTGATGTTAGAAGTGACCACCATCCCTCCATGTTACAATATAAGAGTGTTCGTATATGTTGGACAATTAATTGATAAGGCGTCAATTTCTGCAAGTAAGTTTGCATGCAAAGAGTAACATGAATCGAAAAATTATCAAACATACTATATTCGCCTATATAGACGCTAATGGTGAGTGGTGACTCCTGTCATTCTTGGGACTAGATGGTTGTGTGCGATATATGGAACACCTAGGTTTTGAACTCGATAGTTAATAGGGGAAGAAAACAAATTGATCAAAGAGTAACAATGTTTCATAGATAGAACCTCTATGTTTATATCCTATTGTTAATGTCATGCATAATCATTTGTTTACATGAGAGTTATCCTAATTAACTTGAATTCGAGTTATCGAGACAACATTGGTTCAACAACCATCAATCCACATCAATATAGACTCGATCAGAATTCACACAAGTATTTTTTATCCGTTCATGGGTGGATCGACCAAAAACTGCGAGTGAACCACACACTTGATTATTAAAATTTTAATTTTCTCCAATAATTTGGTTTCCTATAAAAGTAGAGAGAGGTAAAAAAGAAAAAAAAGAATGGGAAAAAGGAGTGGTGATTATCGAACAAAATTAAAGAGAGAGAGGAGAGAGGCATTAGTTTCTTCGCCACCGTCCTTTCCCTATTTTCTCTCTCTTTCTTTCTCCACTCTCTCCCGAAAGAATTTTTTTTTTTCGAAAGACAAGAGGCTCTGAAACTCGAAATCTAGGGTTTCAATTTCCGTATCATACATTTCTGGTTCGTGTTTTGTTCACGGGTTGATTCCGATTGAGAGAAAGGGTAGGAAGAGTAGAAAAAAGATTGAAGAGTTCGATCTAGAAGGGATCTGGATCTGTTGTTAAAAGGAAGGAGGAAGAGAGAAAATGAGCTTGGATTCGGTTCCTTCGAGCACTCATGGAAGCCTCGACGAGCAGATTAATCAGCTTATGCAGTGCAAGCCATTATCTGAGCAAGAGGTACTCCTCCTTCTGCCGAGTTTCTTCCAGTAATTTCTCCTTGTATTTAGTCTTCGGCTTGATTTTTTGCGAACTTTTGTGTGGATCCGTTGGTTCTGCTTGTGAAATGCTTACGAGTTTTGGTGAATTGGATCATTTCTGGGGATCTTTCTATCTGTTCGCTTCAATTTTTGTTCTTCCATTATTGATGCTTTTCTTTGTTATTTGATCTGTTTGGCTGTTATTCCGTTGGATCTGTTGATGGGCTTGTTTCTTTTTCATCCATCAAAATGGTAATGCTTCTCTCTGTTTCATGGATCGAACGATTTTAAGACAAATGCACTCTTTGTTGGGATGTCTAGTATTGCATTTGAGACTTACTGTAACTCGATGTTGGATTGGTGGTGTAGTTTCTCATGAATTTTACTCAAGAGGGCATGGATCTGTTGCTTGAAGATCTATCATTTGTGCCAAAGCCTTGCTGTTTTTGGAGCTATATGTGGTCTTTCCCTGACATTGTTCAGAAATGGGGTATATTCGGGACCAGGTTTCTATTGTTAGGGGCTTAGCATATGCCTACTCTTAATGTTAGGATATCTGAGCTACAATTGTGGGGGCATCAGGCATGAATATATTTTTGAGAGCAGAGATTAAAGGACCTCTGTTAGGGCGGTACACCATTGAATCTTCGTAGAGCCTCTGTTTAATTATTCGTTGAATGTTGGGTTGCTGTATGACTGGTGAAAAGATTTTGTTATTATGCAGTAGTTTGTGTTTTGTGGCTGTTATTGATTCTATAGTAACAAGTTGCTGTGTTGTTTGATGGCGTCTCTGTTAAATTTGTGCTTATCATGTGAGAATCTCATCAAAGCTGTGTTGTTCCGTGCCTTCTATGTGTTAATTTGTCTGGAGTTCCTTCCACCTTGCTATCTTAGATATGATCATTGTCATGCCTTCTTCTGGGAATGGTAACAACTTTGTTAAATGTCCGTTGGATGTTTGTTATTCAAGCTTTCTGCCTGATTTTATCTTTACATTATAATAAATTCTTTTTCTGAAAGGTTTATTTTCATGATGCAGGTGCGGGGGTTATGTGAGAAGGCTAAGGAAATTCTGATGGAAGAAAGCAATGTCCAGGTATTTGTCTTCAGTACTGTTTGTTGATGGTAACTTGATAAATGTATTTTTGGCATGTTTCTGTCACCATTTAGCTATTGAGTTCATTCCCAGTGTAAGGAGATAAAAGTTCATCCTCCAATCATTAATCAGTCAGTTTAGTATCCAGCTTTAAGGTCTTGGACCACCCATGTTGTGAGCACTGATATCACCTTACATTTTCCTGTGTTGTTGTTTAGCCGGTCAAAAGCCCTGTTACAATCTGTGGCGATATTCATGGGCAATTCCATGATCTTGCAGAGCTTTTTCGCATCGGAGGAAAGGTAATTTCCGGATTAATGCTAACCTTTTTCTATCGCTGGATGTCAAACTTATATATTGTATGTACTTCTCTTTGGTTTTGGTTGAAATCTGCTAGTGGCCATGTATTATTTGATGTTGACTTCTTAATTTTTTTAATATCTTTTTTTGTTTGTGTAGTGCCCAGATACAAATTACCTGTTCATGGGAGATTACGTGGATCGTGGGTACTACTCTGTTGAAACTGTGACCGTAAGAAATATTCTGATCCTCGATATGATCTTGTTTTTTATTTCGTGCTTTTGAATGATAATCTGGAACAACTCGTGATTCTCTGTGCCTCTTTACAATGATATTTGTCAAATGATGTCATTATAGGTTCTTCACTGAGGCTATTTCTTCTTCCTGTTTGATGTTTTCGAATTCCATGTTGACTCCATTGATTTTTCAGCTGCTGGTGGCCTTGAAAGTGCGTTATTCCCAAAGGATTACCATTCTGAGGGGAAATCACGAGAGTCGTCAGGTATGGAGTGTGAGATGTACTATTTTTGAATCTGCTACTACCAGTTGGCATTTCCAACTGATTTTTTTTGTTCAGCATTAGTATTCGAGTTACTTTGCTGAAGTCATGCAGTTAGATGTCTTCTTTGGGTGGTGCTGGACTATTAATGCTTGAAATTTTTGTTTTCCAGGTTTCTTATAATATGTTTATTTTTCTTGTTGGCTTTTTCAGATTACTCAAGTTTATGGATTCTATGACGAGTGCCTGAGGAAGTGAGTTTCTTCATATCCTTAACTGATTCCAGAATCATGTTTTTAGAAAGCGATTGATGCGAGTGTTCTTACTCTCTTGTGCCTTGTACTTATTTGTGTCGTGCTGTGCATGGTGAGGTAGTTCATTTGAGATTTTCAGGAACTTTATAGTGTTGGGTGAAAATTGGGTTCGACTAGTTGTAGGACAATTGCTCCTGAGTGAAATATAATTAGTCTTCCATGTCTATTTGCAGGTATGGAAACGCAAATGTGTGGAAGATCTTTACAGATCTTTTTGACTATTTTCCACTGACAGCATTGGTTAGTATTACTTCATATCTCAGAATTATATAAGATTCCGCCTGGTGTAAGGCTGATATTCATATGGCATTACCTATTTAAAGGTGGAGTCAGAGATTTTTTGTCTTCATGGTGGATTGTCTCCTTCCATTGAAACCCTCGACAATATCCGCAACTTTGATCGTGTCCAAGAAGTCCCACATGAGGGTCCCATGTGTGATCTTTTGTGGTCTGATCCCGATGACCGATGTGGGTGGGGTATTTCACCTAGAGGTGCTGGATATACCTTTGGTCAGGTACGCAATGTCTCAATTGCTTGAATATTGCACACTATTCCAGAATTAACAAGTACTGGCGGCAGGCTGACATGAATCATCATTGTTCTTGTACCAGGACATCTCTGAGCAATTCAACCATACTAACAATTTAAAGCTGATTGCAAGGGCTCATCAGCTTGTCATGGAAGGCTATAACTGGGGTCATGTAATGCATCATCCTCTACTCAATGTTCTATTTGGTCGCATTGGTTCTATCAATTTGTCTAATTTGGTGGTAGTGCATATTGTGCTGAACAGGACCAAAAGGTGGTCACTATATTTAGTGCACCTAATTATTGCTACCGTTGTGGAAACATGGCATCTATTTTGGAAGTCGATGATTGCAAGGGTCACACGTTCATCCAGGTTTCTTTTCTTTCAGAGCATCTCTCAAATCGAGTTCCTGGCATAAATGGGTTTCTTCCTCATCTGTTTTTTGTTGTTGTTCTGAGTGCAGTTTGAGCCAGCTCCACGGAGGGGAGAACCCGATGTAACCAGGAGAACACCTGATTACTTCCTATAAGCTAAAACCTCTAAGCATTGAGCTGCTGTGGATCCTGTGGCCGGTGCCTACTACTTCCTGGGTTTTCTTGTTCCGAGAGGCATCTTTCGTTTATCTTAAGAAGACTAAGACGGACGAACTTTCACTTCGACGGTATAGGGTAAAAGGTGGAGAAAATGCAGCTATTTAGATAAGGGGAGAAAGGTGGGGTTTTGAGCTTTAGCGAGGTAGGGTTTCCTTGAATGTGATTGTCAAAAGGAATTATGGGGTTTTGGTTCAAGTGTGTCCTCTCAACAGGAAGAAGGCAAAAGCAGTGGAGTTGGGCAAATGATGCATGCAGTATATGTAACATTTTCAGGGCAAGACAGTGGGGGATCTTTTTTTCTTTTTCTTCTTCTTTCTTGTTTTTATTCCTTGATTTTTGTTCTTTCTTCACTTAATTTTTACTTTTTGTTTTACTATTTTTGTCCCCTCTTTTAATTTTCAATTTCTTTTCTTTCTTTCCTTTCTGTAGAAGGATTCTTATTTTGGGGAGAACCGTGGGGGATATTTAGAGGACCGATCAATCAGATAACTGGTTAATGGGGTGCTTTCTCGTGAGTACTTTTCAGTCATTGTTCCTGTTGTTAAGCTGTTGTTAAGCTTATTGATCTGATCGAGTTTTCTGCTGTAGGAACTTGCTTTACATATGGTATATGGTTGTCTGTTAGGCCCTACTGTTCCTCAAATCGGGTTTCCTCGAATAAGTTTGTTTTTGGTTGGTTCTCCATTAGCCGTTGTACTGTGTCGTTGTGGCAGATTATGGTGATATCAAACAGATTTATCGGTAAACTTTAATGTTAAAACACCACATCAATAACTAAATCTAGGCTAAATCTAAGGCGACCAAACAGGATTGAACTACACCAGACTGCGAGAACGGCGAGCTGAACTACAAAGACCAGACTGCCATCCAATCATTCTTCTATGCCAATTCAAGTACGCAATCTTTTGGGACACACGATCAAATTGGAGCAACAGAGATTCAAGGCGGCGGCAAGTTCATCATCATCCACAGCCACCATTCAAGAAACTGGAAAAAAGATAACAGGCCAGACATTTCAACTAACGAAAAGAGATCACACATGCTTAACTATCACTAGAAAGCATCAACACTGAGCCTACACAAGAACTGAGCAAGAAAACAGACGAAAAACACCAGAGATGCCAATATGCCTTTCTATAGCCTCCTAATCTCTCCATCAAACCAACAAGCAATAGATCGATCAGGAGTAACTTGGCATCAAAGATTGTCCATAAGAAGAAGCATTCGTTACCATCCTATCCACATAAGTTTAAAAACCTAGACACAAGAGAACAAAACACACAAAAGTTACCCCTCGGGCTAGTTAGATGCTGCAATTCTGCCTTCACCGAATCCAGCTTCCTCCTAATCGTTCTTCAGCTTTGGGTGCTGTCCAGGATCAACTGAGCCTTCTCAATGATCAATTCGTTCCTCTGAACAAAGAGCTCCAAAGCTGCAATATCGTGCTCCTTCCATCTTCTAGCAAGCTCGTTTCTTTTCGATCCTTCCACCATGTCCAATTCATTCTTCACCACAAAGCTCTCAACTTCAGCACCAGTTGGGCTCCAATCCAATCTCAATCCATCTTTCTGATCATTGCCCCCATCAATTTCCCTCGCCTCTGCTCCTCCAATCCCTGCTCGCAAAGCAGCATTCGAAGCATTCCTATTGGCATTTCCACTGCTACTACCACCGCCGACCCTCTTTGCGTTTCCATGTCCATTCGCTGCAACCAAATCAGCAGCCTTGGAAGCACTTTTACTGCTACTTCCACCGCTCTTCTTCGCTGCTTTTCCATTCGACTTACCATCAGCAATTCGACCTAAAAGTCCTTCTCCCTGGCTATCCCAGATCTTCTTCGACAAGTCGAAAGATTTCTGGTCATGAACTTTGCTAAAACTCTTGTCCAAACCATTCTTCCCATTGGCGTGGTTCTTAAATTTCTTCCTAAATCTGGTAACTTTCTCCTTCAATTGAGCCAGCGACACATCCACAGCCAGAGACTTGTTGATGAAATCATAGAAGGCCGCCATGTCCTTCAAGGGATCTGCTCCTTTCTTCTCAGCGAACTCGATCAGCCCACTCAACACCGCGATCTCATCGTTCTCACCCCAGAGCCGCTGAAAGGGCACTCTCGGGACATCTTCGTTCTTACCGTCGTCGTCCTTGTCGCGCTCCGCCACCTCTTTCTGCCTCTTGGCGTCCTTTGCTTCCCTATCAGTTTCACTGGCCCTCTTTGTCGCCGCCGTAGATTTCGAGGAAGAGGCATGAGCCGCGTTCGCTTGCGCTTTAGGCTGGGGCTTGGAAGCGATGGGCTTCACGTTGTGAAGAATCCCAGAGCTTTTCGGGGGCGGATCAGAGTCGGAATCCGCGTCGGAGTCGTCCCCGGACTCGGAATCGGAGCTTTGAACAGCTGGCTTCTTTGGCTGACCTTGTGAATGGTGAGCCAACGTTCTCCTTCCCTCCTGTGGCGGCAGTATTTCGTCGGAAGAGGCTTCATCGGCGGAGGAATTTTCATCATCTTCCTCGGAAGAAGAAGGAGCGGGTGGGTCTTCCTTCGCATTCAGCCGCTTGGAAGCCATGGTCGAACTCGAACAGCTGCTGTGGTTGGGCTAGGGTTCGCGGAATGGGCGAATAATTTAGGCGAACAATGTGCCCATGGTGGCAACCAAATATATAGGAGATGTTATTATAAATGCCTGAAGTATAAATATGTAACAAAGTGGTCCCTTTCGTAATAGAAAATAATCCTCCTTAATCCTTCCATCGATTGGACTAACTAATCGGATGTTGCTGAAGCACCATTAGTCCATTACAATATAAAACTAATAATCAAATGTTCTATTCTTTTTCTAACATAGTCAAATGATGTTAGAAACGTTTGAGACAATTCACTATGTTAAATATCTCTCAAAGCCTTTCAAAACCTTCTTCTACCCTTCCCTTATCAAGAACTTGGATCAAGGCTTAGTTCACCCTTTTCGTTAATCATATGTCCGATGTTGTACATGTATATCTTTGGTTAAGATGTCAACCTAGTAAACACATTGCAATTAAGATGAAACCTCCATTTATCATTATTAACCTTCCAATTGAGTTTCTTAAAAGTACTATAAATTTCATTCTCATGGCATAAATTATACAATCGAAATGCGGTTAGAATCAAATCAATCACTGATACTACAAATTGAACTGGTTCATCCGATTCCCACAAACTAAACCACACTAAATACATGTAACATAGATGAGCTTAGCTAGCCTCTTTAGTTTCTTTCTTATCTTATATTATAGACACACACAGTGAAACAACCGGCATCGCTCTGATACAACATAAGAACACTAAGAACAGTCGGCAAATTGCTGGAGCGGCTGGGGATTTTAGTTAAGAAAGTAGCAACGCAGGTGGTCGAAATTGAGCTCTGCTGTAAGCTAATGGCAACATGAGCAGCTTCTTCCCTCTCCCAACATAAGCCCTCTTGTTCAAGTTGTCATAATCATTCTCCTCGATCTCATCCAATATACTCCTGTACACCAACAGCGCCGTCCACACCTGCAATCCATCGATCAACCTTCCTTCAGCAACTTACAAAGAAACGAGCCAGGGCGGAAAAAAAGTTGCAAAATAACAGAGTCGATGGTCGAGTTTACCGGCCAACGGCTGGCGTCGTCGAGGTGAGAGGCTCCTTCCTCGGCGAGGTTGAAGTACGATCTTGCCCTCGTGATCTGAGCTTTCATGAATTCTCTCCACCCGTCTGTTACTTTCCCTGACATTACATCTCTGTCGGACAGCCCGAACTGTGCTAGCTCGTCTTGAGGAAGGTATACTCTGCCTCTCAATGCACTGCATAGCCCATTATTCAATCCAAACCCCAGAGTTAGCTTAATAATTAATTATCGTTGTCTGTAAGTTCATAATGCATATGTATGAATGTCGGGGATCCGGGGGCTTACTCTTCGCCGACGTCGCGAAGGATGTTGGTGAGCTGATTGCCAATGCCCAAGTAGAGAGCTGCGTCGTAGATGGTTTGAGCAGAGGCAGAGGAGGTTGGAGATATCCCCATGACTGGGACGCTCATCAGCCCCACTGTCCCGGCGACGTAGTAGCAGTAGAGGTACAGTTCTTCGAAGTTCTGGTACCTTGGTTTCCATGTGTCCATTCTCATTCCGTCGATCATGTCCCTGAAAGGCTGCAAATCCAGACCAGGGATACATTGATTACCCTCTTAGATTAGTTATTATAGTTATGTTTTGACTTGTGGCTACTGATAACACATGTCATGGGTGATTTACATGCCATAACATGTGGACGGATTCATTAGCATCTGCTGTTTGAGTTAGTTAACGAAGGGCGGGAGACGAATTTCTAACTTATGTTACAGTAAGTAATACATAATTTGATTATAACGCACATGAGCCTACTCAAATGATAGTATAAACGAGTAATCTAAGACATAGAACTCTGGCACAATAGTTATTGAGAAATTTTACAATGCTATATAGTATTGGTGCTATAGGATTTTGTCTTTATGGTACAACTTAAAATTGTACATTTACGTTATGGTACAACTTCAGATTGTACCTATACTTTTTGTACAAATTCTTTTATGGTACAACTTGAACTTGTACTTTTATGTGATGGTATAACTTTAAGTTGTAAAGTTGTACCATAACATAATGGTACAAATTGCTTTATGGTACAACCTAAACTTATACATTTAATGTTATGGTACAACTTTAAGTTGTACATTAAAGCACCAATACTATATAGCATAGTAGAAGTGCTCTTAGTTATTATGTTAGTTGTTTGAAACTACAATAACTTTTTTGGAGTGACCGATTTATTAGGAGCTAGATAATATACCTTGATGTCAAGAGGGAATTGGGAGATGGTATGAGTGAGAGCAGCATCATACATGTCATAAGGACGACCAACAAATATGTCTTCTAATCTCTCTTCCCATCTGTTCAACACCGTCGAATTGGTCATCATATAATCTGCATTTGGACCGTCAACCAGTTCATCTGTTCTCCTGCACCAAACTAGAATCCACACACAACTCGAATCATCAGAACAAATTAACTTCAATCCATCTCATCAATGGTAACTCTACATAATATAAGAGGTTTTTTTTTTGAATTAGAAACTAATTATAATTGGTCAATTACAAATAAATGGAGCTTGTAATTACCATAGATAGCCCATATCGCCTTTCTCCTATCCTCTGTCATTAGCCTAGTTCCTGCACAACATTTTTTTCAAAACCAAATTTACACTGAAAAATGATTGAAAGAACAGAGAGGAGAGACAGAGCACGAACCTAGGTAGAAAGTCTTGGCATATTCAGCACAAATTTCCCTGCACCTCTCGTAGGATTCATCAAGGAATTCACCATCCAACTCTGGCTTAATCTTCCTGCTGAGTTCATGATCAGTACTGAAGCTGCTGCTGCTGCCACTGCTATAAAACTCCTTATTAGACGACTGCCTCTCCACAATCTCCTCCACGCGCAGATCGGTATGAGGGATTCCTAATTGCTTCAGCAGCAACGAAGATCGATTCTTTGGAGCGATCGTTGCGATATTGGTGACCACTTGTGCACTTGCAGAGGCATATTTCCTCTTCCACGACGGCTCTGCAATGGTACTAGCAGCTGCTATGGCGACATTACAGGGCTTTAGGGTGAAGACAGAGCACATGGTGAGCTATGTTAATGTTCTACAGAGAAACTTGGGAAGAGATCGTTGTGTGGGAAGAGAGCTATAACAAGAAGAAGAAGATATATATGCAAAATGGTTATGGGAAAGTTAATTTTTGGTTTCATTAAAACAACTGCCGGTGGATTATTCTTTTGTTCGGCGGTAAAGACAAAGATCATTGAAAGTATTTATTATTATTAATGCGTTAAGTTGTGTAATTAAAATTGAAAATGATTTATGTACAGTAAATGAAAGGGGTGGTGGTCATCAATTGAACAAATGGTCACTAAAGTTTTGATATATAAGAAAGTTTGTCACTGAAGTTTGAAATAGGTAACATTCACTTGATTAATCCTAGTCAATTTCTTCTTAACATCAGCTTAGAAGGCATAATCGAGCAATCTAATTATAAGAGTGGTAAGAACGATTTGTGATAGTCTTCATTTGATCGGACTAATGGTAAAAGAGACTATTTTGTCACTAAATAAACAACTATGTGAAAACTCCAAAGAGCAAACTGACATGTATAAAACGAGAAAGACACAAAAAGAATATAGACTTAATTCAAAAGAACATTTGAGAATCTGACAATTCAAACAATGTAACTAAGATGTCAGCCAATGTAGTACTCCTAGACTATGAGATGGATCCGTCGTACCAGAATCAATTGTGAAAGTGCTCAAACACGAAAGGAATGGAATGTTCCCTTGCAAAAACTAAACGAAAAATGGCCCTCCAATGGGAACTAAAAATCTACCACAAGAGAAAAAAGTATACTTGTCAGGCATCATCGAAATTTTAGATAGAACTAGTAGTATAAAGCGAATAGAAGAGAATCAATCCTTATAGCCATTATTATAATAAATGTATAATATGATCACCAATATAAGTGTCCTCAACTAATCAAATAAGAATTCATACACATTCTCATTAGGTAATATAAACGACTCATTTCGAATTAAATTTGTCACCCACTCTAATTCCTATCTATGCATATTATATGAAGAGTTTATCTTGCCCTCTTCTCTTTTAATTTCAACGAAGCAACATTGTAATACCAAATACTCCAAACAAACATGTTACTATTTCAAATTTGGGTGACTGAATTCGTCAAGAATTCAATATTTAGTGACCGGTTCATTAGTAACTAGAATCCACCCAATAATTCAAATTGATGTAATATTGTAATGTCAAGATGAGCTTGTCATAAAGTTGGGAGAAAGGTCATCGGTTTGTCCTAGTTGCATTAGGATCTTCGTCGAGGCTCGTTCATAGCCAAGCTGTTGATACTCTTTTTGTTCTCACTAATCATTCCACCCCTTGATTTTAATCTTTAGTTTTATGGACACTCATTGGGGAGGCATAGATACACGTATCTTTGCCGACGAAAAATGTGTCACTTCATTCATCCACCAATCCAAAGGTCGGCACGATCCCGATAGAGCCGGCCGGCCGGCCTGCCCTGCCGGATTTCTATTTTATTATCGAAAAGGATAGACTATTATTATTATTATTATTATTATTATGTTATGATAACCAAAACACTCCATGTTATAACAGGCTGCAAACTCTTCCATCCCTCTCCCACAAGACTTTACATTTATTATTTATATATATATTTTTGTGTTTAATCTTATTTTACTTAACAATAAGTTTACTCGTATTTCAGATGGCTCCATTAATAAATGACTTTCTTTCGTCCAAAACATAATGTTTATAACCATGTCAATTTCAACCCGCGACCCGCGATGGGACGGGTATTACTCGATTCGCAGTAGCGTGAGACGAGATATGTGTATTTACTTCCGACTCGTCCTACTCCGCCCTCGACCCGTTCTTGGTCTATTTTATCTCAATTTCTTACGGTATCTATACATATTTCTCCTATTTTGACTGTTCTTCAACTAGTTAAAATCAATCTTTCATCTTGTTAGACTCAATTACTCATTATACTATCAATATTTTTCATTCATAAAGTGTTTTCTCCTTCGTTTTATCGCAAAAAATAAATTTGGGTGTAATTTTTTCAAATAACATGTAAGAGTGGGTTGACCCGTCCCGCCCCGTACTTGCACGGGTTTTACCCGCCCCGACAAGCAGTAGTGTGGATATTGAGGTACCCGCCCCACCCATTGCCATCACTATTTATAACTTCATCATTTACAAGAAGTAAATTTAAATTTTTATGAGTTAGAAATGAGTAACCGGATTGTTAGAGAGATTTACTCATCACATTTTTTTACACGTCCTAGCTAATTCAAGTAAACTAATGCATTTGACGTTTTATATAGTATCACCACACCATTTGTTTCGTGGATTTGAAAAATGAAGGTTTTGGTATAATTTGGGTTTTGAAAAATCATGGATATGTGAGGAGTTTGAGTTCATTATAGATTTGATAAAAACCATTGTTTGTTTGATGGATTTCATGATGAATTTTGTAATTTACCTTTATTCCCCCTCAATAATATAAGAAGATAAAAAAAATATATATGAGAAGTATGTAACACCACTATCATTACCTTTAACGTTATCCTAAAGCCTAACCTTCCTATAATTTTATCAACTACGATCCAGTCGATTTTTGCATATATAATCGTAGTGAATGACTTGGCCAACCATTTGAAGTTATCAATCCAACAAATATATACATAGACAATAAAATATATACAGAGGTTGCTTTCCAAGTTGCAGTTCTTGGCGGAAGTGGTTGAAGGCATTATTCGGCAGAGGGCAAAACTAATGTAGCTATCCGAGGACAGCCATTGGAGGAACAAGTTAATTGTATACATTAGGACGTAATTGTCAGCAAATAGGGAGCACTTCTAGTTACTTCTTATAGCCTATTATAATATTACTGGAAGATACATTCCTAATCTATGTTTTTATTATCGATTGTTTATCGTCGGGTTTGATTATGATAATTTATTATAAAAGAAGGTAAATTGGAAATAACCCTCGCCTTTTTCGTGATTGTTATAAAGAATTTTTCATAAAAACAAAAGAAAGAACATTGAATTTTGAAATTCTAATCAAGGAGGAAAATATATAAGAGTTTTTTTAGTTTATACAAATAGATAGACAAACATAGTATAAAAATATGTTTATGAATTGTCTTTATACATATACCCATGAGAGAAGTGGCAAGAGTTTGGTGGGGTTTGATATGTAGGCAGATATATTGGAAATCCATCTTTCTCGATTCGATTTTTCGATGGTTTGAATAAGGGATCCGTCACAAAACCAGGAGAAGAATAATTGATTTTAAATCTCTAATTAAGGAGGATAATAAAAGTTAGGCGAGACTCATATAAAGAGATATCTCATGATACAATCCATAACTAAATATGTATATACAAATGTGCATGAACAATCCAAAAAATTCACGTCAAAATGTTCCTAAACCAAACCAAACCAAACCAAACCAAACCAAATTTGCATTACAACAGAGGTCTCTACATCACCGTCAGTAGTATATTTCACGTCCTGATGGATGATTATACTTTCATGCTACTCTCTGCAGCCAATTAACACTTGCTTTCGTCTGTCTGTCTATCTATCGAGTGACCGTTAACAGAAGATCCATTCATTTCTAAGAGCTTCATTTTGCTCTCACAAGCTTCGCTATGCAATTTATCCAGAGATGGTGGAATGGAGCTGTTTCGCTGCCCATGTTACGCCGAAAAGGCTTCGAAGCGAACCTGTAATGTCTTCTGCAATTGTACTCAACATCACCCTGCACTCTGTAATAACCCACCAAAGCAGAGGAGTTTGTGTGCAATGGCACATAGATTCAGTTCTTTGAACATACATAAACTTCAACATGCAAGCAAGAACAAAGAGACACATAACTAACCTGGAATTCTACTAAAATTCAGCAGCGACATGGAAGCCAGGACCTTGTGCTCGTCCTGCTCACCATTCTCCAAGTTGTCCTTCAGACCAGAGATCAGGGCAGAGAACGCAAGCAGCTGAAATTCGGCATCCGATTCAGAAGAAAGTGCACAGCTCAACCACACAATGGTGCTTAGGCATACCGTCACCAAATCCGATTTACCGCCCGAGTTCAAGCATTGTGATATGGAGTCTAGAAATGACTTCTTTCCATTGCTGAGCAACAATGCTGACAAGTTCCTCAACCACTCCTCCCCTGCCTCCTCCTCCTCTTCCTCTTCTTCTTCTTCTTCCTATATACACAAATTAAACATTTCACATCGGCCGATTTTTCTAGCACCACTGAATGATGATCAAGCAACACATCTATCCTACCGCATACTATAGATATAGAACCAATCACTCTTTAACGATGAGCCAGAAAAAGTGTTTTCCCAATGAACACTACTGTCTACAATTAATTACAATAAAAAAGTAGAGAGTCCAACAGCGAATAGATAATGGCGACCGGGGATATTTTACAATAAAAAAGTCGTCATTAAATGTCAAGACAACTAGAAATAGCGACAATAATACATTAGTCACTATTATTACCTTAACAATCGGATAGTATGAAAGTGGAGATGAAGGAATACCTGAGAAAAAGAGTCATCAAAACATGTTGCTCCTTGAGAGTTCATCGCTCCAGATGTAGTATTAGCATTATGTCCAGCTTGCTTCAGAACCCAATTCTTAATGAAGGACGACTGCCCGCCTTCAGCAGAAAACTGGCCACCTAACATGAGAAGTGCTTTGCAAGTACTTTCCCGAACCTTGTCATCGATTAGGCTGCCTTCGAGGGCCACTGCCATAGCATCAACTGCTTCCTCCCTATAAATGCTGTAGTAATTTTGAGGTGCAACCTGCTCACCAAAACGTTACTTCCTTCAGCTCCAAGAAAACAAAACGTCTAATTTAGCATCAGATGTTACAGCACTCATTATCTATGCAAGTATTTGAGAGCCTACCAAAAGATCCAAATGCAAAATCAGTACAGCAATAGAGGGCTTTTGCTCAAGTTGGGAGCCCTGAAGATGAAGTAGCAACACATGCATCACACTGGTTATCTTCTCGTCCTCCAAGTCTCGAAAGAATAACATCACATCTCTCCTCCTGAAACAACCACATGGTCTCAATAGGAATCACTGACACAGAAAACAAACTTAGAAGAGCCGAGAGACAAAGAAGAATATAGATACCTGCTAAGACAAACTAATTCGGTGAAAAGGGAAACTGCATTTCGTCTGGAGTCAGGCTGCTTGCTGTGAAGTAAATCAACGAGGCACTGCTTATCGATGTTTCTGCCGATCAGGCTTCTGCTATCTGAATCAGCTTCAATGCAACATGACAGAAGCAATGCAACACGTGATTTCTCTTCTACATTTCCAAGTGCAAACCTTCTGATGAGAAACTCCAAGCCTCCTAGACAGACGAGATGTATGGCGTTTTTCACTCGCTCCTCTACATTGAATGTTGTCAGGAGCTTCTCCAATATGAATGTAGCCGTCTCATCTCGTTGCCTTGTTTCGCATTCCCTTGAAGTTCTAATGATTTCCGAGGCTAAAGCCAACAACTGACCGCAATGTTCCAGCTTCCAGTTATGAATTATTCGCTTCAGAATTAAGTTGGTAAGTGGCAGGTTCACACATTCTAAACTTTTCCCCGTCACTGGACAGGCACAGTTTCCCTGCTGATCAAACCACTCTGCAATTGCTTCTCTCTCGAATGTCTGTCCGGTTTCTAGAGTCACTGGGTCTTCAAACAACTCTCCAGTTAAGGGACAGATAAAGTCCTGAGGGATGCTTGCATAGAATGATCCTTCCTCAAAATATTCACAATCTAATTCATAACCAGCCCTTGGACTCATCACCTGCACTTGGGAAAATGAGAAGCTATAAGTACCTAACTAAATGCAACAGGTGAAACAAAAGATGAGCTTTATATTTTCTATGATACCGAGATTAAAACCTTGATATTGCCAGAGAAGGAACATACAGTGAGATCACTAGCCTCGTTAAAGCGTTGCACTCCAGAAACAGATTGTAAGAGACCTTTGAGTCTTAGCTCATTTGTTGCTTTAGACTGTGGAGATGCATTCAATACAAGAGCAGTTCCCCGGGTAGAAGCATCATGCCACTCTTGAGAACTAAACATTCCACCGTTTGAATCGGTTTCCTGCTCTTCTCTTGCTCCAGCCAATTTCCATTCTTCCTGGGGTGCTGCTAATGGCCCGTGACCCTGCAGAAACAAGATAAGATTGAGGATCCTGGAGAAAAGAAGATACACGGGGACATGACAAGTGAACATACTTACACGAAGGGATTTGACATCCTTTCCCCTCTCAGAGTAGAATGTTGTTGTCAGTGCTTCTTTAACCTGAACACCAGAATCATCAGAGCTCCTAGCACTTTTCACAGAGCTGCCTCCATGATCCCCACTTTCTCCTGCCTCGGAATGACCAAGTTTACTCGAATTTATAGCATCGTAGATTCTTGGAGAATGATCATTGGAACCCCCTTGTGACGACAGGCTCTGACTTGACAATGAAGGCACATGAATTGAAGGAACAGAAGGAGCTTCAAGGCCCTCAGTCAGCCAGTCCTTGTAGTAGACAGCAAACTGGTAAGTACCAGAATCCAGAGTTTCATTGTAAACTTTGTCAAGGAGTTTAACTTTCCGTATCTTGCTTGGTGTGCACGGTAGAGACTCTGCCTCTTTGTTATACCACGACTTCAAATGCGAAAGATGGGGAAACAATAGATATTCCCACAGGTCAGGCAACAAAACTGTCCGTGCCCAAAATGGAGAATCGCAGAACACTTGGAGAAGATGTTTGGCTGAAATTCTGTCCTTGTTCTTCTGCAGCTTGTACACAACACTGAGGTAGAAATGTGCACAGGCAGACAACCTCGAGTTTGGAACTCCAAATGTGTAACCATCTTTCAGCTCATTTGAGTTAAAACCCGTGATCACACTGAGCTGCAATGCGGCTCTCTTCAGATCCTTCGCACTCACAAAATCCTCCTCCTCCTTATCCTTAGCTGCTGCTTTCTCCACTGTATCAACGGCTTCCTCAAGACTGGAAATGACTTTCCTCTCAATGCTGTCGATCTCTTCAATCTCGTTGAAATTGAATGAGGAGAAACAATTGTAACGTGCCATGGTCCGGAACTCATCATCTTTGAAGAAACGTCTACTGTATCCATTAAGGATAGAGACCATGGCTTGGATCGCAACTTCATCGAGTGCAAAACCAGCAACTTGAGGAGTGACATTTTCAGCAGGCCTCCTCCTCCTCCTATCCGCTTCGTTGTCCTTTCGAGCTCTTATACCATTTCCATATGAGCTATTCCCACTGCCATGGCTACTACTACTGGCTGCATATTTTACCATATCAGAATAAATGTCCTTAATTCTGCCATCATTGTCATCTTCTTTCTTACCAACCTCAACTGTTTCGTGAGACGTTGGCTTGTTAGAACGTCTGTGGATTCTATCCCAGTTACCTTCTTCTTCATCATTTTTGAATCTACTAGCCACATAATCCCCAGCACGGGGATTTCTGCTGCTCGTGCCAGCATCGCTACTTCCTGAAGATTCACCGCCTCCTCTCGAATTGTAGCGATGCATGTCAGAGTTCGCCCTTTCTGTTCTGATTCTAGACCCAGCCGGTATATGATCCATCCTTTGTCGCTCTCCACGCATCCTACTACTTGCAGCAGCTTCTGCTTTGAATGAGGCCCTTGCCTTCATCCTTGATCTTCTTCCTTTGAAGCCATCCTCTTGAAGCAACTCTGCCAAAGACGATGCCATTTCTTCGTCCCCACTCCCCACTAGAATGTCTGAGGACACTACAAGCACAGATTGAAAAGGGTCAATCAAACAGGAAAATGAAACAAAGCAATATGGAAACCTTTACAAATCAGTTTAATCAGCCAAGACATGATCTGCAAGTAGCAAAGAAATGGTGGAGAAATTTACCTTATTGAGAGTTCTATGGTTTTTCATTAAGGAAACAAACCGCTGTTCGATCAGTACCTGAGCATCCCGGGCCTGAAGCTGATTCTGAAACAGACACAAGGTTTGATCAATGATCATATAATGAAAATTTTGACTAGCTAGTTCATCTTCTACAGAAGGAACATAATATTTTATTTACCAAGGAACTACAACTTCAATCAAATAGAGAACGGGATTACACCAATTACCTCTCACCAGATCAATTTTCTGTGATGGGTCTGAAAGTTTTCTTCTCAGAACAAATCAGCAGACAGATTTCCTTTGATGATCGCCTTTATTGTACATAGGAGCTGGGGAAAGAAGAGAAAGGGGAGGACTCAGCTGGTGGAAGACAATAGAATCATCCTGTGATGTCTGCATAATGGAACTCCAACCAGCTAACAGGTCAAACAACCAAGAAAGTATTGTAAAGGACAAAGGCATCGGTTCACTCATTTAACGGATGATTCACTCATAGTTGATGTTACTCTCGGCCGGCCATGCCGGCTACTACTACTGTGTTTGAACAAAGCCTAATGAATCATCCAAATTATAAAATGGACAAGTACCTTAACTTTGAGAAGTAATCAATCAACCCCTAAACTTCTAAATATGCACATCACTGATTTATAGTTGACAAAATGAAGAATACCAGATGACTTACGATTGAGGATCCAAGGGTGCTGCTGTGTATCACTACATGGTGCTCCATCAATGGACTCCAAGCTTCGGACTCTCAGAGAGGCTCACACCCGTGATTTTTTTTCCCCCTTCCTCAAAGGCTTCACAATGTCGACTGTCGATAACTTGTATCCACTCATTAGCAAGAGATTTAGATCAATATAATGCTAATGAGATGAAAACAAACTGCAGTTCCTGCAAGTCTGACATAAGGACCAAAGAACCTCTCTGGTTTTCTTGTTTTAACTCTGTATCTCTCAGTGAATGAACAGAAGAGAACAGAGAGACCTTGTTTTTGGAGAACCCAGCAATGGCGGCATTGGAGGAATTAGCTCGGTGGGTTATTGAATTTTCAAGTACCCACCACACATCATCGGATCAAGAGATAGTGTACCGGTCGAAAAATCTGATTTGATATGGATATATCATATATGATATGAGGGATTTCATTTTGGATCGAATTGGGAATAACTAATGATGAAAAGGAACGGAGGAGAAAAGGAAAGGCGGGTAAAATCCGGCGACGGATCAGAAGAATTAGAATATGCTTTAATACCAACACCACCGGCAGCGCCGCCGTCGCCGGGAGAACGGGTGGGGAAACTAGGAATACTCCCGCGAAAACCAGAAACGGGAAAGTTTGATTTGATATGATGGATTTGGCCTTGGATCGAATCGGTAATCAAGTAATTATGACGGTGTGGAGGAAAAAAGGAAAGGCCGGGGGAAATCCGGCGGCAGCAGGACGTAGAACAAGGTGCTTTAACACCGCGACCACTAACCGCCCCGGCGGCCGTATGAGGCAGAGAACGGCTGGGCAAAACATGAAAAAACCCCCGCGGAAGCAGAAACGGGTAATCTGAAACGTCGAAACGCGAAACGTTTCGTGTTCTCAAAACCAAAATCGAAACGCGAGAAATTGACGAGTAATTGAAATTGAAATTGAAATTGACGATATACGATATACTGTTAAATATCGCGGTATTTACGCGATAAATTGTCATCTGCCGATATTTTGAATCCGGCCGGAAGAATCGACAGCCGTCGATGACTTAATAACATTTTTGCCGGTCAGAATATCATGGGCGACTTCGGTGCTGTCCCGATAAAGAAGAAAAACGAAAAGGAACCGCCATGTCTGCTACCGAAACCGCCATTCCTTCCTTGCAACTCCCATTTCGCAACTGCAACAATGGCGATTCGCTGCCTTTATTGATTTTTTTCAAATCTTCCCATCACAACGAAAAGGGTGTTCTTCATCTATCAGGTCGGTACTCCATTCCCAGCTTCATGTTTCGTTTCCACGAAGAGCAAATGCATGAACTTTCACCTAACCAGATCGAAAAGGAAAGGCTCTCTGACTCTGATTGTTTGCTGAGTAAAAGCTTTAACCTTTACTCTCTGTTCTTACCGTCAAATTATGTTTGTTTCTTCCTCCTTCCGCTTCTCACCACGAAGCAGCTACTGAGAAGGGGAAGGAGAAGGAGGAAGAAAAGTTAAGAACAGCTTTGTCAGATATTCCCATCTTTCTGCCGTCTTCTCTGAATAATAGTTAGCAGACCTTAGGTCTTACTTAATGTGTAAAAGTAGCTACATTAAAGAACCATTTTTGCGCAAGACCTTGAATTGTTGAGATTGGTGTAGTATTTGAAGGATTATATTAGTGTTATGGTATATGATTCATGATTGAATTTCTCTCAATAATTCGAGTTATTGACAGCTTCTTGACATGGTATCAGAGCTTTCTATGACTGAAAGATTTTGTGTTCGATTCGAGTTATTGACAGCTTCTTGACATGGTATCAGAGCTTTCTATGACTGAAAGATTTTGTGTTCGATTCTCGATGACTCCATTTGTTAAGCACATGGTATTCTTGTCTTCAAACATGTGCAAACTTCAAGCTCTTATAAGTGGCCCTCATTTGAGGGACATATTAGTGTTATGGTATATGATTCACGATTTAACTTCTCCCAACAACTCGAGTTATTGAGAGCAACTGGTTCTTGACAGATTAAATTTTTAAGCGTTGTAGAACAGAAAATTCTGCTTCTGTTGCTTAGAGTTCACACAAGAAAGATACATGATTCAGTGGGGTATTCTGGATTCAGAAACAAGGGCCTCTTGCAAGTATATAACAACCACTTCTCTTACTTTCTTTATTCCAGCAGGAAAATAAACGTAGTAGAGTCTTCATAGTGCTATAGTAATATGTACACATGCCATTTCAAAACTCCTTGAAATTTTGGTCTTTCAGATGACCACTAGAACTACCTACATACAGCCTTCATTCGTTCGCGACCAACTCACCCCCTCGCTGCACTTCTTCCTTCACAAGAGGAATGTTAACACTGCTGCAGCTGCTACTCCGTGATTAGCAATGGAGTCTCCTTCATAACTGGTACTGGAAGCTGCAAGATGATGATCACAAAGTGGCAGATTAGGGTGGGTTTTCGAGAATGAAAGGAATCATAAAATGCATGTCATCTAAAGGGTGCTAATCAACCGTATAACTACTTCATGGAGCGTGCACAAACAAGCCAATACGGATTATAATGCCTAATTCGGAATCCTGATTCAGGGCACACACTTAATCCAGCACAAACTCAAGCTACTGCTGAAGGAATTTGGGAACCAAAAGCGTTTCAGGAGGCTCAACAGATCATCTGAAGGCACACATCGTATTTGTATTTTCAGATAATGTTCGGTGATTTAAGATGCTACCCACCGGGATGAGGATCCGGTGAAGACAACAAGATCCGCAAACATTTCAACTCCAATCATGAACTTAAATGATGTGAAGAAGTTTAATTTGGCAGTAAATACTCTAGACCTATGATCCTTGAGCTCGCTCGAGGTTAGACACCAGTCACCGATTCCCAAAACCCTCCAGACCAGAACCCCAATAACTCAACAGAGAATTGAGGACAAATGAGGGGCTAATTGCACAACATATGGGGGAGGGCTGGATTCATCATTCTAATCTTTTCAATTTGCCAACCTTTTTTGGTTCCGAAATCACTTATCGATGTGGAGCTGATACAGGCAATACACCTTCTAAGAGGCACGCATAGACAAAGTAAAGCCACATCCGCCTTAAACATGGCAACACTTGAACCCAAATAGAATGAGCATTCATCTTTCACCACATACGACCCATTGTCAAGAGCAAAAGATTCATAAAGCTAATCTTAGGCAACTGATTGATTCAGAGCAAAACCCAGTAGAAAGAAGCAATTTTTAATCAAAAGAACAAAAGTCAGAACTTCAATACCTCAATCGCCCGCTTCCAGAACCCTTTACAGGGCGTACCAGAGACCCCATCTCGGCAAGAATGCACGGTCTCGAACTGGTCAACGTCAAGCTTCTTGTTGATGAACCCGACATGGAAGTAAATCGAATCCGCAGGCGGCAAATCAACCTCAATCTTGTCAACATCAAGCCACAGAAAGAGCTTCTGGACCTTAATCCCTTCCAAATTCGTGATCGACCCGTAGCTCAGCTTCCCAGTAATCTTCTCCGCGTAATAGACCAAGTAGTCGAACTGTATGTAACAGGGCTTCGCCAAGGTCACCGCGAAGTTGCCATCGTCGTCGAGCGTGTAGGAGACCACTGAATCGGGCAAAAGCCCGCTGGGGAGGCCGTACTTGGGCAGGATCTCGTAGACGGAAGGAAGAGGTGCTGCTGGGTCCTCGGAGAGGGCATGGATTGTTGAAACAGAAAGGACAATGACCAAGAAAGAAAAAATGGCGCGACCAAGGTCAAAACAGGGGATTGAAGGCGCCATTGTTGGCGGAAGCAGGGAGCTTTCGTCGACAAAGAAACGCGAGGGGGGGAATCCAGAGAATATCGGGGGAGGTGAAGAGATTAGTGCGGGGAGGAGGAGGAGGGTGGGTTGGTGGCGGAGTTCTTCTTGTTTCTAGAGGCCTGCGATGGTTTTACCTTTTTCCCAATCTTGGTCGGTAGCTTGGCGGTTTGTCGAACCAGGATTAATTTATTGCTAAAAAAATACTTTTTCCTCGTTTTTGCAGAGGGGACTTTTGAATTATCGTTTGTGATTTTTATCGTTATCGGCCGCGTTTTTTGGGCCTTGTCCAAGAATTGCTGGTTTCTTTTTGGGCCGACTTAGACTTTTGGGACCTTTTCACCTCGTTGGGCCTTGGCCTTAAGGATTGAATGTTTTACTTCTCCCGTGCAAAATTCGAGTAATCATCGATATCTATCGATAATAGTTGAGACTGGTGTAGACGTGTAGTATTTGTAGGCCGGAGAAACATTGCGTTCTGATTTAGACCAGATCATATATATAGTTTATGGTCCAGATTGAGAGATTGGACTATAGACTACAGACCAGACCACAGACTATGCAGTTCGGTCCAAACCATGCATGTGCGGTTTGGTCCAGATAGACCACATTCAACGAAAAATTAACAATTTGTTTAGTGAATCACACAAAAGTTGAACCAATAACCAAGAAACAAATTTATTTTTTTGCCTTAAAACATTAACTTTTACATGCATGAATAATTTTGACACCCAACCTGTACCATAACGTCATAAACATAATTTCACATGGGGCTACGATTATCTCTACTCTCTAGTGAAATGTGGTTGTGAATGGAGGAGGGGACGAGATTCTCAAAATTAAGGTTGAGAGTTGGGTGTCGTTGTGGGAGTTGGGAGAGTGGTCGAATGTGCTATTAACACTTATTGAAAAGTAGGTTGGGTTCACGGTTTGGTATGGTAAACCGCGGTCTTGACTAGACCAGATCAAGAGATTAAAATATCAAATAATATAGACTATGGATTAGACCAAACCATACTTAACAGTCTACGTTCTAGACCAAACTGTACGGTACGGTTTAGACAATGATTTTTGTAACGGCCTGATCTATTTTCCCAGCCTTTGGAAGGATTAAGTAGTGGAAAAGAAAAATCTGCTGCTGTTGCTGGGAGTTTACACAAGAAACACAGCAGGAAAATCAACGTAGTAGAGTCTTCATAGTGCCATAGCAATCAATAGATATACTATTTCACAGACTCCTTGAAGTTTTTGGTCTTTTTAGATGACCACTACACTTACATACACACCGTCTTTATTCGTGCGCGACTAACTCACCCCCTTCGGCCTTCTGCACTTCTTCCTTCACAAGAGAACGTAACCACTACTGCAGCTGCTACTGCGTGATTATCATTGGAGTCTCCTTCACCACTGGTGCTGGAAGCTGCAAGATGATGATAAAGTGACAGAAGTCAGTAGAAAGAAGCAATTTTTAATCAGAAGAAGAGAACTCAGGAACTCCCAATACCTCAATCTTCTGGCCTGGGTGATGGTGTACTATTCGAAGTAAACCCAATAATCGACCACAATCTTTTCAACTTGGTACCACACGAACAAACCCCTCACCTGAATCCATTCCAAATTCGTGATCGGTCTCCCAGTAATCTTCTCGTCGTAATGGGCCATGGCGTACAACATTGAATAACAGGGCTTCGCCAAGGACACCGCCAAGTTGCCATCGTCGTCGAGCGTGTAGGAGACCACAGAATCGGGGAACAGCCCTCTGGGGAGGGAGACCGTACTTGGGCAGGATTTCGTACAAGGAAGGAGGAGCTGCTGCTAGGTCTTCAGAGAGGGATTGGATTGTTGAAAAGGAAAGGGTACTGATGGCCAAGAACGAGAAAATGGCCCGGGGATTCAGGTCAAAACAGGGGATTGAAGGCGCCATTGTTGGCGGAAGCTGGGAGCTTTCGTTGACGGGGGAGGAGAGTGAATATATCAGTGCGGAGACGGTGTCTTCGAGCTATATGGTATTTATCCTAATCTTGATCGGTAGCTTGGCGGTCTTGTCGAGCCAAGATTATTGCCAAAAAGAAATACTTTTTTCCCCTCCTATTTACAGAGGGGACTTTGAATTATCGTTAGTGATTGTTTTGTTATCCGCCGCGTGGTATGTGGATCATTGATTTCTGTTCATCGTGGCGATATACTGCAATGGTGGAGAGAGAGAGAGAGAGAGAGAGAGAGAGAGAGAGAGAGAGAGAGAGAGAGAGAGAGAGAGAGATTGGGGTAGCTGTACTCTGTTCTGTAGCAGAGTGTGTTAAAGAAGAGGGACCTTGGTTGGATGAGTATTTATTAACACACCAGCCGGCCGGAGGCCACTGTATTTCAAAGTGGCATTAAGACTTGGGTCGCCATTGATTAAATTATGAGATGACAAAAGACAATACAGTAATGGCGGTATGGCTGATTGTAGTTAGGTAGGTAGCTGGGAGCTCAGAAGAAGAAGGGGAAGCCCGTGATTAATCCCCACAATACACCCACCGCCGTGACAGCTACCCACTCGCGATTCTTCCTCTTCCTTGCCTGATCTCCTCCGTGGTTGCTCTTTTGATTCGCATTTCCACCGCCGCCGATGACAGTTGCTCTGCCCCCGCTCGCCGCCGATGCTACCCGACCACCGTGTAGTTTGGATTAATAACCAAAAAGAAACCATTTTAATGGTACAGAACAATAAAGGGTACGTACCAGCAGCAGAAGGGGCGGCGGCGGTAGCAGTACTGCTGCTGTTTGCTCCTTTACCGATGATTTCATCCAGTCCGTCGAACTTCTTCGCCTCCGTCGAATTGGGCTTCAGGTGAAGCAGACCTGCAGTTGAGTAGGACAACGCAATGCGGTAATTAACCAAACGAATTACTGAAAAGGCGAATCGATTTCGAGGGGAAATCTTTACTTACTGACGCAATCGGAGACATTGACGGGAGATTTACAGGAACCTGGGAGGTTAGCGGCGAGGGAGATGTTGATTTTGACCCCCAAGTCTTCGTCGCGGTCTTTGATCAGCAAGCAGAGGCACTTCCTGCTCTTGTCCAGCACTTGCTTCAGTCCCGAGCAGCAGTCCAGGGTCGGAGCTTTGGATTCCCCGCCGACGTACGGCAGGCAGGGGGCCAGTCCGACCAGCTTGGGCGCGCACTCTGTTTTTTCTTGCTCCAGGTCCGACTCCGCCGTGCCGGCCAACAGCGCCGCCGCCGCGAACAGAAGCAACAGCCGTCGCAGCCGCGATGAATCCATGTTTGGTTTGGTTGAGGGAAAAGGGATCGGGTGTGGAAGAGAAGAGGGGAGACGGAGGGTTGATTTATACGAGTTGTGAATTGTGATGAGGCAAAGATGCAAACCAGAAAAGGAGGAGGTGGGGTGACGGGTGAGTAACAATTGACAAGTGAATTTTGGAGAGTGTAGTTAAAAAAAAAAAAAATCTAAGATTTATTAACTAGGTAATTGTCCAAGTTAATTTATGCCAACTGATAACTTGTTAATAAGGGGATTCTGAATATAATAATGATCAATATTTAAGATAATGTATCTTAACCTTATTTTCTTGATTTTAGTTTATTAAAATACAAGTTACATAAGTTTCTTATCTATGAAATTCTTGTCAATCCTTAATGTCTCTACGTTGACTGTTGTCCATGTATTTGTACTATTCAACTTTCATTGTTGATTGTAATACATATAACGCATATCTGCACCACTGCATCACATTACATATGCCTATTCCCTGGCCACAATGTACAAATACATCTATCACAAAACTAGAAATTACTACTTTTAGAGACAAAATAAACGAACTAAAAAAACCCAATATATACAACTCGAACATGACTCCTACATCTTGTAGGGATCGTGATCTATGATACCAACTCAAATCTTATCCATTACATTTTAAAGGTGAGTTTTTTTTTTATGGTTTTTGTTGATGCTATTGAGATGTGAGATAAGGTCATAAGGAGTAGGGGAAGAGCATGGATCTTGACTTCAATACCATCCATATTCCATGTAGTCTTGTGTTCAATTTGGGAATGGAGGAGGAAAGGAAATATGAGGGTTTTTGTTCATATGATTGAGATTTGAGATAAGGAATGGGGAAGATGGGAAGGGTGAAAAGAGGATGGGGACAATGGACTGACATATGTCGACGAGTTATTACACGAATTGAATGAAGGTGTCCCTCCTACTCAAGAAATGAACATGCTCTCATTTGCATTAGTCAAGGGGAACATTTACTTACACTCATTTTAATCGTGGGGAGACTTGTCATTGATTAGGATTTGATGTATTTGGTTGCAACAACAAAGTAGGGATGGACAGATGGTACTCATAAGTTATTGTGATAGGGATGGCAAGAGAGGTTTAAGCGGGTTTGTCTAAATCATTTTCATTTTGAAATATTTAAAATTTTATTCGTCACATATTTATGTGGGGAAAGATTTTGCAAACCTATTTTTATACCCATGATTTTTGGGTACCGTGGATTATACTCGCCCGACATCAAATATTATTCCACCAAAAAATTTATATGTAGATCTGCAAAATCCTCTTTTGCCATTATTGTATGAAATGATACTCATATTAGAGATGAAAACGAGTTTGGGTGAAACTGACTTTACTATATACAATCGACAAACTATAGTTTGAAAATCATAACAATCTTCATAACCAAAAGTAGGGGGAGATGTTGTATCACATGCCAAGAATATGTATGTATGTTGTTCGAGGAAAACTCACCATCTCATCTTCAAATAATCGAATCTATATTTTTTAATATAATGTAAATTATTTCTTGGAATGTCGATGATAATTGATATTTTAGGGATATTATTTGTAAATTATAATACCTGAGAGATATGAATGATCGAATTATTGAAGCAAGTGAGTTTAGAACATGGTTTTAGGCTTTTAGCATGTAATTGGATGGATTGGATATTGATAATATCATTATTATGTGAGCAACATTTGTTTCACATATAATTGATCAATCAAAGTTAGTAGCTGCCTAGTTGGAGGGAAGGATCATGTCAGTAACCCTATGGTCAGTAATAATGAGTAACCTGTCCACATCAGCATGACATCAGTATTATCTCTCTCCTGGAAAGTCTTTTATATATTCCCCTTTAATCTTTACGGACGATTTCTCACTCGTTTTAAGTCGAAACTTAATTTTTTTGCACAGATAAATCAGATTAAATGTGTTCTTTAAAATGATATCCACTTTGATATATTTTTAGTAGAAAAAAAATTGAATTATTTTTTACCAGTCATTACCATATGGTATGCTCCTATTTAATACCTTATGGTAAGAAAGCGTACGATGATGGTATGAACATACCAATATGGTAAGAAGGTTGAATACATGATAGTAGGAGTATACTAACTGTCATTTACGACTTTCATCATTGTTTACTACAAGTTACTACCCACACACCATAGTGGTAAAGTATGGTAATTTTTTATCCAGTATTTTTTTTTCACCCTGAAATTTATAGATCCAATAGATCATGATGAACTCGTTTCTTCTGAGCAAACGGTTTAAAAAACGAAGAAATTACCATATGGTATGTAGTTGATAAAAAAAAAGTTTCTCGAAATATATTGAAAATTGATCTCATTTTGTAGAGCACAACGCACTCGTTCCATTTATGCAAAAAAATAAATAAATTGAAATTCGAGTTAGAACGAAGAAGATAAGAGCCGATTAAAAAAACTAGAGAAAATAAAATGTCTTTAATTGACAATCTTTAAATCTGAATTTTCTGGACCCACTTAAATCTAAAAGTTTATATTTAGTTACTCATAGGTCAGGTTACTGACCCTATCCTAAGCCCTAGCTGGATCGTGCAGGTTGTTGATAAAACATGTAGGAATACTGGAATAGGATCACTGGATCAGCAGCAGACGGCTGGCACAAATGCAGACATCAAAGGCCCAAACCTCACACTGGACAAACTAAAGGAAAAATAAAGAGGCTCAAATTTCTTTTTTGGGCCCATAACATAAGGCCCACCCAATAATAGTTCCCGCCCCGAGCCAACTCAGAGACCCGCCAGCCGGCAAGCCTTTCATCTTCGCATAGACAGTCGCCAAGTGACGGAAAAACACAGAAGAGAATCAATCAGGTCCTCGTGCTTCAAAATCCGCTTCCGCCATGGCTGTCTGAAACTAAACCCTAACTTGCTCCATCCCCACCTGTCAGTGAATACTATCCCCCACCACCGGTGAGCGCAATTTCCTGCTTGTCGTTGTTAGCTATTCGGCTCCTGTAAAAATTGACCGCCTTCTACTGTGTTCTAGTGTTTTCGATATTTATACGCTCTTTTTGATACATTCAAATACCGTTTCAGTTGCTCTTCTTGTTGAGGAAGATGGGTACAAAAGTTGAGCCCACATCGAGTTTGGAACTTGGTAATGACAAACCATCTACGAGCTCGTCTGTTCCGTCAACAGGCGCGCCAAAGGTCTCCATTTTCGCGTCCAAGTCTGGCTTCGTAATCCCCAAAAACAAGCTCTCTGGTTCTCTGGTTCCAATCTTTCGAGGAGGTAAGAAGGTTGGTAGCAATGATGCAGCAGCAGCCGGTCAAGAAAGCGATGGTGATCTCCAGAGGAAGACGAAGTGGGGACCCGATTTAGCACAGGATGCTGCTGTGAAAAAGGGGAGGGTTTTAGCTTACCAGGTATGCGGAGGATTGATGCCACTGGCCATCTGGAACTGCGGTTACCAGTGACTGTGCTTCATTTCTGTTCCTAGGGGTTTTTGTTTGCTTCTCTTCGCCTTTTTTTCTTTGAGCATTTCAATCTTAAGCTAGATTTAGCCGTATCAAACTTGAATGGTCTGAGGAATTGGGGTTAAAAGGCCCTTGTCCCATTGCGTGCTGAAATGCCATGTAAGCTTCCCGTTCCAGGTGCCATTAAGTGATCTGCAAATTTTGGGCAGACTCGAGTGGATCAAATCGCACAACAGCTGTGTCAGGGGAATCTCGATCTAGGTGAATATGAGGACTCAGAAGCGTCTATTGGACGTGCAGATTTGAAGCCTTCCAAATCACTAGTTGAGACTAAGGTGCAGTTAGGCGAATCTAGTATATCTCAGTGGTCTTAATAGTAATTGTACTCTTTCATCGACTTAAATGTTCAATTTTTTTATGTAGGGAAGTTTGGAACTTGAGAAGCGCGAAGTCATAGGTATATAACTGCATCTCACTTCCGAGCAAGAGCATGAATTTCTGTTTGTTTTCTTTTAATGTTTGTTTTTCTTATTTTGGTAGGCGAAATACTCAAATTGAATCCAAGTTATAAGGCTCCACCTGATTACAAGCCTTTGCTTAAAGAAGCTGCAGTTGTTATCCCTGTATGTTGGATTTTCTTCTCTCGTTATATCTCCTAGTTATGAGTTCACTCAATAGACAAGGGAAATTAGTAGTTTCTGGCTGCTGCCTGTTGGTTGGACAGGGAGATTGCCCATTTAGTTCTCCTTGGTCTAATGGTGAATCATTTGCTAGGTTGTCGTGAGTAACATTGTTGATATGCATGCTATTTGTGGAATTTATTGTATATATGTAGATGACGTAAGAATCGATGGAGGAACGATTACTATTGATGTCCCTGTGAACATGACGTAGATAAGTTTGGGTTCCATGTTGTGCTAGTTGCTAGAAATCATAGGCATCATTTCGGAATTGACAAATGTCGAAGTAATCGTGATTTACCTCATGACTCGATAAATCATTGTCAAAAGCATAAGTGCTTGTTGTAGCATTTTGCACTTATATACACTTACCTCACGCCTCTAGCCATTGCTTGTAACAGGTGAAAGATCATCCTGAACACAATTTTGTTGATCTGATATGTGGCCCTGGAAATCAGACTCAGAAGCGATTGGAGAAGGTAAATCTTAGCTTATTCTACCCTTTTAATATGGGAGATCAGCTTAAATTGGGGTCTATGGATAGGAAGGTTTCTCTCTGTTGGTTGTTGCGGTTGAGACGTGTTTGAGTTGTGGCTTGTTGATGTGCATCTTTCTGATCAGGAAACTGGGGTAAAACTGCAATTATATGGGATTGAATCTGGCAGCACGGAGAAGGTAACATTTGTGTTTTTAAGCTGCATTTTGCTGGAATGCATCCCCTAACCATGACTTATTATTGGAAGCTGCTTGCTAATTGTGTATATACATGTCCACAATCCTTGTGTTTTAGTCAACTCTTGGTCTCTCTCTTGTTTCTGTAGGTTGAAGTTTCAACTGCAGGTGCAAATCAAACCCATACTACTTACGACGAGTTGACCGTGCTGGTATCTGCTGACACATTCGAGAAAGTGGATTCAGCAGTCTCTGTTATCGAATTACTAGTCTCCTCAGTACCGGTAAGTTCACCCAAACACTTTTACCTCCCATCTTGATTTCCATAATAAATGACTGATACATGTTGGAGTGGAAATATACTTGATATGCAGGGAAATCAAGTGGCGGTTGATAACACAGCAGATAATCAGACTCCGACTCCTGCTTCCTCCGACGTTGCGAAACAGGAAGCTGCACAGGTGGCAGTAGGGGAAGCTCTCCAAGGTGGTGAATTTCGACATCAGCAAGAACCGTGGATGCCACAAGCCATTTCTCTTGCTCCTATATATCCATCACCAATGCTTAACAATCCTCGAGATCCCAACTTGCCTCCTCTCTTCAATACATCCCCACTGCAGTCACATTTAGGAGGGCAACCTCCATCATTTCCACCATCTATGTTTAATTCAGTCCCTCCTCAACCTCTTCCAACTGGGCATCATCCTCGGTCGAACCCTTACCCACCCCGAAATTTTCCAACACCAGCCTCCCAACCTTTTCCAGCAATGGCCCCTTCTCAGGGACAAATGATGATACCCCGTCCAAATTTTGCATCTCCTCTAACATCTCCCAATATATCTGGAACGGATTTAGCTTTTACAGGAAACAACATTCAATCCAGGCAGCAGCCGCCAGTTCATCAGTTTCCCGGTGTTCGAATGAGTAGTCATTCTTCTGCCACACAAAATGACTTTCAACCACCTCAACTGCCCAGGCCAAATGTCAGTCTTGCACATTTTCCTGGACCTCCGCCTGCTCCACCTAGAGGAAATGCACATCCAGCAGTCGGTCCTTTTCCTGGTACAACAACAAATTTTTATCCACCCATGGGCAGGCATCCGTCTGTAGCATCAACAACTCCACAACAGCAGCATTCTGTTCATGGTGACTTCCATTTTCAAATGCATCATCAACTAAATACACATCCTCAAGCGAATAGGCCAATGATGCAGCCAAATTTGGCTCTTCATCCTGGGGCTCACATGTTCCAGAGGCCACCTCAGATGGGAGGACAGATGGGACTGGATCGGCCTGATGTTGCCGCCTTTGCTGGATCTTCTTCATTTCAACCTCGGCTTCCACAGATGATGTCGAGGGACTTGGGGCCAATGAGGTCAGCAAATCAAATGCAACTTCACCAGCAAGCTTATCGGCCAGTTCAAATGACTATGCCTCGAGAGGTTATGGGTCCGAATCATCAACTGCTTGGTTCAAGAAATCTGCCTTTCGGGTCATCTAGGCCGGTCGCTGGGCAGCAAGTTTATGACCCATTCTCCCCCTCTGCTGCTTCTCAGCAGCCAGGAATGGGAAGAAGAGCAGATAACAATGATCCCGAATATGAAGATTTGATGGCTTCCGTGGGTTTGAAGTAAAGCTTTAACAAGTGTTCTGACGCTGTTGAACTCTTACTGTGAAGGAATAGTCATTTGTAATGTTTTTGCCTTGAAACCTTCACCTTTGGCATTAGCTGCTGATTCTGAACTTCGAATCGCAGAGTTGTTGCATCCCGACTCCATGAATTGATCGTTTAACCAAGAGTTTTATGGTTCGTCTTAACGTATAATTTTCGCATATTGAAAGCACCTATAGATATTTGACGTTGGAAGGAGACTACTACTCTACTAGAATGTATTTGTTAGGTCGAATATCAATCATTTGTGCGCAGAACTCTGCCTATTTGTAACTTGTAAGTAGCTAGAGTTATTTAGCATTCAACAAGAAATTGGAAACTGGCACAAGTATTCACATCAATCTATTAAGTTCCCTGGACTGCTTAAGCTCAACTAACAAGATCCACCTCAGCTCCTGTGGAGTACAGTCAAGTCATCAGTAGAAAAGATCAGCATGGCAAAGTAAATGTTGTTTTCATGTACACAGGGAGAAAGTTTGGCTACATTCAGAAAACTTTGAGGCGTTTTCAGATAGAAGGCCCCGATCTAAGCACCCTTTCGAGCTTCTCAGCCTTCAGATAGTCCTTCTCAGTCAAAGACCCAGCGGGGAAAGGAGTGATCTCTACAATCAGGTGAGGGGTTGGCAGTTCGTCGAAGAGAGCCCTTACGTTGTTACAGCACACACTCTCACCATGTGCACTCTCCCTCCTAATCTGGCATCCCTGTAAGTTTAGAGAAGAAATTGTGACTCTCAAGCAGATTAGACAGGAGAATCTAGGGGTTGTCGTCATCTTACCTTGTGGGAAGTGGCGTCTGTGAAGTGATCATCCTCGGATAATAAAGCTGCAACAGATTTTAGGAGACGCCTTCCTTCAGATTTTGAAGGCACCCTGTAGTTCCTCCTGAGTGTGCCTTTGGTGGTTGGATGCCATTTGCTCACTAGCTTCCTTTTGTCAGATGCTTCTTTATCTGCTCAAGAACACCAAACCATTTGTCCACCATATAAATACGCTGACGCTCATCATTTTCAAGACAACAACGACAAAATCAAAATTTGATGAATTCCTAAATGAGAAGGTACATTAATCTGGAGTTTATCTTCTTGTTCCCAACACATAACTTGCCTAACTGATTATTGAACATCTCACAGATCATAGAACAATGGTTTGACATGTGCTACAAACTAATAGACATTCTCCAAACAAGCTTACATGCGAACAATGTGAAGTGCTGCTGCAGAATAAAGTATTTTCAAAATGGGAAAACATGCTCGATAAGGCATGAGCTGTCTTTTTTATGCATTGATTAGACGATTACCATTGAACAGAATGAAATTCCTATCTGAGAATAATAAACCACAAAGCTGCAGTATACTTGGATAAAATTATGCATAACATTTCATTCTCAGACTCATAATTCCAGAAAAAGCATCACTTCCTTAGAAGACAGTCAGTTAACACATTCCTTTTAGCTACTGAAGTACTACTCTACTCATAATGTGAGTCAAGGGTTGCAACTAAGTTCCAGTCATTAACCATCCAGTTGTACAAGAAAAGTAAGCATAATCATGAAAGCCATTGAAATACGTCAAGCACATTACTGCAAATGGGAGCGCTGCACCAAAAAGGCAAGTTCTTCCCTTTGCTACCAGTCATTTGGTTCAATATTTGGCCTCAAAACCCAAATGTTCTGTGCAGTAGATTGACATCAACAGCTGACTAAACGAATTGACACTCCTAGTGTCTACAATTACTCTAAGGGAACACTACAAAGAATCGCCAAATGTGTAACCTTTTGCTTCGATAACTCCAGATTCGCACCTTCCATTTTCCAACAATATGAAGGGAATGAAAACCCCAACTAACCTGGGTTGCCTTGAATTGACTCAATCCACTTTGAGAACCCCAAATCACCAGCTCCAGCAATACCAGCTCCGGTCCCGCCGCCGCCGCTCTCCTCCACACCATCTAACTCTAGACAAATTAAATTGAAACTCATTGATCTATGTCCCAATCTCAAACTAAGACAACCTAAAGCAACAAAAGGGAAAATAATATAAACCCTCGATTGTATTTGTACCCGAGACAAGTGGGTTAGCCTTGGATCCAGCTAAACCGATCTTCAAGAGCGCATAGAATACGCAAACCCTGCCAGCCCACAGAACAGGGGACTCGAGCAGAGACGCTTGGATAAAAGCATTGGCTGCTGTGAAGCTCCGGGCTCTTGTGGATGATGATCGGCTGCTGACATGGAGCAATTTCTTCAGGGCATGGTCGGGATCGAAACCGGGAAACAGCGATTTCTGAAGCAGGGGAGACGAAGAAGAAGTGGGATTCGCGAGTGTTTGGAAGATGGAAGCGTGGGTTTTGCATTGGAAAGTCGATGACGATGATGATGAAGAGCAGAGGGATTGGACGAGTGAGAGGAGCATTGCTTTGACGATAGATGGATCGAATCGAGAGTGAAATGAAATGAGCTCTGACAGAGTGTGGCAGATAGTGCGATGACTGATGAATGGATAATGATCTTTCGGGCTCGCTCCAGCGCCTCAACGGCGTCGTTTCCTGTGGCATTATTTGTCAATTTGTTCTGTCGAAAAATTTGACATCTAATTGCTAGTTAACGCAATTTGTTTTGTCGAAGAATTTATGCTTGGGATTTTGCTCCAAATCGTTGTATTGAGCATTCTTATCTCAATTAACCTTATGTTTTACTCGAATAATTAAATAACTTAGAGCGAAAGCCATTTACAATCTTATCATTCAGTTTGTTAATATACACCTACCACTAGTGATGGCAATTTCAACCCGCCCCGCTGGTATTACCCGACCTGACCCGCGATGGGGCGGGTATTACCCGACCCGCAGTAGTGTGGGGCGGGGCATGGATATCTACTTTCGACCCGCCCTGCCCCGCCCCGCCCCGTTCTAGACTCATTTTATCTCAATTTCTTACAATATCTATACATATTTCTCCTATTTTGACTTTTCTTCAACTAGTTAGAGTCGATCTTTCAACTTGTTAGGCTCAATTATCCATTCTATTATCAATATTTTTCATTTTTAAAGTGTTTTTCCCTACCTTTTATTGTAAAAAGTAAAATTTACTTGTATTTTTTTTTGAACAACATGTAAGAGTGGGTCGACCCGCCCTGCCCCGTACCCGCGCGGGTTTTACCCGCCCCGACCCGTAGTAGCATGGGGCGGGGCATGGGAATTGAGGTACCCGCCCCGCCCCATTGCCATCACTACCTACCACGGGACCATTTCAGACTTCATTTAGTTTGTGGAATTTAATTACATATATATGTAGTGGCGTAGCCAGATTTTGAATTAATTGTGGTCTTTAAAATTTTTAAAACGCAGATGAGCTAATATCAACAAAAGTATGAGGTCCTTAATACAAAGTATCAACAAAAGTATGAGGTCCTAAATAGAAAGTTTCTCAAGATTGAAATTGAAGGCTGGTGTCAAATTCCAAGTTGGAGATGATTAATACGCAAGTACGGCCATATTTTTTTAGTCCAAGGCAAGATGACGACTACCAAAGCGGATAGAAAGGAATTAGAAGCTTCCTCCATTTTCACGGTTTCCCATCCTAAAATAAAAATTAAATTTAACACCCAATTTCTTTTCCTATAGGTTCATTGTTCCAAATAAGCAAAACATTATTGAATACTTAATTGATTAAAAACTTGTCTAGCTGACCACCCTCTCCACTCCCAACAACCAATCAAAGATGTACACACACCACCACTACCTAACTAAAATACCCTCTTTTCTTTTAACTTTTCTTAATCCAATTTCATAATTAACTAATTTATTAATTGCCTTTTCTTAATAATCACCTTTCAACATTGTCACGAACCTTCCCCCAACTACTGATCTTCCCCATTTGAATGAAGCTCTTCATCGGACCATTCTTCTGCGATTCAACATCTTCACTATCTTCCATCAACTGATCCCCTCTCATCGTCATCAATGAAGTGTACTCAATTCCTCGGCCGTAAAGCCTGTGCAACACCAAGTAGAACCCCACAACGAAAGCCGCAACAGCAATCAGGAGCCAGCTGAACTGAATATTCACAAGAGATTTCGCCCTGTGGAGGGCCTCCTCGCCGCTGCATCTCACCACCTTGTGCCCTTCCTCCTCGTTGATGAAGCAACCCTTCGCCACGAGGGAAGGCGTCCACAGCGCATAGCCCATCACAACCATCCAAACACCCTATACATTACATGATTCCAAGAATGAGCGTATTATCGCGTCGTAAACCAACTGGTTCCAATAACAACGATGAATTCGTACATACCTGGAAGAAAACGCTGGTGGACCTGACAAAGCTGACCATGAAGCTCCTAGGTAGGCCGATCCCCATGAGTGTCGTCACCAAGGAGACGGCTATGGCGGACTGGAGAAGCAAATGGTACTGCCCTTCCACGCCCACGTGGTCGGAGGAATGGAGGCGGAACATGAGGAGCTGCTGCCCGAACGCCACCGCGCCAAGCAACTGGGTCAGGCCGAACTGGGCCTTGGGCCGAGCCCAGTCGAGGACGATGGAAAGGGCCGCGTAGGTGAAGAAGGCCGCGGAGATGGAAGCGTGCTCGAAGTTGTGGAGGTGGTTGGAAGGGATGGTGCCGTCCGGGTCCAAAGGTTGGTGCCTCTCGGGCCCGATGAAGAGCTCCATGGCGACGGAGATGGAGGTCGCGGCCATGATGAGGTAGAGCTCTACGTGCTTGAGCTTCGAGGTTGGGAACCATGGGTGGGCGAAGTAGGAAGTTGGGTTTTGAGAATGGAGCTTGGTGTGGTTGAAAAGATGCCACACACCGAGAAGGCAGAATGCTAGCCCTGGTGCTACGTGACCCACCAAAGTTCCCATGTACTCCTCTTTTTTTTCTTTTTTCTTCCTTTTGTCAATGTAGAGAGATAGAGAGAGAGAGAGAGGGAGAGAGAGAATGGGTTTGGTGTACAAGGAGGAGTGTTGTGGGGATATAATAAGAGAAGGGAAAAAGCTAATAGTCTTAATGTGTCTGGAGGGTTCTAATTCTATGGTAGATAGGTAGAAGGGTAGCTTTGAAACGATTCTTGTTTTTTTCTCTTGTGATATAAATTTCTAGTTGGTTTACTTTACGTAGCTTGTGAAATGGGAAAAATGGAGTGTCCAATTCCAACCCGATGGTTGACCCAAAGATGGAAGCTATGGAGCTGAATAAACAAAGAGATGGAAATGTAAGGCACGGCAATGGCATGCAGTCTTTGCTCACTCTTTCTAGAAATATACATGGGTTTCAAATAACGGCTGCTTCTCACAAACTCAACTAAAAGCTATATTCTTCAGGCTACCAACTTGTACCCTTTTTCCTCTTCCATATATTTTGATTAGTGAGATCAGCAGCTGATAATGACCTGATTGATTGCATGCATGTACGTATTTCATATTAATAAGATTCTCGGAGCACGGAGTAGGCATATATATATATATGTATAAGATTTGAATACTAGAAGTTTACGTTAGGAACGGATCATGTCAGTAACCTTACGGTGAGTAACCATGAGTAACCAGCTCACATCAGTATGATATCAGCATCTCTCTCCTGGAAAGACTTTAATTTACCCTTCTTAATTTTTGACGGACGATTTCTCACTCGATTAAGTCGAAATTTAAATTTTTTGCACAGTTAGATCAGATTAATTGTGCTCTTCAAAATGATATCCACTTTGATATATTTTTCGAACAAAAAAAATTGAACCATTTTTTACCAGTCTATACCATATGATATTGATTGGTATTGAAATAAGAGCATACCTATGGTTTGAAAAGCGTACCATGGTGGTATGAACAAACCAAGACTGTAGGATGGTTGAATACATGATAGTAGAAGTATATTAACTGTCATTTACGACTTTTATCATTGTGTACCACAAGATACCACCTCGTACCAGGGTGGTATTGTATGGTATTGTGTGGTATTTTTTGGTCATGTAATTTGTTCACCCAGAAATTTGTAGATCCAATAGATCATGATGAACTCGTCTCTTCTGTGCAAACGTTTCAAAAAACGAATTAAAAATGAAGAAAATACCATATGGTATGCAGTTGGTACCGAGAGGCCAGAATTTTTTTTTCTCAAAAAATATTGAAAATTGATCTTATTTTGTAGAGCACGATGAACTCGTTCCATCTGTGGAAAAAAATTAAAATCTGAGTTAAAACGAAAAAGATATTAGCCGATTAAGAAAGTTTGGAAAATAAAAATGGTCTTTAATTCTCCATCCTTAGATCTGGATTTTCTAAATGAAGGGTCCAAATTTGGTTATTGATGGGTGTATAACCCATGGTTATGCATTCTATCTTGAGCGGTTTACGTTAATACGAAAGCTTTTCATACACAAATGAAAAAGACTTTGTGGGATCGAAACGGATATAATTAGCTAGCTACCAACCTAAGTGTATCGACAATAAATATACTTTATAATTTTTTCACAGTATAATAACACGTGGTGATGTTTATGAAAATGAAATTTACACGATTGTTTTGTTATTTTTGAATTAGCCACTGTCTTCTGCTGCTTGAATTAGCACTCTGGGGACTGGGTTGGTATGAATCAGCGGGCTACCACCTGCTTTAGTGATTTGTTTTGTTGGGAAAGATATATATGGAGCTGCTTAATTAATTCTTCGTTACACATTATGGGAAAACTTGTCAGGTTAGGGAAAACGATTGGAAGCTTTCTTCTGTCACAAGTAACATTGGGTTTGTTTTATATACCCACATTGTTTAACAAAAGTAATGATCACATTATCATCCATTTCTCCTTCTACGTACACATTAGTAATCGCCTTAAGTTTCATATAATTTTAGAGTTCATCATTTGAGATGATTTATTGATGTCATTTACATACATGGAGTCCAAAAATCTCTTATTTTATGTCTCTATCAAATTTGTTTCATAAGCGGGGTAATATATATTTTTTATCCAAATATTTTTCAGATTCTTTTATATTATACAAATCTATTAAAATACTATTAATTAGATAAATCTTTCATAATGCATCAAAATACTAGCTATTTTTACGTTATCGTGAATAATTTTGTAACCCTTTTCTTAGTTAAATACTAAAATTTTGGAATGTTGACCTTCATGTGTATCTTCCAAGTCAGTATCATGTTGCCAAGTCAATATTACGAACAAATAAAATTGCTAACCGAAAGTTAACATTTGGCTAATTCTTACTATTTCGATAGATTTGGCTAATAAAAAATTCCAAAAAGGTTTGAATAATTAGAAATTACTCTTTCATAAAAGAATAAACAAAATTTTCTACCAAAAAGAAAGAATAAACGAATTATGATCATCAATTCGTGGCCTATAAGATTCAACAATTTGCCAACGTTCTTAGGAGAATTGTAATTTGTCTATAGTAGCTAGAGTGCCTGCACTTAAGTTAAAAGCTCCACTGTAGTACTAACATCACATATAATTAAACCCCCTCAATTATTAACAAAACCTTAATTAGTGTTTCTTTCTCACCCATATCTCCTAACATCCTTTACGTACGAAAGTTGAAAATGGAAGATAACATATGTTTAGTGGTTGCCTCTCCAAAGTGACGAAGTTTCCAAATCATATACCTTCAACAGCAAGTCATCACTCATGCAAACGGATAAAGATATATCCTCACAAAATTAGCTTCACAATCACTCCTCCAAACTATATAGCTTCAACCAATGATCACTAGGCATGCAACTCCTCAAACCCTAATACTCGTTTTCTCTCAAGCAAACACAAGTACTAAATACTAATCGACAATTATGGGTAGCTTCATAGGGCATGTCTTGCCAGGCATTGCCTTCTATGTATTTGGCTTGTGGCATCTCTTCAACAACACAAAACTCCACTTCCAAAACAAAGCCTCCTTCACAACATCTGCATGGTTCCCCACATCAAGGCTCAGGTACTTGGAGCTCATCTTGATAGTCATTGGGAGCTCCATCTCTGTCTCCATGGAGCTCTTTATCGGCCCCAGAAAGCACCAACCATTTGATGCAGACGGGACCATCCCTTCGAACCATCTACGCAACTTTGAACACTCCTCTATCTCAATGTACTTTGCAACCTATGGCATTCTCGCCATTCTCCTCGACAAGTCAGTGCAAGGTTCAACCCTTTGGGACAACAATATTGCAAATCGAAAGGATTCCCACCTGCGTGATCATGTTCAAGGCCTCACTCTCCTAGCTGCATCTATGTGCTTCGGTCTCGAGCTCTTCAGCTTCCACTTCCACTCCACCGATCACATGGGGGTCGAAGGTCAATACCACTTGCTTCTTCAGATTGTGGTGGTGGTCTCTTTTGCAACAACCCTAATCAGTGTTGGCCTCCCTGGGAGTTTCCTTGTGAGCTACGTAAGGTCTGTAAGCATTATGTGCCAAGGCGGGTGGTTCATAGTCATGGGGTACATGCTTTGGACTCCTGAATTGGTGCCTAAAGGGTGCATGATTCACCGAGAAGACGGGCACGAAATTGTTAGGTGCTCGGGGGAGGAGTCGTTGGAAAGAGCCAAATCGTTGGTGAACATCTTCTTTAGCTGGTTCCTCATCGGGTTCACCACTGGCGCCATCTTGTTTTATGTCTGCATGGTTAACTGTTATTCGCCTAAGTATTATAACAATGAGATCACTATTGGTGCCAGTGCTGCCTATTGTTGCTTGCCAACCAAGCAAGAAGGTTGTGATGAGTTTGAAGGAGAGCCGTTGGAGCACCACATTGAATTGCAAAAGAAAACTAGATTTGTGGGGAAATAGTAGCTGTGTAGTAGAGTTTGTGAATCATGGTCCTAAGATTTGGAAGTAAAGATATCATATACTGGTAAAGTATTGCTTTTGTTGTACAAGGAGTAGTATTGTGGGATATAAGAGAAGGGAATAAGGTTATAGGTAACGGTTTAAATTTGGGAAGTCCAAGTGTTTGGACTTTGGAGGGTTCTAATTCTATGGTAGATAGGTAGAAGGGTTGCTTTGAAACGATTCTTGTTTTCTCTTGTCTTATAAATTTCTAGTTGGTTTACGTAGCTTGTGAAGGTGGGAATGGAGTGTCCAATTCCAAGCCAATGGTTGACCCAAAGATGGAAGCCATATATGCCGAATAAACTAGAGATGGAAATTTAAGGCACGGCAATGGCATATATATATATAGTAGTCTTTCATGCTTTCTAGAAATATAATGGCCGGTTTTCAAATGGCTACTTGTCACACACTCAACTAAAAGCTATAACTTCTTGAGGCTATCATCTTTGATTAGTGATCAGCTGATAATGACCTAATTGCTTGCATGTGTTGAAGTTAATTAGATTTTTGGCAGACGAAGTAGATATATACGAGATTCAAATATTAGAAGTTTACGTTAATTTGAAGAAGAAAAAAATCGATAATAGACAATAAAAAAAACTGTGTGAGATTGAAATGAATTTACCTTAAAGTATAGAAATGAATATGTAGTACGATTCTTTCATAATGTAAAAACACGTGGTAGTGAAATCAAACTTATAGTATATGATTTTCGATAAATAATTATTATATGGGTATTTTTGGATTACATGTTTTGGAATTTATAATATTTATCTCTATTGCTTATGGCCCTGTGCCACTGTCTTCTTCTGCTTGATTAATTATCACTCTGGGGAATGGGGTTGGTATGAATCTGTTGGCTACCTCCTGCTTTAGTAATTTGGTTTTGTTGGGAAAGATATCTATATCTGATTAATTAATTCTTAATGACATGATGATTTTGTTTTGGGAATTTGGAGTGAAGATTAGGGAAAACGATGGGAAGCTTTTCTTCTGTCACAAGTAATTAATATTGGGTTTGTTTTCCCCCGCACTGTTTAACAAAAGTAATGGTCACATTATTAGCCATCGATCAGGGTCCTATGGTCCTTTTCTCTTCCATACACATTAGTAATCGCCTTTTAAGTTTCATGGAATTTGGGAGACATTTGAGATTATTTATTGATGTCGTTTACATACATGGGATGACGACAAAAAATAAACTACGTATGTTTAGGTTGATCAAGGAAGTTAAATTCAACTTAGAACAACACTTGAGGATGAGTTTTAGTTTAGTGTTTTTGGGTATAGATCGAGGAGATCTGACAGGTTAAGAGAATATAGAGAGTCCCATTTTTGTGAGGGAAGAAAGAGAGAGGAAGTCCCCCCTCGTAGAGATTTTTTTTAGGCTAGAGCTTGATTTAGCTCTAGCTTGAGTTTTTCGCTATTGATTTAGCTCTCTTTAATTTGGACCTGTCTTGGGCTCAAACGTAACTGAGTTTCTGAGATTATGGCATAAAGATCTTTTGTTTATGTCTTTAACAACGTCTTTTGATAAAAAAGAGTAAAATATTATGATAAGCAATTCGAAAATGTGCCAACGTTTAGGAGATTTGTAATTTATTGGGTTATAGGTATAATATCCCTTCTACTATGTCATTTTATCAAACATGCCCATTAACTATTTTTTTAATCAATTATGCCCTTGTATTTTGGGAAAATGATCAAACATGCCATTTTGTCAAAATTTAGATCCAAAAACCGTTAACCACGGTCGAACTTTGGTTTGTATGACATAAATCTCTAAAATATCCCTACTAATTTCATTATAGAATTTTTTTGGCTCTTTTGTATAGCCAAATAATTCTAATAATTTTACTTTGACGGGACCTAGATAAATAAAACAGGGGACAAAACTGACATTTTCCCTCCCGTTTGCCGATGTTGGGTCGTCTAAATCTCGGTTCAACCATGATTGACAATTTTTTCAATAGAAATTTTAATAGAAGGGCATGTTTGATAATTTTTCCAAAACACAGGGGCATGTTAGATGTAAAAAATAGTAAAGGAGCATGTCTGATAAAACGACATAGTATAGGGACATATTATACCTATAACCCTAATTTATTCACAATAGTAGGAGTACCTACACTTAAGTTAAAAGCCATACTCTAGTACTACTATTACAATTACATATAATTAATCCCCTCAATTAACAAGAGCTTAATTAGTGTTTCATTCTCAACCATATCTCATAACATCCTTTAGGTATGCAAGTTGGAAACGGAAAATAATACATTTTTATTGGTTGCCTCTCCAAAGTGACGAAGTTTACTAATAATAACTCAAAACAACAAGTCACTAGTGCAAAGGATAAAGATATATCCTCACAAAAGCTTCATAATCACTCCTCCTCCAAACTATATATATAGCTAATTAAGTCGCCATTCAATGGTCACTAGGCAAATTCCTCAAACCCTAATACTCGTTTCCTCTCAAGCAATCACAATTATTAATCGACCATTATGGGTACCTTCATAGGCCATGTCTTGTCAGGCATTGGCTTCTATTTACTTGGCTTATGGCATCTCTTCAACAACACAAAACTCCACTTCCAAAACAAAACCTCCTTCACAACAACTACTGCATGGTTCCCCACATCAAGGCTCAGGTACTTGGAGCTCATCTTGATAATCATCGGGAGCTCCATCACAGTCTCCATGGAGCTCTTCATCGGCCCCAGAAAGCACCAACCATTTGATGCAGACGGGACCATCCCTTCGAACCATCTACACAACTTTGAACACTCCTCAATCTCCATGTGCTTTGCAATCTATGGAATCCTCGCCATCCTCCTCGACAAGTCGGTGCAAGGTTCAAGTGTTGGGGACAACAACAATATTGCCCATCGAAAGAATTCCCACCTACATGATCATGTTCGCGGACTCACTCTCTTGGTTGCATCTATGTGCTTCGGTCTCGAGCTCTTCAACTTCCACTTCCACTCCACTGATCACATGGCAGTCGAAGGCCAATACCACTTGCTCATTCAGATTGTGGTGGTGGTCTCTTTTGCCACAACCCTAATCAGTGTTGGCCACCCCGGGAGTTTCCTTGTGAGCTACGTAAGGTCTGTAAGCATTATGTGCCAAGGCGGGTGGTTCATAGTCATGGGGTACATGCTTTGGACTCCAGAACTAGTGCCTAAAGGGTGCATGATTCACCGAGAAGATGGGCACGAAATCCTTAGGTGCTCGGGTGAGGAGTCGTTGGAAAGAGCCAAATCGCTTGTGAACATCTTGTTTAGCTGGTTCCTCATCGGGTTCACCATTGGTGCAATCTTGTTTTATGTTGGCATGGTTAGATTTTATTCGAGTAAGTACTATAACAGCGAGATCGATGCTGGTGCCAGTGCTACCTATTGTTGCTTGCCAACCAAGCAAGAAGGTTGCGATGAGTTTGAAGGAGAGTCCTTGGAGCACCACATTGAAATGCAAAAGAAAACCAGATTTGTGGGTAAATAGTAGCTCTGTAGTAGATTTGGGAATCATGGTCCTTCCAAGTAAGGATATCATATATGTGTAAAGTATTTCTTTTGATGTAATTAATATTGTACGTGATTTAATGTCTCTCTTATATTGTGATAATTGTGTATGAGCTTTCAGTTTGGGGTTTAGTATTTTACGTGATGGAATGTTTCAACATTATATATCGTGAGAATATTTGTCGTGCAATACGGTGGAAGATTGTAAAAAAAAAAAAACTTTATTGTATCACTAATTAAAAAACTTAATTCAAGGACTTAGACAGGAATAACTTCAAAGTTCACGTGCCAATTTAAGAATATGAGGTCAATTACCCAACTAGCCACTAAATTATGAGATTCGTAACCTTGTAATCGTTTAACTTTAAAATGTTACCGGACCGGTATCTAGTCTACAGAATTTGCAATAAAACAATTTCACTCCGACATCAACCAGACCAAAACCCGGCGCCGATGAAGCTACCAAAGCTGATTTCTCCGTTCCGACTAGCTTCTCTGCTGCGGATCCAGAAGGATCCGAAGCTTGCCCTAGACCTCTTCCGCAACCCGAATTTTGATGGACCCACTTCTCCAGCCTCCAAGCAACTTCGCTACTCTCCACTCTGCTATGATCTCATCATCACCAAGCTCGGGGCCGCCAAAATGTTCTCGGAGCTGGAAGAAATCCTCCGCCAGCTAAAAGCCCAGACCCGTTTCGTCCCCAAAGAGGTGATCTTCTGCAACGTGATCCAGTTCTACGGCCGCGCCCGCCGCCTAGAAGATGCCATCAAGGTGTTCGAGGAAATTCCTGCTTTCCGGTGTCAACGGACCGTCCGGTCATTCAACTCCTTGCTGAACGCGTTTCTGATGTGCAAAGAAGCTGATAGAATGGTGGAATTCTTTGCAGGTGTCGAAAAATATGCGCGTGGACCCGATGCTGTTACCTACAATATACTCATCCGCGGGTGTTTCTACAAGGGGATGGTAGATACTGCCTTGAAGCTGTTCGACGAAATGCTGAGCACAAACATTCGCCCCACTATCGTGACGTTTGTGACTCTGATTAAAGGGCTCTGTTCGGCTAATAGGTTGGAAGAGGCTCTGAAGCTGAAGAACGATATGGTCAACTTGTACAGAATCACTCCCAATGCTTACATCTATTCCTCCTTGATGAAATCCTTCTGTGTGAATGGTGAGCTGAATTCAGCTTTCAAGCTCAAAGACGAGATGATCATGAAAGGGATTGCACTGGATTCCTCAGTCTACTCAACCCTCATCAATGCCCTCTTTCAGGGAGGTAAAAAGGAAGAAGCTTTGCAACTTTGGGGTGAGATGAACCAGAGCAGCAGCGAGTGTAAACCCGACACGGTGACTTACAACGTGATGATCAGTGGGTTCTGCAGGAACCAGGATTTCAGCGCAGCTTACCAGATGTTTGATGAAATGTCGAAGAGCGGGCGTAAACCAGACGTGGTGAGCTACAACGTCGTTCTTGATACATTGTGCAAGGATGGGAGATGGCAATGTGCGTATGAGTTGTTCGAGAGCATGCCAGGGAGAGGCTGTCTCCCAGATGTGTTGTCATACAGAATTGTTTTCAGAGGACTCTGGGATGGGATGCAGTTTGAGGATGCAGCTTTTGTACTGGACGAGATGATCTTCAAGGGCTTTGCTCCTCATCGTGGCAGCGTGTGTGCTTTTGTTGGTAAGTTATGTGAGCAAAGGAATATGGAAATGGCGTGGTCGGTCTTGGACACACTTGCTAAGGGAAATGCGATCGATGTAGATACATGGGAGACGGCTGTTGCAGCTGTTGGATTTGAGGAGGATACGTTGAGTAGGATCCATCTTCATGTTGATAGTTTGGGGAGATGTAGTTGAGGATTCTCCAGGGAAATCTCACAACTTGACTATGTTTAGGAGCCTTAGGCCGAAGTGACCTAAAACTTTAGCTATCATAGCCACCAGCTCAATCATGATAAGGGTGTTATTCCAAGCGTACAGTATGGCTGCTACTCCTAGCAAGTAGTGTTTCTGCAATGGCGACAATGGATCAAGCAAATAGATTGAATCGAATCGTGAGCATTGGAGTTCACCAAGATGAACTGATTCAAACATATGATGATTAATGACGTCATAGATCTAACCCCAAATGTATAAGTCACATTGACTTCAAAGTTTGAATGTAATGAGCTCATTGTTGTCATCCACTTAATATTGCTTTTATAGTGGTCAAGAATTCAAGAAGGTTTTGCATTAGCTGCCTACACTTTCTTGAAGAAAGATAGAATGTTCCCTTGCTTTGGATCCCTTTTAGCTCCAGCTTTGCTCCCTCCTGCTTTGACATTTCCCATGGCTAGGGTCGACTTCTTAGATGCAAGTTCCCTGATTCAGAAATTGGCTTTAGATGATAAGAAACTATGAACAACAGCTTAAACAAAATTAACTACTGCATTGATCGACAAAACGTAACAAATGTACACAGAACACTTTGGAGAAACAGTAAATGCTTTTTACCTGCTAGAGGGCTTTGTAGTTACATCAGCAGAAACCTTTTCTGTACTCTTGCTCTCCGAAATTTTCTTCTCGGTCTCATCCCGCTCAGAAACTACTTCTGTCACTGAATCATACAACAATTCACAAGCACAGACTGGAAAGGAACTCTGAAAACATTTCCAAGTATGACTGTAAGTTTACCTTCTCTGCCACGCTCATCTATCCATGTCTTCAAAACTTTGTTCCTTTTCGAAGCACTAGGAGCAGCTTTAGAAGCTGCTGCATTATCTTTAATATTAGTCTGTGCACATGAACTCTTAGAGTCACTGGACTTGCCGAGAGCCAAAGAACCTACTCCATTCAAAAGCTGGTTACATGCTGTAAAATCGGGTTTTTTGCCTTCATCTTGCACCACTCTATCTTCTACCTGGTCAGTAATATCAGCATTATCCACAGGCAATGTTTTACCGGGTGAACTCAGATCAACTGCATCTTCGCACTCGTCATCAGAGTCATCAAAGACTACCCTCCTTTTTCTGCCATTGGAGCCTCGCTTGACATTGTCGTCCTCATCCTCATTATCATTCATCACATCATCTAGTGCTTCAATGGCATTACTTTTAGCTTCTGTGAAGCAAATAAACAACGGAAAAATAAATTAGAAATAGGGAAAAGGAATACTGGAAGTTGATTTGCAACATAATGGAGTCGAGTAATTACTGATTGCTGGGGTAATAGTTGGCTTCGACTTCACAGTTGCATGGCCCCATAACTTGGATAAGGAACCACCGTTTTTTGATGAGTTGTTGCCACCTAGTCCCTTACTTGGCAAGGAAGGAGCTTTATCTACAACTGCAGAAGACTTGGTATTCTGATCATGACCTTTGATTCCACTCTTGTCAGTTTTGACTTCTTTGACCAAGTTGGAAGACTGGCGACCAGCCATTAGTGGCAACTGCTGTACTTTGTTTTGATCAGATGGAGGGCCCATACTATTTCCACTTCCGGTTAAACCTCCAGATTGTCGTCGTATTTCAACATTATTGGTTTGAGGAGCTGAATTGATGGTGGCATGGCCTCCTTCGACATTGCGCTTGACAAAGGAGTTTTTAATCCCACACAGGCTGGTATAAAAAAAAATTAGTGAAAATCAACTAACATCTCCTCCAAAATAATTTGAACATCTTGCCAAAAAGAGCTTTTGTATCCCAATTCACATATAAAAGTACCTGTTATCCCTCAAGCAATTGCTTTCAGGTGAGGGTTGCTTAGCGAGTTCATGTGCTTGTATGGATTCCATATTCCAAAGGACAGCTGAGTCCCTTGGAATGGAAGCTTGGACACTATAGACCTGAACGGAACAGTTACCATCAAAATCTTGCTTCGCTTCTGCAAAGGTTTCAAGAAACAAATTCCTCAAATCAGAATCTCTTAGTCTCAAAGGAAGAGCAAAACAGATAACCAAGTTGACAGCCAAATGGACTAAGAGACAAAACCATAGGAAAGCTTCCAGATTTTATATCATGATCTATCCTACAAGGGATTGGAAACTTGTTGACACAGGAAAACCAGCTGTCCCTCACATTATGCTTTATATCCTTGGTAGTGGTAGATATTATTGATATATGACAATCGAAGGCTTGCCTCTGATTTGTGATAGATAAGTTAGTTCACATAACTACATTCAAGGGATACTACAGGCAAAATCGCCCTATGAAAATCTGAATTAAAAAAAAAATCAAACAGGACATTCTACCCGACGATGTTGCAAAACGAAGTGATCAAAGCACTGGACCCTCTTGCTAGTACTCATGCCTCCATGAACAACAAATAAACAGCACTGCAAGATGACAAGCATCTTTGGCTAGAAACCTTACTTTCAAGTCCAACCCCATTGACAAGCCGGACTTTGTAACTTGGAGGGTTGTTATTCAGCCAACCAGACACGGTATACACTACATCCAAACTGTTGCTGCGTCTATCAACAAGGTCTTGGAGCAACCTGACAACAATATCACCATTTTCCCCAAACGTATATCAAACATGCTCAACAAAAAATATAGGTGACAGCAAAACCAAATTGAACAAAGCACTAATTACCTCTTGGCATCATTTGATGGCACCAAAAAGTTGCGACTTAGCCACTTGTACGAAACCTAAAAGGCCGTAAAGTTCAGATCCAATTTCAATGAATACAGATTGAAGAGAAAAACCCAGGTGCTGCCTAAATCTCAGATTGAATAAACTATCACATGAAAAAAGCCGAATAACTGGCATTGTAAACACATGAGATGATAACTAAGAGAAACGAAAACCTTACTGTAACTAGATTCAAGTAAACAAACTCCCTCAAAGCATAAATTTTTTGAACGAACTACCATTGAAGAATTCCGGGTCAGTAACTCAACCCAATCCCAAATTCATCTTACTTTGCACTCTGAAGGGAATTAATTGTTCAATTGAGCTGATGAAATTCCTCCAATTGTTGCAGGAAGTAGAGAGAACGAAACCGCTATGGAATAGGAGAAACAGGAGAAGCTTACCACTTGATGCTTGTCAGACACCAGAGCCTCTACCTCTTCGAGGATGCCTAGGGTTTCCATTGGCGCCATTTTATCCCTTATCTCGCTCCCCGCTTGCTCTAATTACCCGCCCTAGCGTTTTCCTTCCCCTAAGAATCACTACTTCCCCACAACCAGCAGACCAAATTGAAGCGGCGATGGTCAGATTATCGGAGCTTTTTGGTGACAGGTCAGATCCACTTCCCCCTTTGGATTCGAGAGAGGCAGCGCGATGTATTTTCCCGCCAATTTGATCGATTCCCCCCTTTCGTTATTTGGGAGTAATGTCTGTAGCTCTGTATCAATTTGTAGACTCTACTCGGTTGCAATAGCATCTTTTTTTCAATGGGATACGTCTGGGCTTTAAACTCTGGCTGGTGGTTTTGGCTCGGCCCAAATATAAAACAAATCTAGGACGCACTCCGTTCGGCAACAGCCCATTACCCGGCGTACATACATACAATTCATTTAGCATAGCAAGTTAGCAACCCTCAGACCGACCAGTTGGAAGGCAAATATTATAATATCGGATCCAAATCGATGAACAATTTTAGTAGTTCGAATGATTGAATTACGATTAAACTACACTTTTCCTTTAGTATGGTTTCACGATTCTTTATTATCGTATTATATTTATTACTGGAAAATCTACCATTATCAGAAGTGGCTAATTAACCTCCTTATTACAATTTTTTTATATCAGAACCTCTCATTACAATTGATCCCATATTAGAATATGACAATGAATAAATGGAACAAAACATAATAACCAAACCTTCTAAATGATAAAGGACCACTCTGGACTAAACTAGAATATATTTCGAGTATCACAGACTATTCCTGACAAATATCACGTGGACGGCTGAGATGCGTCCACGGCATCCCGCCGCTTCCCCCAGTCATGCACACGCAGATGCAGCTCGGCCACCGCGATGAAAAAATGGACGGCCTGGATGGGAGTCAAGATCTCGTCAACAATCGCCCTAAGCGTCCTCAGCCGCAGATCATCTGCCGCATGCAAAACCTCCTCCATCTGCCTCTCCTTCACCACCAACGTGCTATCCACCCGCTCGTCCATACTCGGCGATCCTCCGTTCCGCATCATCTGGCTGACCGAATGGGAGAGGTCCACCATGGACGAGTCCGCAGCGGATTCCTGCACCTTGGCCATATCCTCCGTGATCTCCCTCTCCTCCCTCACCGTCCGCCGCTGGAGCTCGTCGATGCGGCGGAGCTGCTCGCCGGAGAGGTCGGCCAGGTCGTCGGTGGGGATCCCTTGGAGGATGTCGCGGAGTCCGGTCTCGAACTGGAGCCCCGACTTGGAGTAGATGACGTGGAAAGCCATGGAAGGCCGCCACCCGCCGATCCACAGGAAGGCGTCCTCCAGCGTGCTCCTCCACGACGGGGACAGCATGGCCAGCACGTCTTGATGGACCGACGACGACTTGGCCCGGTAGTAGTGCTCGTACTGGTCCATCACCCGGCCCAAGAGCCCGCGGAGGAGGTCCGGCTGGTCGCTGGAGATGTCGGCCGCCGAGATCAGCTCCTTGAGGTGGCGCTCCTGGTCAGCCAGCCACGTGTCGAAGACTTCCTCGTACGTGTCGCTGTCTTGGTCCGGTGGAGGACCAGGGCTGCTGCTGGTACTTCTACTACTGCCACCCAAGGGCGACGAAGAAGCGGTCCTGCTTACTCTCTCCGACATGTGAACGAACACAAGTGTGGTTTTTTTTTTTTTTCTTCTGTGAAGAGAGAGATCTTTGGGTTTATTTCCTTGTACGGGGACGGTATTTATATTATATATGGTAAGTGTTGGAAGGGGAGAGCGGATGGTGTAGGAATGAGAACAAATAGGTATTGATGATGTGTCGTTGAGAAGAAGGCATATGGAAACTTGGTCTGCATACATGGATACATACGTACGGATCGTGTCACGAGATTAGAAGTGGCAATTAGGATCCAAATTCATGAATTTAATCCATCCATCAAATTATTCACTTAATCCAATTCATTTAATTCAAATTCATTTTATCCAAATCCAATTGGATTGGTGGATTTATGGATCAATTCATGGATCCAAATGACAAATTACGATTTAGTGCCTATATTTTTATATTTTACATTTTGGTACCTAAAATTTATATTTTTTTACGAAAAATATAATTGGAAAATTACATTTTGATACCTAAAATTTTTCATTACGGCATTTTAGTACCTAAACTTTTCAAATTTACATTTTGGTCCAAACCTTGGATGTCATTTGTAGGGGTGTTCAAATGGATTGGTTACCGTAGTAGCCATATTAACCGGGAGTATTCGGTTAATTTGGTTTGGTTAATTTGGATAGTTGGTTTGGTTTGGTTAAACAATTTAGCTTATTTGGTTTAGGTGGTTTGGTTTGGTTTGGTTTAGACACTGCTAACCAATGAAATCAATTAACCAATTAATGATATACCTAATATACAAAATTATATATACTTCCATGCAACCAACCAAACCAAAGTTTGGTGATTCCCTATTTTATTTCCATGTGCACAACAAACCAAAGCATTATGGGTCAAAAATTAAATGGGTCTGCCTATTTACTAAACCAAAATATTTTGGACAACTACTAGACTTTATGATTACGTACAATACCATGACAGCCACCTCAAACTATGTATAGTTTAAGTGTTTTGTAGGAGAGCTTTAACTTCCTGATGAGTGGTATTGGTTTGTATTTAATACTTATATGTTAAGGGTTTGTTGTAAGCTAATTATATTAGGTGCAGAGATGATGAATGATGTATTAACTCGAACGATGATGATAATCATGGTTAGTCTTATTATTATTGCTTATATATAATGAAATTTTATGATAGTAATATCATATGGTTATGTTTTATTTATTAACAAGATAATTGTTTTGATGTAATGTTATGTTATGTGGTTAATCCGATTATCCGATCAACCAAACCAATTAAACTTTGGTTTGGTTAATTTGGGTTTCGTGTTAATTTGAACGGTTTGGTTAAGACATTTTATTCCATGGTTAATGAAATTTAAGCTTAATTGGTTTGGTTATTACCACGGTAACCATTTGAACACCCCTAGTCATTTGGATTCATGGATCAATCCACCAATCTATGAATCCACCAACCCATTGGATCCATAGATCCACTAATCCAATACACGAATCCGATCCAATTGCCACCTCGTGATTATACGCTGGGTCGCGCGCTAATGAAACGGCGTCATGCAATACGAAGAGAATAATAGAAATTAAACAAACAAAACGTGGGCTATGTATGAAATTACTGGGTTTATAACTTGTTGGCTAAGGAACTACAACAGCAGCTAGGGCTGCTGTGGGGACTGGGGAGTGTGCACGCTGGTTGGTAATTACGATAACTATATAATAAGCCAGAGACCAACCTGAATTTTACGACCAAACACCAGCCACGAAGTTTACGTAACGTGCATGTACATACATGGGAACTTGGTCTACCTGCGACCTCTAGGAATCTCGATATAGGAGAAGGAATATTCCGTGGGGGCGAACTAGAATGCATGGAAAAGGACAAATCTAGGTAGCGGTTCACCCAGCTGGTAAGGATTAGGAAATAAAAACCACGGTGGGATCGAACCAAAACCGCGGGAGACAAGTGGCCCAGCTACAGCAGTTAACCATGTGACTAGCTTGCATGTGATTTGTCTGTTCAATCGGCCTTCATTGAATCTTGCTAGCTAGCTAGCTACCTAAGTCGGTCGTATAGTTCACTTTCTGGTATGTACGAGAACTTAATTACGTACTTGAACAACTTATCGATAGTCGTGTTGGATCATATATGCCTTGCACATTTGGTCGTAAGCTATAACATCATTGTTGCATGATGATTTTAAGAGTTCTAAACGATTTTATCAACAACAACAAAAAAGAGAGTGTTCTAAACGAAAGGAGTTGACGATCTTAATTAGGTAAACACATACAAGGACGAAAAAATTTAGAATGTGATTGATTACGTCTCAACTAAAAAGCTAAATACTAACAACTTAGCGTTCACACACAAGACGAACATAGCAAATAAAGATAGGACTGATGGACTCCTCACAGGGGCGGAGCCAGGGGATATTGGGGGTGCTCCGGGACACCCCTAATTTTTGGGATAACGATTATCCAACTCCCGGTAGTAGTTTTCGTGTGGATAAAAAATACAAGTGGTAGACTAGGTGATTTAAATTAGGATACTAAGATTATTAGTAAACGTGTTTTTCATTAGACCACAACTCATTTGTTATTGTATTTTAAACACTAGTTTAATAGTAAAAATGATATTCCTTCTCCCAATTATTTTGAAAATCTAACAATTGAACCTGATTACGGGTTATCCTTATGCCCTCCATTCTATCATATCCATTGGTTTACTTGCTTCTCAAAGTAATTGATTTTACCGATTGCAACTGCAGGTGTTGAAATAACATATTTAGTTTTGGGAAACTTTAAGAACAAGCTTCGAAAATATTAAATGATCAGTTTGTGAATGATTGTATAGTAAGATGGAGATATTTGTTGAGCCGTCCAGACACTGAGTATATTTTGTAACACGCCGTAGACTTTTGTTGTAACTTGTATTAGTTAGATATTTTCTAATTTAAAATTATTTAATTTTTGAAAGAGGACACCCCTATATAAATTTCCTGGCTTCGCCACTGACTCCTCATATCCCAACTCCGCATATAACGGTACTGGTCTGGTACATACTCTAACGAGAGAATTCATCAACGATGAAATTGTGTCTAATTAAATTCAATCTTATGTCCATCTAGAATACTACATATATCTCTATACAATTGTACATAGTGTTGAACTGGTAGGACGTAAATGCTATACCATATACGACTAGCTAAGTTCCTCTTTAAATTTTAAAGGAGTAAAGGGTTAATACTTTAATTTGGCCCGAACTATAGACAAACTTTTAATATTGGTCCGTGGTATCGGAAATTGCTATCCTGGCCTAAACTATGTAGCATACTTTCTTATTTGGCTCGGAGACGGGTTTGACCGTTAAATTAGACGGTCAACCGAGTTGACCGTTAGTCAACGTCCACCTCACTTGCCACGTCAGCTATCAGGGAATAAAAAATTATTTTTTTAATTTTGAATTTTGTTTATTTTCTAACAATAAAAATAATAAACGAAAAAAATTAATTAAATGAGCTCTCCAAATTATTTATAATTAATTTTAGAAATTAAACAAAAATAAAAAATTCAAAGAAATATTTTTTTATTTCCTGATAGCTGACGTGGCAAGTGAGGTGGACTTTGACTAACGGTAAACTCGGTTGACCGTCTAATTTGACTGTCAAACCCACCTTCGGACCAAATAAGAAAGTATGCTACATAGTTTAGGCCAGAATAACAATTTCCTATACTACGGACCAAAGTAGAAAGTTAGTCTATAGTTCGGACCAAACTAAGATATTAACCCAAATTTAAATGGCTCTCCATTCCCATTCTCGTTGTCACTGATTCACTAAGAAGGGAAGAAAAAAAAAAAAAAACACATGCATACTGATTTTTGAACATTATTATTCGAAAAGGTTACACCACCTTAGCTTAATTATAATATTCCTCCCCGTAATCAGACAATTAATAGCCACCAATAGAAAACCACCATAATTAATGTACTTATTAATATTCTGATCATCAGAGACTACATGGACGCCGGAATGTATGCTAGTTGCCCTAAAGACGCTCGTCTCCCCGCTTCCCCCAATCATGGACCCGAAGGTGTAGCTCCCCAACGGCGATCAGGAAATGGACGGCCTGGATCGGAGTCAAGATCTCGTGAACGATCGACCTGAGCGTCGCCACCCGTAGATCATCAGCCTTCCGCAACAGCTCCTCCATCTTCCTCTTCTTCAGCACCAACGCCCTCTCCACCTGCTCCTCGCTGAACCCGTTGCTGGACCTCTCCACGTCGTCGTCGGTCCTCCGCATCATTTCGCTAACTGTGTGGGTCAGGTCCACTATGGACACGTCCGCAATCGACTCCTGATGAACGTACCGGAGGTCAATGTTTATGGGTAGGTGATTGATATTTCACATGAATGATCAAGTGGTGGAAGCTTATACCTGGACCTTTGCCAGCTTCTCTGTAAGCCTCCTCTCTTCCTTGATCGTGTCTCTCTGAAGCTCGTCGATGAGGCCAAACTGCCGCGGCGAAAGACCAGCCAGATCCGCCACCACGTTGTCTCCGTTGTGGCGCCTCTGATCCTCGCTGATCCTGGTCTCGAATTGGAGCCCTGACTTGGAGTAGAGGATGTGGAAAGCCGTGGAGGGACGCCAACCGCCGATCCAGAGAAAGGCTTCCTCCAGGGACGTTCTCCAGGACGGGGACAACACAGCTAGCACGTCCTGGTGGGCCCATTCGGACTTTGCCCGGTAGTACTCCTCGTAGTGCTCCAGCACCCGACCGTTCAGGTCTCTGAGAAACTCATCCCCCGCTTGGCCGTTGGCGGCTGCAACGAGGCTCTCGAGATGGTGCTCCTGCTCGGTCAACCACTGCTCGAAGAAGTCGTTGAAAGACGACGTGGACATGATAAATGTCCCGCTGCGACTCGCAGTAGCTGAAAATTTAATGTAGAAAGTATGTGAAGCTCATTGTGTTGAAGCATGCATGCCTCTCGCTATACTATATATATACAAAAGCGCGAACTTGCATTCATTCTTTGCTATTATATGAGGCAAGTTGTATAATATTATCGTCATGCATTTGGGAAAAGGACAACGATGCTAGTTAGTTTGCGTAACCAGGGGAGATCGATCGAATGAAGCATAAAACAATGGGGAGATACAAGTGGCTATAGCAACTTGCAGGCTGCAGCTAGCTAGGAATCAGCTGGCTTTTATTTCTAGTTGCATGTATGCATGCATGTGACAGCAGCTCCCTTGTGGTTTAATTACTGTCTTTTTGGCCTTTCGCAATTGAATGTCGGCAAGTGATGGGTAAAGTAATAATTATTAATATTAATAAAAGTTCAACGCCGGCGTCGGAGGTATGAATCGGGCCATAAGTCCAGGATAGTCTATGGGCTTGCATGCGGCGGTGTGACGTACGTAGTCGATGCTTCCGTGGGCTTTGAGTCTGTGGGGTGAGTTGGTATAATTGTGAACTTAGGCCCAGTGGTTGGGCTTTCACTAAGTGACCATTTTGTGATGTTCTAAAATTATAGGAATGGTTTTGTTACTGGTCCAAGCATAAGTGGACATTTCGGTTAATTACCCTGTAGGAGAAGTGTGAGTGACCCAGGTCTCTGATCTACCACAGTTGTCCTATGTGGTCATTGTGCTTTGGTCCCACCAAACCCCATAAAGACGAGAGAGAGTTTAGCTTCGCTATGAGTCTGATCTGATCAATAAAATATTAAGATTTGATTTTTGAACTAATGGAGGGGGGTAACGGTAAAGGGTATTACAGTATTTACGCAAAAAGGCATGGGTACCGGGTGCAGGCAAAACGTTAAAAATTACAGGGTCAGATTTCACATATAACCGGGGGCCTGATTTTTTTTGAGCTACTCAAACACGAGTCACCAAAGTTTCATGTATTAACTATTCGCTGCCAAATAGCTCACGAAACAATCAATTCATCTCTCGGGTGAGCTTGGTCTACATGATTGATCGAACCAAGTTTTTTTTAGGATGATCGAAACTTAACTCGCTTGGTCAGGTTAATAATGCTATTTGAGTTCGATTAAACTGTAAAACTAAATATGTTCGGTTTCATATAATTTTCGTTTAGTTGTGGGCACAAAAACGGAAGCTTAAGGTAGAGAGGTTCAGAGGGACGACCTAATGAAGAAGTGCAATGCCTGCAGTACTAGAACGAGCATATAACTGTACATGGAGAGATAATAGAGCGTACACGACGCATTGAGTAGTGAGAGCAAGGGACGGAAGAGTCTAAGAGCGCTAGTGTTTTCCCTACGATATGGAAAACATAGAGAATCAGTAGCCATATTGTTTAGCTATCAACTTTGTTTCGATCAACAAAAAAACATGTGTGATCATCTTTTATTTCTATCGTGGCGGAACAGAGAAATTAGAGAATGTATGTGAAAATTTTATATTCTTAATTTGTATGTTTGACACTCTAATGTGAAGAATTTGTACAAGTATATAAAAAAATAAAGGCCCGATAACTGATTTGCCTGTATTTTCAAAATTAAGTGACCATTGGAGTAATTGAGCTTGTGTGACTGTGACCAGACAAGAGTCTCCCTCAGTCACATGAGGTCCCCACTTTCTGCCAAAAAAAAAAAGTACAAAAAGACAGTTTAAGATCAGAAATTAGGGCTTAATGAATGGTATTCCCGTAAATAATCATCCTACTTGAGCCCTTCAATGTAAACACACCGCCCAAGATCAGCGCCCCCACGACACCACTAATCGCAGTGAAAAAGTACTCGTTTCCCGCAAAAGCCCCTTTGCATTTTAAAAATAATAATTTTCCTTTTCTGAAGAAGAAAATGGTAAAAGTCATTCTTTAGTCATTCCCATCCATCACTCTCTTTCCCACACTCTTCCTGTTTAGCTTCCTTTCTCCCGAAGTTGCTTACATTAGCAGCGCTTCTCTATCTCCTCCAACCTTTTTTCCCGCTAGGGTTTAGTCGCTCGCTGCTTTCTCTCCATCGCTAGGAAGTAGGAGCGATGAAGTTGGCAGGACGGTTGTTAGATTCAGCAGCTTGAATTTGAATTCCAAGTTCTTTTCTGGTTTGTCTGATGTTTCCCCTTTTAGCTTCGCTTTACTTTATCTTGCTTCAACTGTTGTTGTGCTTCTGGCTCGTTCCTAGTTTAGTTGCTTCGGATTTGGTGTTGTGAGAAGCAAATCGAGGAATGCTCCTTCTTATGTTTCTAAATTTGGTTTGCTGTTGTTGTTGGTGGAAAGGGCGTGGGAGTGCTTTTTCTGTGGTTCTTCACTGGTTTGGTGAAGAATGGCGTCGTCGTCCAGAGGCGGGGCGGATCAGCCGACCCCTCCTCAGCCTCAGCAGCGGAGGATTATGAGAACCCAGACCGCTGGGAATCTTGGGGAGTCGATATTTGATAGTGAGGTTGTGCCTTCTTCGCTTGTGGAGATTGCGCCTATTCTTCGTGTGGCTAATGAAGTGGAGTCCAGTAACCCAAGGGTTGCTTATCTCTGTAAGTGTTTTGCTAAGACTGGAGTTTACTTACTTATACATCTGCTTGCCTTCTGTAATTACTGCTTCCCGTTGTCTACATCTGAACCGTTGGTTTCTAGTCTTTATTCGTCGGCATTTCATTTGTGCTTGCTTCAACCTGAACAGTTAAGTTTATGCATGTATTTCGCTATGCAGTCTATGTTACTTGATGGGCATGTTTGAACCTTGAGCTGGGTTTTCGATATTCTGCTGCATTTTCTGGCAGAGAATGGGAATGTTAATAATTTAAGATAACAATTTATTCTATTCCATGCCTGGGGATCTTTAATTTGAATGTCATACTGTTTTCTCATTGCTAATTTGGTTTCCCTTTAGAGGATGGATGCAAGCTAGATTTGCTGTTTGCTTTCCCTGCACGTATTGAGTCTGGATAGTGTACGGGACGTTAACGATTCGAGATAGTGATAGTTTTTCTTGTATGCTCAAGGCAGGCTGCCCAATTGTTGCTGCTGCCACCTCCTTTGAATCTTAACCTTTCCTCCTCTTTGTAGGCCGATTTTATGCCTTTGAGAAAGCTCATAGGCTGGATCCTACTTCCAGTGGAAGAGGTGTTCGTCAATTTAAAACTGCGCTTCTTCAACGTCTTGAAAGGGTAAGGGCATTGGTTTTCATTTTTGTAGATGTGATAATTGAAGGCCTTCTTATTTGCATACACGAACTTCCTTCTCCTACCATCTTAAAGAATAAAGATGAATGTCCACAATTACCTATCGTTGCGTTGATTGTCTAATTTGATATCTTCCTCTGATTTAACAAGAAATATAAATTGGAAGCCCACTAGTGATTTTTTTGTTGCTCTAAAGTGTTGATCTGTTTCGCTTGCAGGAAAATGATCCAACCTTGAAGGGTAGGGTTAAGAAAAGTGATGCTAGAGAAATGCAGAGTTTTTATCAACATTATTATAAAAAATATATCCAAGCTTTGCAAAATGCTGCTGATAAAGCCGATCGGTAAGTTACTCGTGGGCAGGGAAGATAGATTAATTTTTTTACGGTTCCTTTTTCGAAAGACTGCTGTTTGAGGATACTCTTTGAAGAGTTGCTTCCATTGTTTCAATACCTTGCTTCTGTTGGATTGTAGAGCACAACTTACCAAGGCGTACCAAACTGCTAATGTGCTTTTTGAGGTTTTGAAGGCTGTTAATATGACACAATCCATTGAAGTTGATCGAGAGGTGATGCCATAGCTTACTATTGTCTTCTTTATGTTTATTGATGAGTAGTTGCATTGATGGTTGTAAATATGGGATCATTGCCGAGTTTAGAGTCCACAGGTACTTGTGAATTTTAACACACCCTGGAATTAGTACAGATTTTGGAAGCTCAAGATAAGGTTGCGGAGAAGACTCAACTGTATGTGGCTTACAATATACTTCCACTGGATCCCGATAGTGCGAATCAGGCAATTATGAGATTTCCTGAGGTACTTCTTCTATGTCTATTTCTGTTGGCTTCTCTGAAACTGGCTGGGATTCTATTCCACACATTCATAAATACTCTGTTTTGCAGATCCAAGCAGCCGTTGTTGCCCTTCGTAACACAAGAGGTCTTCCATGGCCCAAAGATCATAAGAGGAAGAAGGATGAAGATATATTAGACTGGCTTCATGCGATGTTTGGGTTCCAGGTTTCTGTTTATTTTTCCGCTTCACAAATCTTTTGTTGGACATTTGTTTGTTGAATTTATAATATTAGTTGGTGTCATTTGCTAACTTGTTCCAAACGTCTTGCTGCTTCTGCTTTGTATTTGTAGAAAGGTAATGTTGCAAATCAAAGGGAACACTTAATCTTGTTACTTGCAAATGTGCACATACGACAGTTCCCTAAGATGGATCAACAACCTAAGGTTTGTTTCCTGGACATCTAACTCATGGCCTGTACACATTAAACTTGAGTTCCTTCTGAAACATTGTTTTATGACAAGCTTGTGTCTTATCCTTCCCTCTTAACTTGGCAATGGAGTGGGATTTTATGAGAGGGGTGCAGAGTGCTGCACTTGATTATAGGAAGGGTTGAAAACTGAGGCAAAGACTTATTAACATTTCTTTTGGTGGATTAGGTCAGGGAGATTCAGAATTGAATAAGAAGTAGCATGATTGGATCTATAATTCAATATCAGGAGAAGTATCTGTCATTTCATTTTGTCATATAATCATGATCATTGTAGTGAATGCAAGAACTATTTGAAAGCTGGTTCCATTAGTTACAAAATAAATCTGAAGGTATTGTACATTCAATTAGTAAAATTTGACCTTGTTTCTTTCTGTCGGGACACCTTATAACTGAATTACACGGGTTATCTTTCCTAGGCATTGCAAAATAATTCAAGTATATACCAAAAAAACTTATGAAGTGAGACCATTAATTTTAGGAGGAGTACATTCTCTGATTTTCATTCTAATTTCTTGTCTATCCATCTAGTTACTTGTTATTTTTTTGCAAATTAAGAATAAAAGTTCTTTTGGTTTCTGAAGAAGATCTGTTTCATAGCCAGTACATCATGGTGCATTTCGTTTCAAACATTGTACTTGCCTTGCAGTTGGATGACCGTGCACTGACTGATGTGATGAAGAAGCTGTTTAAGAATTACAAGAAGTGGTGCAAGTACTTGGACAGGAAAAGCAGTCTTTGGTAATATTCGTTGTATTGTCACTTGGATTTAGACTTTGGAATCTTTATTATGTCTTTTCATGGACATAAAATATCTATCCTTATCTGTTGAGTTTAGCTTCATCATTTCATAAATGTAGAATAATCCAAAGAGAATTTCTATGGGCGAAGAACAATGTTTTATCATGCTTTGTGTTGTGTGCGTATGCGCATTTGCTTTCCTTTGTGTTAAAAGTTAGATACCTCAGGAGCCGACTCATGTATTTGAGACAACTAACTTGAAATGGCTTTGGAATGTCAATTAAAACAATGTTATACTCTGTGGAGTTATCTTCTTTTTATTCATATTCCCTGTCTGATATTGCTTCTGGAGTGTTATGGTTTGAGGGAAGGGATGCAACTTAACGAGAAAGTATAAGGTTCTGGATTCTAAGTCATTCTGCTCTTTTGATTGGCAGGATGCCTACAATACAGCAGGAGGTGCAACAGCGTAAGCTGTTATACATGGGCCTTTATCTTCTGATATGGGGTGAAGCTGCGAACTTGAGATTCATGCCAGAGTGCCTGTGCTATATATATCATCATGTATGCTTCAGGCTACATCTTTTAAAATGCAGATTGATCCTATCCCATAGTTCTAGAGCGAAATTCTGGTTGTATTAGTTCAATGGGAACGTAGCCACTTTAGAATGTGATGCTCTCATTTGCATTATTCTATTTATTGCTTGTTATGGAATTAATACCATATTGAAGAGGCTGTTCTACTACCATTTAGTGTTTCTTCTAACGTTAGACCCAAGCTATTTTGAACTCGTTTGCTGTGTGCCTATTAAATCTGCTCTAAAATCAGTTATATTCCTGTAGATGGCGTTTGAGCTTTATGGCATGTTAGCTGGGAATGTGAGTCCTATGACAGGAGAAAATGTAAAGCCTGCTTATGGAGGTGAAGAAGAGGCTTTTCTCTCAAAAGTTGTTACGCCTATATACAATGTCATTGCAAAGGTGTGTTTATTCGTTAATGCTGAGTCCAAATCCAATGCCAATTCCTAGAAATTGTCACTATTCACCTTTTTATTTGAATCTACAGGAAGCTCAGAGGAGTAAAAAAGGGAAATCAAAGCATTCTCAGTGGAGAAATTATGATGATCTGAATGAATACTTCTGGTATTAGATTAATGCAGTTTACTTGGCTGTATATTCACTTTTGCATTAACTTTCACGTGCTCAGTTTACTTCCTGTATAAATTGTAGGTCTGTTGATTGCTTCCGATTAGGATGGCCAATGCGTGCAGATGCTGATTTCTTTTCTTCTCCTGCCGAACTTCATCCTTTTGAGAAAAATGGGGTAAGCAATAAATTGTAGTTTGGCAAATATGCACAACAATATAACTGAAGGCTGATCTAATTTTTGATCTGTGGATCTATTGGGTCTTGTTATCTTCTCCTTCTTTGCTTATTAGGAGAAATGAACCTGTTAGAATTGCGAGAAGAAAATTGTCAAAAAGAGTTTACAAAGTATTGTTGAAGGAACTAATGTTAGGGACTGTTTTCTCGTTCGGATGGGAAAATACCATGAAAGTAGTGTGGTGGAAATTTCTTTTCCATAAACTTTGATAAACTGAGAATACAGATCTTACCAGTACTACTCTTCTAGTCTCCTTATGTCAATATCAGCTGATGTATTCTTCTCCATTTGACAAGTCCATGTGTATTTACCATTTCACTTATGCTTGACTTTTATGTCTTCAGGACAACAACAAACCAGCTTATAAAGATAGATGGGTGGGGAAGGTCAATTTTGTTGAGATCCGCTCGTTCTGGCACATCTTTAGAAGTTTTGATAGGATGTGGAGCTTCTTTATCCTATGCTTGCAGGTATATATTCTTCTAGTTTTCGTTTCGCTTCACTTTGGTGCTTCCATTTAACACTCCTTTTTAGAGGTAGTTGGGTTGTATCTCATTTTTTTCCAATTCTTTATAGGCTATGATTATCATTGCTTGGAATGATTCTGCTGGCCGTCCAATATTTACTGGTGAAGTAGTCAAGAAAGTTTTGAGTATCTTCATAACAGCTGCCATATTGAAACTTGGCCAAGGTAAGTAGCGAAAAACACGACTAGATTTATGCTTACCCTGCTTCTCTCTAAATTGTGTACTCTCTGATGCTAGATCATCCAACATGATTATAGTTGCTGAGTTTCAAAACCGTTCAGTCATGATTTTACTCATTGTGTAGATAGAGCTGGGGCTTTACTGTGTCCCCTGCGTTTTCAACGTTAAGTTAAAAGTTGCATAATATTTCATAATTTCTCCCTAAGCTTATGGATTGCCAATAATATCTCATTGTGTAGATAGAGCTGGGGCTTTACTGTGTCCCCTGTGTTTTCAACGTTAAGTTAAAAGTTGCATAATATTTCATAATTTCTCCCTAAGCTTATGGATTGCCAATAATATCACATTGTTTTGTTCCGCTTAAAACTTCAGCTCTTTCTATTTAAAGTTACTGTTCAAATATATACAAGTGGCAGTTGGATCAGATTCCTATTGATTTCATTGGTGTCGGAAAGAACTGAAATGAAAGATTTGTTTCTTGTCATGTGAACCCCGCCTCAGTGCTTTTATTCTCATGTGAAGAACAATTCTATCTATTTGATTTTGTATCTTGATTCAATGCATTGTACTAGCAGCTTACGATTCTTCATTAGTCTTGATTTTCATTTTTGGAATCCACATTCCGTTAGAGTTGGTGGATTTATTACCAATGTTATTTTGTTGATTATTGCAGCTGTCCTTGATATAATCATCAATTGGAAAGCCCGCCAGATGATGTCTTTCCATGTCAAGTTGAGATACATTCTGAAGTTTGTTTCAGCTGCAGCATGGGTGGTTGTTCTGCCGGTGACATATGCTTATACATGGCGAGATCCATCAGGATTTGCTCAAACAATTCAAAGTTGGTTCGGCAGCAATGTTAGCTCGCCCTCTTTGTTTATTTTAGCAGTGGTTATCTATCTTTCACCAAATATGTTGGCAGCTGTGCTATTTCTTTTCCCCTTCATACGAAGGTTCCTGGAGCAGTCCCATTATAAAATAGTGATGCTTGTGATGTGGTGGTCTCAGGTATGCATGATTGCTTCTCTTCCCATACTTTCATCTATTTCTTCCTGTGCATACTTTTTGTTGTAACGTTGTTGCCTGATTGAAATTTTAGCCTCCGCTCTATGTTGGGAGGGGAATGCATGAAAGTACTCTCTCTCTTTTCAAGTGAGTATTTATTGTTAGAATAATTGCTTCAGTTTGGATTTCAGGTTCTGTGTGTAATACCTTCTTCTCTGATGCAGGTATACCGTATTTTGGGTTCTCCTTATCGTAACCAAGTTGGCATTCAGTTACTATATTGAGGTTCGTTCTTCATTTATGCTTCCTGGTCTTATTCCTTTGCTGCTATTATGGATTTGGATAAAGAACAACATGTGTCATATCTCTCCCTCGGCTTTCTTTTTTTGTCCCACGTTGGTGGCAGAATTATGAGTGTCTACAGAGAGTGAAATAGCTTTTATTAAAAGTAGTGATCTTTTGGCAGTCAATGCAATTGTGTGGCGCTCAAGTGCGAGACAAATGTGAAGCAAAGATCATCTAAATAATTGTGCTATCTAGTTATGGTTCAACTCTAAATATACAGCAAGCCGAATGCTAACTTGAGGAAAGCAGTCATAGCATGTTTGAATGTCTTTTCAACTATCCGGACTATGTTTTGTTGGAAGAAAGCTTATGTTAGTTGTGCATGAGTTCAGCCGAACATCCTTGAATTTGTGAGTTCAGCAGTTAAAACTAAAAAAGGTTTTTAGTTCTGTACAAATGCAAGTCTTGATCTTTTTAGCTGAAAATATTAACAAGAAACTTGGAGTTGAAAGTTGGTGCGGTTAAGAGGACTCTTGGTTCATCTTTTAGTGAAACCGGTGAAAGAGTTTCTTCTAGTAAAGATGGAACTGGTAGAGGAGACAGAAGTGGGACAAAGCATTAGTTTTTATTTTTTATGATTCTCTTGGTGGGATTGTGGTTTGCTGCTCTGGTAGTTGTTCATTACAGGTCATTCAGGTTGGGATTGGTATTGGCTTCCCTCTCTGTTTCATTTTCGGGTGTGGGTGGGGTGTTGGATCATGCAGTTACTACTCCAAAAAATTAGTTCGTCAAGTTATCCAGAATCAATTGCTTTTAGTGGCTAGGAATCACGTTTTATCGTTGAGACTTGAGACATTGTTACATATGATTGTTATACCTAACTGATAATTATTCTTTGATTTCTGATGCTGTTCTCTTGTTATCAATATTGTCTCAAACAAGGCATCGAACCTGTTAATCAGCAGTGCAAACACTTTTTATTCTGCTATATATCCTGTTTCTAATAATTGTTATTTTTGGTTTCAGATAAAGCCTTTAGTTACCCCAACAAGAGCTATAATGAGTGTCCACATAACTACATTCCAATGGCACGAATTCTTCCCTCAAGGTATGTTCATGAATCAGTTGTTTGTAGTAGAATGCTTGTTCACAATATCTTTGTCATGTGAAATGGGATTGTCGTTGATTTTTCTTTTTCCTTTGCAGCTAGGAACAATATTGGTGTGGTGATTGCACTCTGGGCACCAATAATTCTTGTATGTACTCTTTTTTCCGTTTCCTTATTTTCACATCCTCACCCTAACCCTGTATTCAAGATGGACTGAGCACTCATCTGTCCGATTTTGTAGGTCTATTTCATGGATACTCAGATTTGGTATGCCATATTCTCCACATTGTTTGGTGGTGTATATGGTGCATTTCGGCGACTTGGAGAGGTTAGAGATCTGTTTTCCTTCTGATATTGTTCTGCTGCATATTTCACTTTCAGTTGTGCTTTGCGAACTTTCTGATTAAGTTGCTCAAATAATCTTTTATTTTTTAATTTAATTTCTGTTATGTAGTGATAAAATAGGAAGTTCGTGAAATTTCTAAACTAGTTAGCTGTGCTCCAGCATGGCTGAAGAAATCATATTTTGATTGATACTAGTTCCTAACTCAACCTGAACATAACCCATAATGAATACTCTGACGCCTGCGGACAAAAAACTCTCCCCACTGTGCGGGATCATCGGGCATCCCCACCGTCGACCTGCTCTCTATCGCCCATTGAATAGGGTGTTCTTTCCTCTCTTTAATATTATGAGAAACGGCTTTTACCACATCCAAATAAAGCTTGTTCTTAAATTTCGCCCCAGTTAAATCTTGAGGATCTGGTTTGAGCTTGGCTAATTCTTCCTCGACTTGATCGGTATGCATAACACTCATATTCTAATTGCAGAAACACCTCCGTTTGAAGTATTTTGCTTTTCCATCTGACCATTCAGAGATCAATCAGTTCCCGCAAGTTATGAATGTGTAGGAGCTTTATTGGGGGCATGGGATCTCCATGTTTAGTTAGCAAATCATCTTCCCGTTTTAGATTTGGACTAGTGTTTCCCACTGTCTGATTTGATTTCGTCATTGCTGCCTACAAATCTTTGACGGATGATTGCTGTTTGTTGATTTATTTTCCGACCTCTACTTTCCTGATCCGCGAACTTCTCGCATCTCAGATTCGGACGCTGGGAATGCTTCGCTCACGTTTTCAGTCATTACCTGGTGCTTTTAATGCCCGCTTAACTCCAGAAGAAAGGAGCGAGCCAAAGAAGAGAGGGTTAAAGGCTACCTTGTCTCGCAATTTCGCTACGGTAGTTACTTATAGCTGATGCTAATAGTTATCATTACTCTAGTGAACTTAAATAAGCATGGCTGTAACTTGGGTATCTGGGGCTGTTGCAGATACCATCCAACAAAGAAAAAGAGGCTGCAAGATTTGCTCAGTTGTGGAATAAAATCATTACTAGTTTTAGAGAAGAAGATCTTATCAGCGACAGGTTAGAAACTTGATATTTATGGAACCTTTTGATGTCTGCTGCTGTTTCTTTCAAAACTAATGCCTCCATGTTGTTAGGGAAATGGATCTGTTGCTTGTACCATACTGGGCTGACCGTGATCTGGACCTAATACAGTGGCCTCCATTTCTACTGGCTAGCAAGGTCTATTTATATTTATATATATATATATTTCGTAAACATCTTGTACAGTTTTCATACAATGTAGAAGATAAAAAATGTGCATAGTGAGACATTAATAAAGCTTACTACTCCAGATACCAATAGCATTGGACATGGCCAAGGATAGCAATGGGAAGGACAAAGAGTTGAAAAAGAGAATTGAGGCTGACAGCTATATGTCCTGTGCTGTTCGTGAATGTTATGCTTCATTTAGGAACATCATCAAGTTCTTGGTTCAAGGGGACCGTGAGAAAGAGTAAGTTTAGCTGTGGACTAATTCCTGCAGACTTACAGTTCACTGATATATGTTGGCTACTATATGAATTCTTTCCAGGGTGATTGATTACATATTTGAAGAGGTGGACAAGCATGTTGATGTTGGTGATCTCATCAGTGAGTACAAAATGAGCGCGCTTCCTAACCTCTATGAGCATTTTGTGAAGCTCATCAAATATCTGGTATTCTGCACGCACCTCTTATCTGATGTTCAGGATGGATATGAGTATTGTCAATTCCTGATCCATTTGCGTTAAATCTGTTGCAGTTAGTGAATAAACCAGAAGACAGGGATCAAGTTGTCATTCTGTTCCAGGATATGTTAGAGGTCGTGACAAGAGATATAATGATGGAGGATCAGATATCCAGGTGCATCATTAAATATTTTGGTTCTGAGATATTTTTATTTCATTGAATTTCTGAGATATGTTAGCATTGAATTGTATTAATATTATTTATTTATTCTTGCAGTCTGGTTGATTCAATTCATGGTGGACCTGGCCATGAGGGAATGGTTCCACTTGATCAGCAATATCAACTGTTTGCATCTTCAGGAGCTATTAAGTTTCCTATCGAACCTGTAACAGAGGCATGGAAAGAGAAGGTAAGTTTGGTGAAGGGATTGGTGTCAATATGCAGCCTTTCTCGACTTTCCTTAAATAGGTTTTGATAGGCAAAATTGGCTGCAAGGTCTGGACTTAGTGGGTTGGATTTTTTTCATTCCCGGTTACCCCTCATAATCTTATATGTTTATGCTTGCAGATCAAGCGGCTTGATCTTCTGCTTACCACAAAAGAATCAGCGATGGATGTGCCATCCAACCTGGAAGCTAGGAGGCGGATTTCTTTCTTTTCAAATTCTTTGTTTATGGACATGCCGACAGCCCCGAAAGTTCGGAATATGCTTTCCTTCTCGTAGGTGTTCGGTTTATTCATTTGACTTTTAATTCAGTTTTCTAGTCCTTCAATTTTCTAGTCCCTATGGCTGGAACTGGAATTAGCTTTATCATCTAAAATATTCTCCATCCCTGTGGGAAGATCTTGTCAGTTCCTGTTATGAAAGCTTATCCTTATCGGGATCTTAAGGCAGACAACTATAAGCATAATGCAGTTTATGTGAAAGTTGGCCCTATGTCTAAATATGACCTCTGTTTTTTCCCCCAAAACAAAGCGTACATAGGAACGGACTTTGCTATAGTTTGATCATCTTGTTCTTAGTATTGGTTTAGCCATTGTAGTAAATACCTTGTACGTTCATCGATAAGAGGATTCTAAAATCTCCGATGATGGGTTTTGCAGTGTTTTAACTCCTTACTATACGGAGGAAGTTCTGTTCTCCTTGCGTGAATTGGAAGTGCCGAATGAAGATGGGGTTTCAATCCTATTTTACCTGCAGAAGATCTTTCCTGGTTCATATATTATCTCAGCATAGTGACTTTTTCTCTATTCCTTTAGTATTTATTTATTCATTTGTTAAGCCCTCATGCACAGATGAATGGAATAATTTCCTTGAGCGAGTGAATTGCACTAGTGAAGAAGAACTCAAGGGAATAGACGATCTTGAAGAAGAACTTCGTCTCTGGGCATCATTCAGGGGCCAAACCCTTACAAGAACTGGTACCCTTTTGGTTACTCGTATGATGATGCAGTTCCTGGTTGTTTCCTATGTTTAGTTCCATTCAGCTGTTGCTTTACATATTTGGAATCTTTGCCATGCTTCGCAGTAAGAGGAATGATGTACTACCGCAAGGCGTTGGAGCTTCAGGCATTTCTTGATATGGCTAGAGATGAAGGTAATAGTTTTCTTGATGAATTTCTTTGTGCTGTTGAGAATTTCTGGTTTTATCCTTTTACTTGATTGTCCCTTGGTTTTGAATCTTGGCTCGTACTTCTCATTCTTTCTTAGATTTGATGGAGGGCTATAAGGCTGTAGAACAGAATACTGAAGATCACTCGAAAGGTGAAAGATCGTTGTTTGCCCAATGTCAAGCCATTGCTGATATGAAATTCACATATGTGGTTTCATGTCAGCAATATGGTATCCACAAGCGGTCTGCAGATCCTCGAGCACAAGACACACTAAGACTTATGACTGCGTATATATCCTAATTTAACTATTCCTTATGCAAAATTTATGCAAGTGTGTTTGACTTATGCATATGTTTCCAATTGATAGGTACCCATCACTTCGTGTAGCATACATTGATGAGGTTGAAGAGCCTAATAAAGACAAGACAAAAAAGGTCAACCAAAAGGTTTATTATTCAGTCTTAGTGAAGGCTGCCTTACCTAAGGCCATTGATTCTTCAGAGCCTGTTCAGAATTTGGATGAGGTATCTTTCAACATGAACTGAGGCAACGCGATATACGTTTTTGCTGCACATTACGATTATTTGACAGTCTCTTTAAGTAAATTGTTCATTAGCAGTACCTTATGCGATTATCTGACATCAACATTATAGAAAAGTAGTAATGGCTTGTGAAAAACTGTACAACAGGTTTTTATTATAAATATATGATATCACCGTTACCAAAAGAAAGAAAAACTGTACGCGAGGACCAGACAAATACTTAGACTACTTGACTGCCCTGTTGCTTTAGGGTCTTAGTTGATGCTGTGTACATTCTTCTTGTAAGCCTACTTTTAGAATTAGGTTTCTGAGACTAGGTCAGCAGGTCTTTTGCATGACATTTTCTGGTCTTCACCATGTAACTACTGCAGTCTGCTCTCTGGAGTGGGATTTTTTACTTGTCTTTGTGGCTGAGATTTTACTTTAAGCTCTGACTAGCCTTAGGCCTCCCCTTTCCTTTTCCATAAAAGTTGAACGGGAACCCTGAGAAAGAAGGAAGATGGTGAATGAGTGTACTGTGGTGATGATTGGACATAATGCATTTTAGACTCTTTACTGGGTCACTCCATGAGTGGTAAATTCTGGCCTTGATTGAAATTTTATAACTAACTTTTACTAGAAAGCATATGGGGCTGTTATGTATGTTAGGGCAATTCTGAATCTTCATTCTTCTTGCTTAACTATCCGGTTTGCATCATGATGAGGGTAAAAGCATGTACGGTGCTGTCGATGTGACTGTAGTCCATTAAGGAATGGAAGGGGAGTCTTGCCATATAGCATGTCAGTGTTTATTGAGAAGTGTATCAATTCTAGTTTTTATTTCTCTTGATGGTTTGTGGGGATACTTGGTTGCGTGCGTTTTGGAAGCAATATTAATTAATTTCTTAATCTTGTTTCATATTGCAGGTTATTTATCGAATCAAACTCCCTGGGCCAGCCATCTTAGGCGAGGGGAAACCAGAGAACCAGAATCATGCGATTATCTTTACTCGGGGAGAGGGGTTGCAGACAATAGACATGAATCAGGTACAGTGATGGCTTAGCTGTATGGAATGAATGTTTGTTCCTTGGTCAGTTAATTAAGTGTTCATAATCAGGATAACTACATGGAGGAAGCCTTAAAAATGAGAAATCTACTGCAAGAGTTTCTCAAAAAGCATGATGGTGTCAGATATCCTACGATTCTTGGTCTTAGGGAGCACATATTCACTGGAAGGTACAATTGGGCTTTTTACGTACCACCTCTTATGGTTGTTTCTGTTTTTATCTACTGTATTGTTCATCTTCTTTCATCTATTGTGCAGTGTTTCTTCGCTTGCTTGGTTTATGTCAAATCAGGAGACAAGCTTTGTGACTATTGGTCAGAGACTACTGGCTAACCCTCTCAAGTAAGTATATTGATTGTCTAGTCAATTGATTCTTAAGCTATTGGGCTGAAGACTATCATCCCAAAATAACGATCACATTGTCTGGGTATGATTTTGTGAATGGTTATCGAGACTGATCCCCATGAACTGGAGAGGTCTTAAGTTACCGTGGGACTTGTGTAGACGACTGAAGATTAGATGGCCGGTATCATGCATGGTGTTGCATTATGTTTGTTTCTCGTTTTAAACTAGCAGTAGTGTGTAAATACTAGGAATATACAATTTAACTGATTAAAATGCTGCCAACTTCTTTAGACGGCTAGAAGCATATAAGTATTTCTGATATAGTGCATTTGGCTCCTGAACTCACCACATCAATCCTACCTCACTAGATTCTAGCATATGAAACTATGAAGTCAATTACAAAGTCTTGATAACAATACTTTTACGAGCACTTCTACTATGCTATATGCTATATAGCATTGGTGCTTTAATGTACAACTCAAAGTTGTACCATAACATTAAATGTATAAGTTTAGGTTGTACCATAAAGCAATTTGTATCATTATGTTATGGTACAACTTTACAACTTGAAGTTGTACCATCATATAAAAGTACAAGTTCAAGTTGTACTATAAAAGAATTTGTACAAAAAGTATAGGTACAATTTGAAGTTGTACCATAACGTAAATGTACAATTTTAAGTTGTACCATAAAGATAAAAACCTATAGCACCAATACTATATAGCATTGTAAAATTTCTCTACTTTTACGGGTCATTTGGATAGGTCAATTGGAAAATGTGCCATTTCAGAAAGTGGGTCTTTTTCTAAATGCCACACACCCAATTGCCGGTTTTCCCCGAAACCAAACGAGGCTTTTTGGTCCAAATGTTGCATTATGAGGCACTTGGGCCTAAATGCTTCATCCAAGTCCTCATCCAAAATAGCCATTAGCTACTATTTACTGGGACCATGATGAGCTAATGTAATGTAACCTCTGGCCATTGACCATTTGTCCTTCCTTTCTTCTTTCATGGACTTTATTTGTTGATCCTAATCCTTAATTTTGTCAACTAGGGTTCGATTCCACTATGGTCACCCAGATGTGTTCGATAGACTTTTCCACTTGACTAGGGGGGGAATCAGTAAAGCGTCCAAGGTTATCAATCTCAGTGAGGACATATTTGCTGGTAAGTTATTTTATTGTCTAGAAAGCTGTATTGTTCCTTGTACACTCTTTTTGGCTCATTCATTTCAAAGGCTGTTCCTCATCTGGGCCCTGTTGTGCAGGTTTCAATTCCACTCTTCGTGAAGGGAATGTCACGCATCATGAGTACATACAAGTTGGCAAAGGAAGAGATGTCGGCCTCAATCAAATCTCAATGTTTGAAGCCAAAATTGCAAACGGAAATGGCGAGCAGACTTTGAGTCGTGATATATACAGGCTTGGACACCGTTTTGATTATTTCCGCATGTTGTCTTGCTACTTCACTACAGTTGGCTTCTACTTCAGTACTCTGGTATGGTTGGATACATCGGAAGGTTAAATTTTCTTCATAAGCAACTGAGATGGTTAAACTGATCGGTGCTTTTTCTTCTTGCAGATAACTGTGCTAACTGTGTATGTCTTCCTTTATGGTCGCCTATATCTGGTTCTAAGTGGGCTGGAAGAAGGGCTGAAAAATCAGCGAGCTATCCGAGACAACAAGCCTCTTCAGGTGGCTCTAGCTTCCCAGTCTTTTGTCCAAATTGGTTTTCTCATGGCTTTGCCCATGCTTATGGAAATCGGCTTGGAAAGAGGTTTCCGTACCGCCCTTAGTGAATTCATCCTCATGCAACTTCAACTTGCACCGGTGTTCTTCACATTCTCCCTTGGAACCAAGACTCATTACTACGGAAGAACTTTGCTTCACGGAGGCGCCAAGTACAGGTCCACAGGTCGAGGCTTTGTGGTGTTTCATGCCAAGTTCGCCGACAATTACAGGCTTTACTCTCGCAGTCACTTTGTCAAGGGGATTGAGATGATGATTTTACTTGTCGTGTATGAAATCTTTGGCCAGTCATATAGAAGTGCTCTTGCCTATGTCTTGATAACCATTTCAATGTGGTTTATGGTTGGGACATGGCTTTTCGCTCCTTTCCTCTTTAACCCTTCGGGGTTCGAGTGGCAGAAGATTGTTGATGATTGGACTGATTGGAACAAGTGGATAAGCAACAGAGGTGGAATAGGTGTTCCACCCGAAAAGAGCTGGGAATCATGGTGGGAGGAGGAGCAGGAGCATCTACGTCATTCTGGAAAGCGTGGTATTGTTGCAGAGATTCTTTTATCTTTGCGGTTCTTTATTTACCAATATGGGCTAGTGTATCACTTGTCCATGACAAAGAAAGCCAAGACCAAGAGCGTTCTTGTGAGTACTTCTGACTGACTTGCACCGTACCACTCTCTTATTCTTTAATTGCTGAATATAAAGTTGCAAATCAACCTGATTTTTGTACTTTCACTTGTACAGGTGTATGGAATATCTTGGTGCGTCATCTTTCTGATACTGTTTGTGATGAAGGTGTGCTATTAATTCTTCACTCCTTGAATCTGACAATTATTAGGATTTTATATTTCTTAGATGGGTTCAGTATTGTCTATAATGGAAACGTTGCCAGTCTTGGTGCTAGTGTGAAGTAAAATGTTGCTTTGGGGATTCAAGCATCGAACGGGAGGATTTTGAATTAACTCTAGGATATTAACTATAACACTGCCAAAGGGTAGACTAACCGAACCATTATGTTGGTAATTTTGTTTTGTTTATAGATATACTGCTTATTTGTTTCAGGCTTAGGTTGTGTTTGTTTGGTATCATTTTAGGATTTTAAACTTTGCTTTTAGATGAGTAGAGTGTTAGATCCGTTCTATTAAAGTAGGATTGATGTGATAGGAGATTGTTTATTAGTAGTAAAGTTACTGAGAGTCTGAGACAGTGCGATTCAATTTTTTTTTATTGTTCAAAAAGATGATTGTGTTTTGTAAAATGAGTATGACTGATGTGGGTTGTGCCCACTAATAAGACTAAAGAGTTCCACCATCCATGTTTTTTTCGTTTTGTTATGCTATTGAGTACTCTACTTTTTTCTTCTCTGTTCGTCTTACAATTGATCTTGATTTGTAATCCTCAGACGGTGTCTGTTGGGCGGCGAAGATTCAGTGCAAACTTTCAGCTGGTGTTCCGTCTGATCAAGGGATTGATCTTCATATCATTTATGTCCATTTTGGTCACTCTCATAGCATTGGCTCACTTGACAGTCCAGGACATCGTTCTCTGCATTCTCGCCTTCATGCCTACTGGCTGGGGGATGCTTCTGGTAAGCCAATTTCTTCCTGGCCTAAGGGGTCATTTTGATGTTTTAGTATGGAATTTCATTGAATGTGAAAGGACTTGATAGGAGTGAATTTTGAACACTCCATTGTTGGAATGCACTTTTTTTGTGGAAGTGAATGTGGTGATTGAAATTCAAAGGAGATTATATGACATTCCTTCTTCAGGAGAGATTGAAATCGTAATGTTAGCATATGAGTGCATGTTTGCGAGGGTCCAAATACTTTTTCCAGCACCCTTCTAGTTTCATTTGATTACTTTTGCATGAATGGTCATATTGCTCTGATGCTAGATCCTTGCATTCCCATTTGCGAAACAAGTCTTCTGATATGTTTTACATATGAATCTATCTGATGCACAGATAGCACAAGCTTGTAAACCCGTGGTGCAGCGAGCTGGGTTCTGGGGATCAGTTCGAACTCTCGCTCGTGGCTTCGAGATCGTTATTGGCCTACTTCTCTTCACCCCAGTTGCATTCCTTGCTTGGTTCCCCTTTGTCTCTGAGTTCCAAACTCGCATGCTCTTCAACCAAGCCTTCAGCAGAGGTCTCCAGATTTCACGTATTCTAGGCGGGCAAAGGAAAGACCGGTCTTCTCGCAACAAGGAGTAAACAGATTCTCCTGTATCTTGCTTCGGCAAGGCATGTACACTGTAACCTCCTAGTGTAATTATTTATTTAGAAAACAGTCAGTAGCAAGTCAAGTAGTAGGGGGACGTTCGTGAGGTTTTTGAGGAGCAGTTTTTAGAACTGTGAAGAAAGGATCATTGAGTCCTGCTAGCTTAGCTTCTCCCTCTTTATAACGTGAAATACTACTTGCTGTTGTAAGTTGTAACCTAGTTCATCTTTTATTTATCGATTGGTTTTGCTGGTCATCTGCCTGCAAAAACCAGATATTGCTGCTAATTTAGTATGAACCGTCAACTAAATACCTTCATTTTGCGCTGTTTTCCTTGAATGAACTGATGTGTGTTTGAGCTGGCTACTATGTATTGTTCTGCAGCGAATGCTTTGAACTGTCAGTTGTACAATACATATTACTGAAATGATCTGTATTTGGATACCTTTTTCATGTAGATATGGTTTTGTTTGGTACAGTGTGTTTGTCAACGGATACTATTGAAGCTTGCGTGCTACTAAGGTTCATTTGCCAAGATATTGGTTGAGAGTTGTATCACAGAACTTAGTTACTTACCTTGGCAGTAGGGTATCATGCTTGATGGATTAGAGAGAGTCGGATTAGAGAGAGTCGGGACCAATTGGAATCAGTTGAATCATTCTATTATCCTCGAGCAGTTCCGAGTCCCTATTGTCATAGATGGTGCCATGTTGGAAACCTGATAGTTGTTGGTGTTAGAGAGTGATGTAAGATCCAGCATAACCTTCTCCCAACAACTCGAGTGATCGGGAGCAACTGATTTATGACTATTGACTTAATACAAAAATGGATAACCTTAAAAAAAAATCACCCAAATAAATATGAAAATGATTTCGCCCAAATCGGTGTCTAATTAACTTAATCATTAGTGGAGAATAGGATCAATAAACTTCATTATCAATGGAGATTAGCCTCGGGTTGAATCCGTGATATGTATACTTCAAAATTAGGGATGACAACAAAACCCGAACCCACGGGTACCCACCCTACCCAACCCGGTCAACGCGGGTAACACCCGTGTTGACGGGTTTTGGGCCGGGTTCGGGTTTAAACCCGCTACACTATTCACCGGGTCGGGTTGGGTTTGGGTTTAGGTAAACCCGCCCCATGGGTACCCGCCCACACACATGTAATTACTTTCCCGGTATATTTAATATTCTAAATAATATATCTTCCTTAAACAACTAATATTCTTTATGTTTGTGGAGACATGTATAATTTGTTCTTTCTAATTGTTTAGAATGAAGTTGATATTATGAAGTGGAGAGAAAAGAAACTTAGTTGACGAGGAAGAAGTTTTCAATTAATCTTATTGTTTATAGATGTTTATCTTTAATTTTGAACAATTTGTATTGATCATTTGCGGTTTGCTTGTATGCTCTAGAATGGTGTTTTTTGTATGATTAGTTTGTATGAGAAAATTGATGTTAAACTTTTATTTTGAAAGAAACTTTATTGTAAATTTTTTACCACAAAAACCCACTGGTACCCATGAACTCGCGGATACCCAGCGGGTTGGGTTGGGTTTGAGTTTTTCAAACCCAACGGGTTTTACCCCTTTTTTTTTGCGGATAAACCCATGGGTTTGGGTTTGGGTTTGACAAAAACCGCCCCAACCCGACCCATTGCCATCCCTATTCAAAATCGAAAGAAAATGGTATTCCATGAAAATTCCCTGAAATATGTGAGGGTAGCACTTTGGAGTCTGCCAAAAATGACCCGGAAGAAATCGGCTCAAATTGGTGCTTAATGACCTTAATCATCGTTGAAGAATAGACTCAGACTGAATCCGTGATATATAGCCTTCAAAATTCAAGGAAAATGGCCTTTTGATAAAAATCACCCAAAAAATTACGAAAATCTCATCCCAAAATGAATTTGCCCAAATCGGTGTCTGATGGGCAAAATCATCAGTGAGGAATAGCCTCGGACTGTATCTGTGATATGTAGACTTCAAAATCGAAAGAAAATGACATTTCGGGAAACTCGTCCGAATTCTGTGATGGTCGAATTCGTGATCTATAGATGCCTATCGAAAAATATCGCCTAAGAATTTACGAAAATGTCATTCGAAAATGAATTCACCCTAATAGATGCCTAATGAGCTTAATCATCAGTAGAGAATATGATCAATATACTTCATTATCGATGGAGAATAGCCTCACACTGAATCCGTGATATGTCGACTTCAGAATCGAAAAGAAAATGGCATTTCACGGATTCAGCCTGAGACTATTCTTCAACGATGATTAAGTCCATTACGCGTCGATTTGGGCGAATTTATTCCGGGTCATTTTTGGAAGATTCCAAAGGGGTACCATCACAGATTTCAGGTGATTTTTCCAAAATGCCATTTGCTTTCGATTCTAGAGGTAGCAGATCATGGAATCAGGCCAAGGCTACTCTCCACCGATAATGAAGTCTATTGATCCTATTCTCTATGGATGATAAGTTCATTAAGCATCGATTTAGGACAATTTATTTTCGAACATTTTCGTAATTTTTTGGGCGACGAAAGGCCATTTTCTTTGGATTTTGAAGGCTATAGATCACGAATTTATTCCAGGTACATTTTTGGCAGATTACAAAGAGGTACAATCACAGATTTCATGCGATTTTTCCGAAATGCCATTTTCTTTCGCTTCTGGAGGCTGCAGATCACGGAATCAGGCCGAGGCTATTCTCCACCGATAATGAAGTCTATTGATCCCATTATCCATGGATGATAAGTCCATTAAGCACCGATTTGGGCCAATTTATTTTCGGATGGCATTTTCGTAATTTTTTCGACGACGGAAGACCATTTTCTTTGGATTTTGAAGGATACAGATCACAGATTCGGCCTGAGGCTATTCTTCAACGATGATTAAATCTATTAAGCACCTATTTGGGCGAATTTATTCTAGGTCCATTTTTGGCAGATTCCAAAGTGGTACCATCATTGATTTTGTGCGATTTTTCTGAAATGCCATTTTCTTTCGCTTCTGGAGGCTGCAGATCACGGAATCAGGCCGAGCCTATTCTCCACCGATAATGAAGTCTATTGATCCTATTCTCCACGGATGATAAGTCCAATAAGCAACGATTTTGGCCAATTTATTTTCGGATGGCATTTTCGTAATTTTTTGGGCGACGAAAGGCCTTTTTTCTATGGATTTTTAAGACTACAGATCACGGATTCGGCCTGAGGCTATTTTTCAACGATGATTAAGTCCATTAAGCGCCGATTTGGGTGAATTTATTCTGGGACCATTTTTGGCAGATTCCAAAGGGGTACTATCACAGATTTCGGGCGATTTTTCCGAAATGCCATTTTCTTTCGATTCTGGAGGCTACAGATCATGGAATCAGGCCGAGCCTATTCTCCACCGATAATGAACTCTATTGATCCTATTCTCCACGGATGATAAGTCCATTAAGCAGCGATTTGGGCCAATTTATTTTCGGATGGCATTTTCGTAATTTTTTGGGCGACGAAAGGCCATTTTCTTTGGATTTTTGAAGGCTACAGATCACAGATTCGGCTTGAGGCTATTCTTCAACGATGATTAAGTCCATTAAGCACCAATTTGGGCGAATTTATTCCGGGTCCATTTTTTCCAAATTCCAAAGGGGTACCATGACAGATTTAGGCGATTTTTCCGAAATGTCATTTTCTTTCAATTCTGTAGGCTGCAGATTACGGAATCGGGCCGAGCCTATTCTCCACCGATAATGAAGTCTACTGATCCTATTCTCGACGGATTATAAGTCCATTAAGCACCGATTTGGGCCAATTTATTTTCGGATGACATTTTCGTAATTTTTTGGGCGACGAAAGACATTTTTCTTTGGATTTTTAAGGCTACAGATCACGGATTCGGCTGAGGCTATTCTTCAATGATGATTAAGTCCATTAAGCGCCGATTTGGGCGAATTTATTCGGGGCCCATTTTCGCAGATTCCAAAGGGGTACAATCACAGATTTCGGCGTTTTTTCCGAAATGCCATTTTCATTTGATTCTGGAGGCTGCAGATCATAGAATCAGGCCGAGCCTATTCTCCACTGATAATGAAGTCTATTGATCCTATTCTCCACGGATGATAAGTCCATTAAGCAGCGATTTGGGCCAATTTATTTTCGGATGGCATTTTCGTAATTTTTTGGTCGACGAAAGGCCATTTTCTTTGGATTTTTGAAGACTACAGATCACGGATTCAGCCTGTGGCTATTCTTCAATGATGATTAAGTCCATTAAGCGCCGATTTGGGCGAATTTATTTGGAGCCCATTTTTTGCAGATTCCAAAGGGGTACTATCACAGATTTTGGACAATTTTTCTAAAATGCCATTTTCTTTCTATTCTGGAGGCTGCAGATCACGGAATCAGGCCGAGCCTATTCTCCACCGATATGAAGTCTATTGATCCTATTCTCCACGGATGATAAGTCCAATAAGCAACGATTTGGGCCAATTTATTTTTGGATGGCATTTTCGTAATTTTTGGGGGGACGAAATGTCATTTTCTTCGGATTTTGAAGGCTACAGATCATGGATTCGGCCTGCGGCTATTCTTCAACGATGATTAAGTCTATTAAGCGTCGATTTAGGCGAATTTATTATGGGTCCATTTTTGCCAGATTCCAAAGGGTACCATGACAGATTTCGGCGATTTTTGCGAAATGCCATTTTCTTTCGATTATAGCGGCTGCAGATCATGGAATCAGGCCGAGCTTTTTCTCCACCGATAATGAAGTCTATTGATCCTATTCTCCACGGATGATAAGTCCAATAAGCACCGATTTGGGCCAATTTATTTTTGGATGGCATTTTCGTAATTTTTTGGGGGACGAAATGCCATTTTCTTTGTATTTTGAAGGCTACAGATCAGGGATTCGGCCTGGGGCTATTCTTCAACGATGATTAAGTCTATTAAGCGCCGATTTAGGCGAATTTATTATGGGTCCATTTTTGCCAGATTCCAAAGGGATACCATGACAGATTTGAGCGATTTTTCCGAAATGCCATTTTCTTTTGATTCTGGAGGCTGCAGATCATAGAATCAGGCCGAGCCTATTCTCCACCGATAATGAAGTCTATTGATCCTATTCTCCACGGATGATAAGTCTATAAGCAGCAAATTGGCACAATTTATTTTCGGATGGCATTTTCGTAATTTTTTGGGCGATGAAAGGCCATATTCTTTGGATTTTTGAAGGCTACAGATCACTGATTCGCCCTGAGGCTATTCTTCAATGATGATTAAGTCCATTAAGCGCCGATTTGGGCAAATTTATTCCGGGTCCATTTTTGCCAGATTCCATAGGGGTACCATCACTGATTTCTGCGTTTTTCCGAAATGCCATTTTCTTTCGATTATAGAGGCTGCAGATCACGGAATCAGGCCGAGCCTTTTCTCCACCGATAATGAAGTCTATTGATCCTATTCTCCACGGATGATAAGTCCAATAAGCACCGATTTGGGCCAATTTATTTTTGGATGGCATTTTCGTAATTTTTGGGGGGACGAAATGCCATTTTCCTTGGATTTTAAAGGCTATAGATCACGGATTCGGCCTGCGGCTATTCTTCAACGATGATTAAGTCTATTAAGCGCCGATTTAGGCGAATTTATTATGGGTCCATTTTTCCCAAATTCCAAAGGGGTACCATGACAGATTTTGGCGATTTTTCCGAAATGCCATTTTCTTTCGATTATAGAGGCTGCAGATCACGGAATCAGGCCGAGCCTTTTCTCCACCGATAATGAAGTCTATTGATCCTATTCTCCACGGATGATAAGTCCAATAAGCACCGATTTGGGACAATTTATTTTTGGATGGCATTTTCGTAATTTTATGGGGTTGAAGGCTACAGATCACGGATTCGGCCTGGGGCTATTCTTCAAACGATGATTAAGTCTATTTAGAGCCGATTTAGGCGAATTTATTATGGGTCCATTTTTGCCAGATTCCAAAGGGGTACCATGACAGATTTCGGCGATTTTCCCGAAATGCCATTTTCATTCAATTCTGGAGGCTATAGATCACGGAATCATGCCGAGCCTATTCTCCACCGATAATGAAGTCTATTGATCCTATTCTCCATGGATGTTAAGTCCATTAAGCAACGATTTGGGCCAATTTATTTTCGGATGGCATTTTCGTAATTTTTTGGGCGACGAAAGGCCATATTTCTTTGGATTTTGAAGGCTACATATCACGGATTCGGTCTGAGGCTATTCTTCAACGATGATTAAGTCCATTAAGCGCCGATGTGGGCGAATTTATTCCGCGTCTATTTTTGCCAGATTCCAAAGGGGTACCATCACAGATTTCTGCGATTTTTCTGAAATGCCATTTTCTTTCGATTATAGACTGCAGATCACGGAATCAGGCCGAGCCTTTTCTCCACCGATAATGAAGTCTATTGATCCTATTCTCCATGGATGATAAGTCAAATAAGCAGCGATTCGGGCCAATTTATTTTCGGATGGCATTTTCATAATTTTTTGGGCGACGAAAGACCATTTTCTTTGGATTTTTGAAGACTATAGATCACGGATTCAGCCTGTGGCTATTCTTCAATGATGATTAAGTCCATTAAGCGCCGATTTGGGCAAATTTATTCTGGGCCCATTTTTTGCAGATTCCAAAGTGGTACCATCACAGATTTCGACTATTTTTCCGAAATGCCATTTTCTTTCGATTATGGAGGATGCAGATCACGAAATCATGCAGAGCCTATTCTCCACCGATAATGAAGTCTATTGATCCTATTCTCCACGGATGATAAGTCCATTAAGCAGCGATTTGGGCATATTTATTTTCGGATGGCATTTTCGTAATTTTTTGGGCGACGAAAGGCCGTTTTCATTGGATTTTTGAAGACTACAGATCACGGATTCGGCCTGAGGCTATTCTTCAATGATGATTAAGTCCACTAAGCGCCCATATGGTCAAATTTATTCGGAGCCCATATTTTGCAGATTCCAAAGGGGTACCATCACTGATTTCGACGATTTTTTCGAAATGCCATTTTCTTTCGATTATGGAGGATGGAGATCACGAAATCAGGCCGAGCATATTCTCCACTGATAATGAAGTCTATTGATCCGGTTCTCCACGGATGATAAGTCCAATAAGCACCGATTTGGGCCAATTTATTTTTGGATGGCATTTTCGTAATTTTTTGGGGGACGAAAGGCCATTTTCTTTGGAGGTTGAACGCTACAAATCACAAATTCAACCTGGGGCTATTCTTCAACGATGATTAAGTCCATTAAGCGCTGATTTGGGCGAATTTATTCCGGGCCCATTTTTGGCAGATTCCAAAGGGGTACCATCACAGATTTCGACGATTTTTCCGAAATGGCATTTTCTTTCGATTATGGAGGATGCAGATCACGAAATCAGGCCGAGCCTATTCTCCACTGATAATGGAGTCTATTGATCCTATTCTCCACGGATGATAAGTTCATTAAGCAGCGATTTGGGCCAATTTATTTTCGGATGACATTTTCGAAATTTTTTGGGTGACGAATGGCCATTTTCTTTGGATTTTGAAGACTACAGATCACGTATTCGGCCTGAGGCTATTCTTCAATGATGATTAAGTCCACTAAGCGCCTATATGGGCAAATTTATTCGGGGCCCATTTTTTGCAGATTCCAAAGGGGTACCATCACAGATTTCGACGATTTTTCCGAAATGCCATTTTCTTTCGATTATGGAGGATGCAGATCACGAAATCAGGCCGAGCCTATTCTCCGCCGATAATGAAGTCTATTTATTCTATTCTCCACGGATGATAAGTCCATTAAGCAGCGATTTGGACCAATTTATTTTCGGATGTAATTTTTGTAAATTTTTGAGAGACGAAAGGCCATTTTCTTTGGATTTTTGAAGACTACAGATTACGGATTCAGCCTGAGGATATTCTTCAACGATGATTTAGTCCATTAAGCTTCGATTTGGGTGCATTTATTCCGAGACAAATTTTGGCAGATTCCAAAGGGGTACCATCACAGATTTCAGGCGATTTTTCCGAAATGCCATTTTCTTTCGATTCTGGAGGCTGCAGATCATGGAATCAGGCCGAGCCAATTCTCTACCGATAATGAAGTCCATTGATCCTATCCTCCACGGATGATAAGTCCATTAAGCAGCGATTTGGGCCAATTTATTTTCAGATGGCATTTTCGTATTTTTTGGGCGACGAAAGTTCATTTTATTTGGATTTTTGAAGACTACAGATCACGGATTCGGCCTGAGGCTATTCTTCAATGATGATTAAGTCCATTAAGCGCCGATTTGGGCGAATTTATTCGGCGCCTATTTTTTGCAGATTCCAAAGGGGTACCATCACTGATTTCGACGATTTTTCCGAAATGCCATTTTCTTTCGATTATGGAGGATGCAGATCACGAAATGAGGCCGAGCCTATTCTCCACCGATAATGAAGTCTATTGATCCTATTCTCCACGGATGATAAGTCCATTAAGCAGTGATTTGGGCCAATTTATTTTTGGATGGCATTTTCGTAATTTTTTGGGCGACGAAAGGCCATTTTCTTTGGATTTTTGAAGACAACAAATTACGGATTCGGCCTGAGGCTATTATTCAATGATGATTAAGTCCACTAAGCGCCTATTAGGGCAAATTTATTCGAGACCCATTTTTTGCAGATTCCAAAGGGGTACCATCAAAGATTTTGGGCTATTTTTCCATAATGCCATTTTCTTTCGATTATGGAGGCTGCAGATCAACCAATCAGGCCGAGCCTATTCTCCACCGATAATGAAGTCTATTGATCCGGTTCTCCACGGATGATAAGTCCAATAAGCACCGATTTGGGCCAATTTATTTTTGGATGGCATTTTCGTAATTTTTTGGGGGACGAAAGGCCATTTTCTTTGGAGGTTGAACGCTACAAATCACAAATTCAACCTGGGGCTATTCTTCAACGATGATTAAGTCCATTAAGCGCTGATTTGGGCGAATTTATTCCGGGCCCATTTTTGGCAGATTCCAAAGGGGTACCATCACAGATTTCGGGCGATTTTTCCGAATTGCCATTTTCTTTTGATTCTGGAGGCTGCAGATCATGGAATCAGGCCGAGCCTATTCTCCACCGATAATGAAGTCTATTGATCCTATTCTCCACGGATGATAAGTCCATTAAGATCGATTTGGGCCAATTTATTTTCGAATGGCATTTTCGTAATTTTTTGGGCGACGAAAGTCCATTTTCTTTGGACTTTTGAAGACTACAGATCACGAATTCACCCTGAGGCTATTCTTCAATGATGATTAAGTCCATTAAGGGCCGATTTGGGCAAATTTATTCGGGGCCCATTTTTTGCAGATTCCAAAGGGGTACTAACACAGATTTCGGGATTTTTCCGAAATGCCATTTTCTTTCTATTATGGAGGATGCAGATCACGAAATCGGGCCGAGCCTATTCTCCACCGATAATGAAGTCTATTGATCCTATTCTCCATAGATGATAAGTCCATTAAGCAGCGATTTGGGCATATTTATTTTTAGATGGCATTTTCGTAATTTTTTTGCCGACGAAAGGCCATTTTCTTTGGATTTTTGAAGACTACATATCACGGATTCGGCCTGAGGCTATTCTTCAATGATGATTAAGTCCAATAAGCGCCTATATGGGCAAATTTATTCGGGGCCCATTTTTTGCAGATTCCAAAGGGGTACCATCACAGATTTCGACGATTTTTCCGAAATGCCATTTTCTTTCGATTATGGAAATTGCAGATCACGAAATCAGGCCGAGCCTATTCTCCACCGATAATGAAGTCTATTGATCCTATTCTCCACGGATGATAAGTCCATTAAGCAGCGATTTGGACCAATTTATTTTCGGATGACATTTTTGTAATTTTTTTAGAGACGAAAGGCCATTTTCTTTGGATTTTTGAAGACTACAGATTACGGATTCAGCCTGAGGATATTCTATAACAATGATTTAGTCCATTAAGCGCCGATTTGGGCGAATTTAGTTCGGGACCATTTTTGGCAGATTCCAAAGGGGTACCATCACAGATTTTAGGCGATTTTTCCGAAATGCCATTTTCTTTCGATTCTAGAGGCTGCAGATCATGGAATCAGGCCAAGCATATTCTCCACCGATAATGAAGTCTATTGATCCTATTCTCCACGGATGATAAGTCCATTAAGTAGAGATTTGGGCCAATTTATTTTCGGATGACATTTTCGTAATTTTTTGGGCGACGAAAGGCATTTTTCTTTGGATTTTTGAAGACTACAGATCACAGATTCGGCCTGAGGCTATTCTTCAATGATGATTAAGTCCATTAAGCGCCGATTTGGGCGAATTTATTCAGGGCCCATTTTTTGCAGATTCCAAAGGGGTACCCATCACAGATTTTGGGCAATTTTTCCAAAATGCCATTTTCTTTCGATTCTGGAGGCTGGAGATCACGGAATATGGCCAAGCCTATTCTCCACCGATAATGAAGTCTATTGATACTATTCTCCACGGATGATAAGTCCAATAAGCACCGATTTGGGCCAATTTATTTATGGATGGCATTTTCGTAATTTTTTGGGGGACAAAAGCCCATTTTATTTGGATTTTGAAGGCTACAGATCACGGATTCGGCCTGGGGATATTCTTCAATGATGATTAAGTCCATTAAGTGGCGATTTGGGCGAATTTATTTCGGGTCCATTTTTGCCAGATTACAAAGGGGTACCATGACAGATTTCAGCGATTTTTCTAAAATGCCATTTTCTTTCGATTCTGGAGGCTGCAGATCACGGAATCAGGCCGAGCCTATTCTCCACCGATAATGAAGTCTATTGATCCTATTCTCCAAGGATGATAAGTCCATTAAGCAGCGATTTGGGCCAATTTATTTTCGGATGGCATTTTCGTAATTTTTTGGGCGACGAAAGGCAATTTTCTTTGGCTTTTTGAAGGCTACAGATCACGGATTCGGCTTGAGGCTATTCTTCAACGATGATTAAGTCCATTAAGCGCCGATTTGGGCAAATTTATTTCGGGTCCATTTTTGCCAGATTCCAAAGGGGTACCGTCACAGATTTAAGTGATTTTTCCGAAATGCCATTTTCTTTCGATTCTGGAGGCTGCAGATCACGGAACCAGGCGGAGCCTATTCTCCACTGATAATGAAGTCTATTGATCCTATTCTCCACGGATGATATGTGCATTAAGCACCGATTTGGGCCAATTTATTTTCGGATGGCATTTTCATAATTTTTTGGGCGAAGAAAGGCAATTTTCCATGGATTTTGAAGGCTACAGATCATGGATTCGGCCTGAGGCTATTCTTCAACGATGATTAAGTCCATTATGTGCCGATTTGGGCGAATTTTTTCCGTGTCCATTTTTGGCAGATTCCAAAGGGGTACCATGACAGATTTCGGACGATTTTTCCAAAATGCCATTTTCTTTCGATTCTGGAGGCTGTAGATCACGGAATCATGCCGAGCCTATTCTCCATCGATAATGAAGTCTATTGATCCTATTCTCCACGGATGATAAGTGCATTAAGCACCGATTTGGGCCAATTTATTTCCGGATGGCATTTTCGTAATTTTTTGGGCGAAGAAAGGAAATTTTCCATGGATTTTGAAGGCTACAGATCACGATTCGGCCTGAGGCTATTCTTCAACGATGATTAAGTCCATTAAGTGCCGATTTGGGCGAATTTATTCCGGGTCCATATTTGGCAGATTCCAAAGGGGTAACATCACAAATTTCGGGCGATTTTTCCGAAATGCCATTTTCTTTCGATTCTGGAGGCTGTAGATCACGGAATCATGTCGATCCTATTCTCCACCGATAATGAAGTCTATTGATCCTATTCTCCGCGGATGATAAGTGCATTAAGCACCGATTTCGGCCAATTTATTTTCGGATGGCATTTTAGTAATTTTTTTGGCGAAGAAAGGCAATTTTCCATGGATTTAGAAGGCTACAGATCACGGATTCAGCCTGAGGCTATTCTTCAACGATGATTAAGTCCATTAAGTGCCGATTCGGGCGAATTTTTTCCGGGTCCATTTTCTGGAGATTCCTAAGGGGTACCATCACAGATTTCGGGCGATTTTTCAGAAATGCCATTTTCTTTCGATTCTGGAGGCTGTAGATCACGTAATCATGCCGAGCCTATTCTCCATCGATAATGAAGTCTATTGATCCTATTCTCCACGGATGATAAGTCCATTAAGCACTGATTTGGGCCAATTTATTTTCTGATGGCATTTTCTTAAATTTTTGGGCTAAGAAAGGCAATTTTCCATGGATTTTGAAGGCTATAGATCACAGATTCAGCCTGAGGCTATTCTTCAATAATGATTAAGTCCATTAAGTGCCAATTTGGGCGAATTTATTCCGGGTCCATTTTTGGCAGATTCCAAAGGGGTACCATCACAGATTTCAGGCGATTTTTCCGAAATGCCATTTTCTTTCTATTCTGGAGGTTGTAGATCACAGAATCATGCCGAGCCTATTCTCCATCGATAATGAAGTCTATTGATCCTATTCTCCACGGATGATAAGTCCATTAAGCACCGATTTGGCCCAATTTATTTTCTTATGGCATTTTCTTAAATTTTTGGGCTAAGAAAGGAATTTTCCATGGATTTTGAAGGCTATAGATCACGGATTCAGTCTGAGGCTATTCTTCAATAATGATTAAGTCCATTAAATGCCAATTTGGGCGAATTTATTCCGGGTCCATTTTTGGCAGATTCCAAAGGGGTACCATCACAGATTTCGGGCGATTTTTCCGAAATGCCATTTTCTTTCTATTCTGGAGTCTGTAGATCACAGAATCATGCCGAGCCTATTCTCCATCGATAATGAAGTCTATTGATCCTATTCTCCACGGATGATAAGTCCCTTAAGCATCGATTTGTGCCAATTTATTTTCTGATGGCATTTTCGTATTTTTTTGGGCGAAGAAAGGCAATTTTCCATGGATTTTGAAGGCTACAGATCACAGATTCAGCCTGAGGCTATTCTTCAACGATGATTAAGTCCATTAAGTGCCGATTTGGGCGAATTTATTGCGGGTCCATTTTTGGCAGATTCCAAAGGGGTACCATCACAGATTTCGGGCGATTTTTCCGAAATGCCATTTTCTTTCTATTCTGGAAGCTGTAGATCACAGAATCATGCCGAGCCTATTCTCCATCGATAATGAAGTCTATTGATCCTATTCTCCATGGATGATAAGTCCATTAAGCACCGATTTAGGCCAATTTATTTTCGGATCGCATTTTCGTAATATTTTGGGCGAAGAAAGGCAATTTTCCATGGATTTTGAAGGCTACAGATCACGGATTCAGCGTGAGGCTGTTCTTCAACGATGATTAAGTCATTTAAGTGCCGATTTGGGCGAATTTATTCCGGGTCCAATTTTGGCAGATGCAAAGGGGTATCAGTACAGATTTCGGGCGATTTTTCCGAAATGCCATTTTATTTCTATTCTGGGGGCTGTAGATCACAGAATCATGCCGAGCCTATTTTCCATCGATAATGAAGTCTATTGATCCTATTCTCCACGGATGATAAGTCCATTAAGCAACGATTTAGACCAATTTATTTTCGGATGGCATTTTCGTAATTTTTTGGGCGAAGAGAGGCAATTTTCCATGGATTTTGAATGCTATAGATCACGGATTCAGCCTGAGGCTATTATTCAATGATGATTAAGTCCATTAAGTGCCGATTTGGGCGAATTTATTCCGGGTCCATTTTTGGCAGATTCCAAAGGGGTACCATCACAGATTTCGGAAGATTTTTCCGAAATGCCTTTTTCTTTCTATTCTGGAGGCTGTAGATCAAAAAATCATGCCGAGCCTATTCTCCATCGATAATGAAGTCTATTGATCCTATTCTCCACGTATGATACGTCCATTAAGCACCGATTTGGGCCAATTTATTTTCGGATGACATTTTC